ATAAGCATTTATACTTATATGTCAACCCCGTACGAAGGACGGGTACTCTGCTAGTAACACAATAATACAAATACAGTATACTAATACAATAATACTGTAGGTTTCCGTAGTCTGTGGCCATAGGTTCATCTGAACTGTCAATCAATTCTGAGAAATTCACAGTTGTAAATTCTTACTAGTCTTTTTCTAAGTTCACGTCACACTCGCAATTAGTTTGCATGTTTTATGTAGGAAAACACGTATGCCCTAAGTCATAGCATTTGTAGGTTAAGTATAATAATAACAAACATGCTTATCGTAGGTTTGTAGGCATACTTGTTCAAGAATATGCCGTGGTAGGTTTTGTTTATAAATTTTATGTTTTAATTCTTGTCTAATGACGATATTGATTTGTATTAGTGCGAAAATGTTAATTTATTTGTCAAGGGCATGAGCGGCCCTCTAGTCTATGTATGTTACATGAAGCACAACATGAAAAAGAATAAATTAAAGGAAGGTAAAAAACGGATCAGTTGCTGAAGGTCTAAATCTCGGAAGGTCTAATCAGACCTTCGACACACATTTTGCAGTTTGTACTTGATGCTGAGGATCCCATGAATCCTGTACAAAATAAAAAAAAATGTTTCATTCAAACTACAATTTTATTATTTTATTACTTTTCCGAGAACCAGCCTTTATCAGGACTTCCGCTCCCACGCTAGTTGGCAACGTCAACTGTGCTATATGAAAACAATAAATCTTGAGTAAATATACTGTAATGTTGAATTTTGAGGTTGTGGTGTTCCTTCGTAAACACATTCAATTATAATCTAGGAATATGTAAATTTATTGTTATATGTTAACTTTATTGATATTCGATTCGCTACAGTACTATTAAACCTATAACATTTTCAATTCATGTGCGTTGTATTTTAGAGTTGGGGAAACAAAAGAACCCTGTGTGCAACTTATTTATATGATACTAGCTGTGTGCCCGTTCTACGCACGGGGATCTTAAAGTAGTCAGTTGAAACCTTCTTATATTAAGAAAAGCAGTTGGTTTGCATATTTTCAGATATGCTGGCAAAACTATTATATATAAACCTTCGCAAATACAGTATCTGACAGTTTCAAGCCAAAACAAATCTATGAGGCATAGCCCTAAGGCCTATAGTTGAAAGTTACTTCCCACAATGGTTAAAGGCATTTAAAGTACTACCTCAACCTTACCATTTAACACTTTATTCGGGTTGACATTTTCATTATCAAGGTGCTCTTGTCCTTTTCGTGACACTGAGAAATAAGGACATAAATGCGTTACCAACAGACATACACACAAAAATACAGAACTTAATTAGGGAATTTGCTACGTTTTAAGCATAACAAAGTACATATAAAATTAGAATTTGAAATCTTTGTCAATGTCATCAAATTTTATCATAACAATTTATATTTGCTTGGACCGAAGATGACCCGAAATGCTGTCGAAATGACGGCTTACTTTATAAAATGAAGTACTATAGACAATTTAGATTGGTAATGGTAATTTAACCTATAATAAAAATTACCAAAATAGGCCACGAACTATTGATACATAAACAACGTAAATCGTAAACAATTCATGATGGTTTGCTAAACAAATGTTTTACTTAAATGAGTTATCATTTTCTTAGCATAAACTAACATTTTGGAATCCAGACAGAAAAAGCAAAACTTATACAGTTAAGGCATCAATTAAATTGAATAAGGCTGTAATACCACTGTATAAATAAGGTGCAACACCAACGATAACTAATTTGTAAATTACAGTGATGTGTTGGTACGTAAAAATGATTCTTGCTGCTACCAACGGTTCTAAGGAAACAAAACCAGTACCAAAAACCAACGTTTACAGTTAAGAATTACGTCCGACAAATTAAATGCGTTAATCAAGTCCCAAGGTTATTGATTTCTTGGTTTTGGATTTTCTCGTGAAAAGTTATCGGCAATCAAAATTATTTCCCATTAATTGCTTTATTCGTAAACAACTTTTAATGTAAACTTATTCAGTTTGAAAAAAAAACAACCTTATAAAAACAACTGTTTGTTATTTAATAGATTACGCAGGCCTATTCTCTAAACAATGATTGGTATATCTTTTAACATTAGAATGAAATGTGACAAAAATCACGCAATGCTGGGTTTTTGGACGTTTGTAATTTTATTTCTTAAGTAGGGAGGCCGTGTATTCTAGGGAAAAGTACCGGTAACAAGGATTGTCGTCGAAAAGGTTGTTATGAATAATTGGGTAGGCGTAAGTACCCAAGAGATGGGCTATGGGCCTATTGGCTGTATGGTCCAGCGATTGCATCATACGGTGAGTAGGAACAGAAAGTGACACATTGGAAAAGCGAGTTTAGCATCATCCATAAACCGTAAACCTCTGTTACAATCACCCACTGCAGTTGTGATTTGTTACTTTACACTTTACACAACCACCATCGAAGCGCCGTCAATGAGTTAGTAAGGTATTGGCGACGATCATTAATAAATTCAAGTTTCCCAGCCCTATACAACACTGATTCAAGGTTATCAAAACTCAAGAACAATTTTACACACAAAGAATCTCTGGTTCCTAACCTGGATGATGTTATTAAATTTCATTTACGGTTTCACTATATTATTCCACTTGCGATTAATTAAATCCGTTATGTAAGACAACGATTTTAATCTCACTTGGATAAATGGGCTTTGCCTTCAAAACGTGATCGGAAATGGTTGTGGTATTTGTAAACATATCAGTGACAGCGAGAAAAAATAATCTTGATCCGAACAGCTGTTCGTTATTTCATAGATCATTATGTGATAAAAATTGGACGAAAACTTGACAAAAATCGCACAAAACTGCATTTTTTAAAGTCCGTAATATTATTTACTAAGTAGTGAGGCCATATTTTAATGGCTAAAGACACTATCGCCAATCCAGTGAATACATTAAAATGACTTGGATCTTGATAGGTACTCTCGTTTTCCTGGAGAAGATTGCGTAAAATGTCATCTTGAGTGTTATAGAAAGACAGGAAGACAGACAGACAGAAATTTAGATGAGACTTGTTTCGGCTTCTTTAATGTATAAAACGTAAAAATAACCTACAAATGAATGATTCTGAGCAATGTACAGACAAAACACCAATTTTATTTATATAGATTCTCATTGGTTGCAATTTAATAAGTGGTGTAGCAAAACACAAACACAAAATTTATTGAAATGAAATTAAGTCAATGTTAAGTGAATACTATTAACAAACATATTTGCTACATAAAGACATTTAATTGAAGCCTAAAAAACAGTTCAAAAAAGGCATTCTATTCTTTATACTAGTAAAAATTAAAATGAGGGTATAAAAAATAGTTTTCAAAGATCATGTTGATCAATGTACATTCATCTAGTCTTGAAAAAATAAATATTTAAAAGCTTACTCCAAACATAATGAAGTTGATCGGTTGTTAAGAAAATCATCATTTTTCAAACCATGTAAACCTTATAGTTTTCCAACTGTTGCCTTGTTTATTTTTTTCTTTTTATGTTTTTTTACTTTATGATGTTTCAATTAATGGTTCAAATATTCATAGTATATATATTTCTGAACAAGAACATATACCCATGTATATATAACTAATAAACGTTCCATAAGCATTTTACACGAGAGAACACTATTCGGCAAGTAGTCGGTCATCGTAACCGGTCATCATGAAGGAGCTTGGACGTCGTGCAACAGCGCTGAGCTATATTGGACGTCGTGCAACAGTCAAATATTTATTGGACGTCGTGGCACTTGGACGTCGTGCAACTGGCAGCGACTTTGGACGTCGTGCAACACTCCCGCAAATGTAACTTTTTTACAATTCTATAGTGCGTTGTTTCACGACGTCCAAGTGTCACGACGTCCAAAGCTTGTAGAAAGACTATATTTTTGGCAGTTACTGTACTTTTGGACGTCGTGGCACTTGGACGTCGTGCAACAACTCAAAAATTATGTTTTGGACGTCGTGGCACTGAATAAATATTATTGGACGTCGTGGCACTTGGACGTCGTGCAATGCATCCCAACAAAGCTTATTTATTTCCTCACAAAACAAAAGTGGGCTGTTTAAATTTTATATTATTTCTGATGTGATTCAATTGATTATTTCTTTAGTGATGTATGTTGTTTTATAAAAGCAGACTATTTCAGTTCTACGAGCAACAGTTAGATCATACATCAAAATATCCATTACTGATATTTATGGCCCATTGTTACCTTCTTATCATCCTAATAACTTGATATAGTTATATGCAACTTCAGCCTTACACACACATACAGTTAAATACTGTGATTTCAGAGAATTGAGAACTTTACAGTAACAAACTGTAAAGAATTTAAATCCTTTATTATAAAATAAATATATGAATTTAACCTCTTCTTACTATTATAGCATAATGAGCTATGAAAATGGGTATGCTCATAATTGCAAAGTGGATTTGTTTTAACTACAGTAATAATAATGATAATTAAACTACGTTGATAAAATTCCTCATTGAATATAATTTTAACTCCAAATCCTATTAAACACTGTTCTATCTCTCTGCATATGCAGTTAACTTCCTAAAAATTAGCAAACATAAAAATCTCAGACATTTCAATAACACTTTGTGATGTTCTTTTCCAACCACTCATTGGTCGTGGGACGAAGATAAGTAAACAATGAGCGTTGAATGAACAAAATGCCAGCTTTGTTACCGAGCAAGATCAGCTTTACTTTACTTTACTTTTCTTTGAAATGCCGACCAGCTGGTTTGTTGGCCACGCTTGTTTATAAGAAGCCTAATGATCAAGGACAGCTGGGTCTCATTGAGAACCATTAAGAATGATTGGACATTTCTCAGGATTGTACCAGAAACTTCTTATTACTAGGCAAGCACTAAAACCATTACATTTCAATAACATGTGTGGTTCATAGCTAAGAGGAATGATTTAATGCTCATGTGAGCATATAATTACCTGACTGGCTACTCTCCGGCAGGGCCAGATCCAGTGATGGGGGTAGGGGATGACGACACCATGTTGAGACGGCTCTGCTCCTTTACTATCGGAACTGCAACAAACTCGCGCAAGTTAGTGAAAACTTCACAACTATTTACAGTAGAGTTCTGCTATTTAGAAAAGCTACCAACCAAAATTGAGAACATTTTCTGAAGTCACAGCGAAATTTACATCTTCTGCAATCGCAGAGACATCATCGTCTCCCGCGATTGTGGCAAAACCGTGAATCATTACAGAAACCGTCCTATTCCAAATTGCTGCTGATCAAGGTTCGGTCCCAGTTTGTTCGGAACATTGGCACTCTACTGTATTGAGAGCGTGGCAACTTTTGACTATTGCTAAAACTAGACATTGTATCCCCATTTTAAATTTGTAGCTAGTTTTAAAATCAAAATTGGTGTAATTTAACCGAAATACCGACAGATTGCGTTGATGTAATTACGGTTGAATATGTGGACTGATAGGACGATTTATTGTAAGCTATGGCATATTTTTTACGTCACATCAACTATCTCGGTAATGAAGAGTAAGGAAGAAAATAGAATTTTAGACATTAGCATATTCTGTGATTGGCTGGTGTTATTAATAAATAATAGGGGTAGGATTCATCAACATAAGTTTGTGAAAAATTGTGGGATTTCGCTTTTTGTGAAAGTTGTATAATTAGCTTCACGTGAAAGGCTTTACTAAAAGAATGGGTAAATTTGCTATTTTTTATAACATCAGTATTTAAAGCAATTGGTTTTATTGCCACTTGAATGATGGAACGTATGTTGACAGATTCCTTTTGATCTATTGACCTTAAATAAAAGTAGAACAATAAGATAAAGTAAGGGTATGTTTACAAATTAAATCATATAGTTTTTCACAGTATTTCTAAACTGTGCATCAGTGCTACTTATACACCGTACTAGGTAAGGTAGCCTAGGAAATTTAAACCTTTCACCTGATTAAAAAAAAGATCAACCAAGAAGTGTAAAATGATGTATTTATCCAAAAATAAATTATGGGAGTGTAATTATTTCATTCCATGCAACATGGCTAAAGGGGCACATAATTTCCTTCCGCATCTTCTTCCAGTGGCAAAGCACGGGTACAGCAACTTTTTTAAACAAAAACTTATTTTATCTTCATTGATATCCTTTATGATAGGATTGAGTATTCATCCCTAAAAAGAATAGTTCCAAGTTTGACGACTTTGTGACTCTGTCTTTGTTTCTACTTAAGTTAGCAATTGATCAGCCAACAATTTATTTTGACATCAGCAGCAATTTATTTTGCTGATTTAAAATTGAATTCTGTACCGGTAGTACATTGTTTTCATTACTATTGTTGGCTCAAAAATAGCCCATAATAGCCTATGACAGTAGTCTTGCAATCTTCGATCCTTAACAAATTAAGTACTTAAATTTAAAATTAATTGGTAATTTTCAAATATTAGATTCAGTTTATTTCTAATATATTAAGGGGCAAACACTAGATTTTCTGATTCAGTTAGCAATATTTGATTTTTGTAATTCCTTAAGTTGATTTTACTAAAACCCACTAAAAACAATAACTTGTTATAGCGAATTTCCCTTTAGGGAAGTAGCTATTACCTTAAGTGGCACTGTAAGACCACCCTAAGTGGCTCTGTAAGACCTAGACACGGCACTTGATTTTTATCTCCTTAGCGGGCGAAAACACTTTTTGTTCAAACTTTCATATATCTATATAGATTTTGAAATACTAGAGGCGCCCAGTAGTCGAAAACTCAACCAAAAATATGTAATGTGCAGACTTCTCTGTTTTAACCCCATGCTGTAAATAAAACATGTGATTGGAATGTCTTCCATTCTGTTTTATTTTCTGTTTATATATTGTTGTTATTTCATCACCTGCATAGCAACCCATAAGGTAGGCTACATGTTATTTTTTTAATTTTAAATTAATTTGTTGTGCTTATTTTTGAGTCTATTTTAATTTATAAAGGCAAACTGCACAACTGCAGGAAAATATCTTTCTAACAGTATGTGTAGATTTTCCCTTCAATACACACGAGCTGAGGAAAATGGTTTTCAAGGAACATGCTTGCCTATTATCTCATCTCTATTATTTTCTATCTTCTCTGCTTAAAAATGTTTATATTAAACAAACAATTGCACTGGTTGATGTTTCATTTTTCATAATTCTCTCTTCATATTTCAGAAATCCTCAAGAAAACCGGCACGGTCGCACCATGGGAACGGGGTTTATAGGGTAAAAGTTTTTTTTCTCATTTTGCACCCTCAAAACATAACATTTTCCATATTCTTTTCAAACCATTTTAAATAGCTTAAAAAACAAATCATTTAGTATATTGAAATGTTTTTCACAGTTACATTATTAATTGGCTACGGAGAAAATAAAAAAAATTGTACATTTAAATTCCCTTGTTATTCTTATGGACGATAAGTTAAACTGTGTTGTAGTTTGGTTATTAATGGATTTGATCAAACTTGGCAAATTAATTTATTTTATACCAAGCTAATAATATTTTACTACTAAAAATTAAGAAACACACTTTATGGCACTCCCTGTAGCAGCAAACCTAGGTAGGTACTTGATGAAAATAGATTTAATTGAAAATCCACCTACAGAAATGGAAATTCGCTTAATATGCAGGTTTGCTGCGGCGGGAGTATTTTTTTGTCTAATAATATTATGGTATATACCGTACCCTATTCTTTTAAATGTTATCAGTAATTTTTCCAAACAAAATTTGAGATTTTATGATACTTTAAAAACTGTATTTGTTGATAATTATTAAAATGTGTGCTCTAAAACTCAACTGAGAAAATCACATAACAATTTAATTTAGGTTACACCCTAAAAACTGTACATTTAAACTGTAACTATCTCAATTTTGTTGAGAAATACATAAATTATCCAATCAGAGATCATAAGTTACTGTTATCTCATAGAAATAATTGGCATTGACTACAAGATAAACAAAGTAGCCTAAATATTTAGTTGCCGTATTTTTAACAAATCTCTACAAAACTTGTTAACAGTATGAATAGTCAACTGCTTATAAGTTTAGAAAATCAATTTAAATCCCCTATTTCACAAAGCATTTGAATATTACAAAGCTTTAAGAGAAGACTAGGGAACAATAGAAAATTTATCAACAGACTTTTTTATTAATCATGATTAAAAGTCTTTATCACTCTTGGGGTAGCGGGGTTGTTGCGTTTTGTGGGCATGGTCTAAGGGGGGGGAGAGGTGTCGACTCGGGTAGCGCGGAGTCATGTTCCCATCCCGTCAATCATTCATTAGTATCCACAATTGTTTCTATTGAAAGTAAATTACTTATCATTGAGGAAACCTATTATAAAAAGTTAAATCGGTCTGGAGGATGTAGATAGTCAATTACAAAAATTGAACCAACCATACCTCTTTAGCTTACAGGTGATACTTAGTTGGGTTACAAGAAATTTTAGTCACTGTTTTTCTTCTTTTTTTTACCTGAGAATTGTTGTCGTAATGAGTTAATCCTATAAATTTACAAACTTGTTGCCTTTGGCTGAAAGTACTGGTAGTTTTAACTAAGCATTTTAGTAGACAATTTTTATTTTTTGTTTATACCGTAGCATTTTGTAAGTTTAGAAGGAAAGAAGTCCAAATCCCCCAAACTTTTGTGGGTTTACTGAGAATCAAACCTTTTTCTGTCACACGCCAGGCTAGCATATCACCTGATATCTACACAGCCTGCCAGCAATTATCTATAAAAATCTCTGAAACAATGAGACAGACACTCTCTGATATCAACAAGACAGTATTGAAAAATGTCTACAGCTACTTAACACACCGATGGTCTGCAAATAAATTAAAATATTTCCACACTGTTAGCAACATTTTTTTATTTCACAACAGTTGACAAGACATGTTAGAACTTGGCTCTACTTATTTGATTATACTCACAGAAGTAAGGGTGTTCCATTGCCTCACGAGCTGTGAGTCGCTCGTAGTGGTCGTACCGCAACAGTTTGTCCAGGAAGTCTAGAGCCTCAGGGGACACTAGATGTTGGTTTTCACTGTGGACGAATCGCTCCCATCGCTTACGAGAATGTCTAAATCAAATATTGTGCGATAAATCATAATTATAAATAAACAACATAATATTAAGTTTGATTTGCAGTAAGCCGATTGACACATAAATTTTTAGTTTGGAAATGATCATTTTTTAAGTTTAGATGAGAAAGAATTGGTAATTGTTTAAGGAAGACCACTCTAGAAAAATAAATTTCAAACGTCAGTCAAGACTTTGAGAAATACCAAATGGGATTTCTGCTGAAAAAAATTCAATAGCAGTTCGCCAAAATCAGAATGTATTAGACTACAGAAAAGTTAATTTTCCGTTATTTTATACTTTTCCTAAAGTAAGGTAATGTTATTTCCTAAGTAAGAAATATTCTTAGTTCAAATTCATTAATACAGTCATATGAAATTTGTCTGGGATAGATACCAAGATTGTTCCTACCTGCCCAGAATGTCCGTGAACCTTGGGTCCAACTCCATGTGGTACTTGTCCAGGTACTCGTAAAGTTCCTCTGTGCCCAACACCTTGGCAATCCTAACCAGCTGGTCGTAGTTGTCATGTCCATGGAAAAACGGTTCTTTCCTGAAGATCATACTGGCCAGCATACAGCCCAACGACCACATGTCCAATGAGTAGTCGTACATCTGCGAATCAACAAATATGTATTAAAATTCAAAAAATGTAGATGAATACGGTTCAGGATTTGGTGAAACTACACTGTTTTTTTTATATATTAAAAATATAATAAAACCTTGATAGAAAAACATTTCTATGGATTATCATATGAGACTTGTCATAAAGACTAGACTTCTTATCGAAGTTTACAATAACATATGAATTGGTGATGGTGCAAAAGTAAGAGTATACACTATATATATTAATAATGCGCAACTTGAAATATATTGGATACCGGTCACCGGATATAGCCTAGCCTATAATAAGACTGTAAAATACTTAAGTAATCCATTTATTATTAAAACTTATTGAAAACTAAAAACTAATTTCTTTATTGATGAAAAAATAGTTTTTGATTAAGCCCCTCCATGGTGCTGGCAAACTTGGTAATGAACAAATTTCTATCAAATCTAACCAAATTTAGACTTAAGTATGTACCGATACAATGTGAAAAGACTGAACTTATGCCTTCTGAAGTTGCTGGACTTTTCCTCGGAAGAACACTGTAATAAGTCCTTATTTCAATTAAATGAAGTGCAGACTCTAGCCTGAAAACACACCTGGTAGTCCACAAGCAGTTCCGGTCCCTTGAAGTAGCGAGACGCCACTCGCACGTTGTACTCTTGGCCAGGATGGTAGAACTCCGCCAGTCCCCAGTCAATGAGTCTCAACTTCTTGTTCTCATGGTCAATCATGACATTGTGAGGTTTTACATCTCTATGCATTATCCCCATACTGTGACAGTAATCCAGGGCCTGAAACAAACACAATTATGCCTACCAATCAAAAATTGCACACAGTTCAAGATTTTATGAATCTATTTTATTTTCATCATTATTTTGTAAAAGGCTAGATTAATTAAACAAATGAAATTTCAACTTAAAACTAGGGATGTGTCGATTCTCGATACCACAGATACTTGGCCATTGGTATCGGTATTGAGAATATTGTCAAAAGTCAATTTCGATACCAGTACCTATCACGCCCCTGCGATTGGAAAATTACCGCTATTGCCACGAACGCGCAAGACGACCCCGACGTTTCCGTGACCGCGGGAGATGTTGACGTCTACACAGCTGCGGAAGATGTTCATGATTTTGGCACAATTGCAGATGACAATGACGTCTACACGGCTGCGGGAGATGTTCATGCATTTGCCGTGATCACGGATGACGACGTTTCCTTGACCGTGGGAGTCAATGATGTCTATACGGCCGCGGAAGATGTTCATTTTACAGTGATGATGTTTCTGTAATTGAGAGAGATATTTTGGATTTTGTAATGATACCAGAAGACGAAGATGATATATCCACGACCGCTGGCGATGATCACGATATTATTATTATTATTGGATTGACTAAAAATGTCAGGATAGCACACCTCTATTTTTTTTTCTAGATCTTTATTTTTTTTTCAATATGATAGTTTTTAATGTGTTTAAAAGGGTTTAAACTAAAATTGACTAGTTGAAATGTATCATTGCTGCATAATTTTTTTCTTTACTTGAGAAACACCCCATTGCCTCAAAAATACATAATGGAAGACAGGGGTTGGTGTAGCACAACCAATCCGTTAAGAAAAATTTGGCAAAACATTAAAAAAATGGTATTGGTATCGAAAATGGATTTTCCAGGTATTGGTATCGAGAATCGATAAAGACACATTACTACTTAAAACATTCAAAAAACTTCACTAGACTTTCTAGTATTTAATAACTTAAACATTAAAAATAGCCATGAACCCAAACTTCAGACTAAATAACATATAAAACTAACACCTAGCCTATCAGGACATTATTGTAGTATTCACTAATAAAGTCAAATCTATGATGGCTTAGGCCTAAACATTCTTTAGTTAGGCCTACATGGCACATAGATATTGTATACCAAATTACACTTATTAATAACAGATTTTCCTTCCACTCCATAACATTTGGAACAAAAGGGGGAATTAAATTTACAACTTACCTTTAAGAGTTCGTAGAGATAAAATCTGATATCGTAGTCTGTTAAAGTTTGGTAAAGCTGTTTGAAATCGGTGTTATTTACATGTTCAAATATCAATGCTGGCGTTCGGGAGACTGGGTCCTTTACAACTGCTTGCAATGTAATAATATTCGTTCCTCCTCGTAGGTTTTCTAAGATTTTGATTTCTCTCTTAATTTTCTTTTTCTTAACAGGCTAAAAAGGAAAACAGTGGGTTGGTTTCAAAATAATTTATGAGAACAACAAATAATAATCAACAAGAGGATGAATATATCAATTTAAACTTTCCTGAGCGGGGGCTGCAGGGCAAAGAATTTATTTGGGATTAACAAAAAATTTTATTTTAAAATTGTTTTCTTTTTCCACTTTTTAGGAAAACATTTAATTTAATAAAGTGTTAAAAAAAGGTTATTGAAATAAAAAAAAAAACATGATAAGAACCATATGACTTCTTTAGCGCAACAATAATATTGATTGGCCTAATGTAAATGTTGACGGCCACTAAAAAGCTTTAAAGTACCTTAACTTAAATGAAGTTTACATGTTTTGATGAATATATGTGTGTTCGCTTGCAACTTTCAGATTGAGTTGTGTATGTGTATGTACGGCCACCGCTCGGGAAGAGTTAAGTGAGGATGTAATGCATGGGAAGGTTTATTATTTTCGCTTTAGATGGCAGTTAGCAAGTAATTAATTGTTCAATCAAATACTTAAATCGACACACATATTCAGCATTTATGAATGATTGTGGTTACTAAAAATATCAGTAGGCTAAATGAAATAAATGCAGTAGGTAGATAATAAGATAAAATAAAGATAAGATAAATAAAATAAAAATATTCTTTTATATCCACTTAAACTATCAACATTGTAATGTAAATAATATTCCTTTAACTGGAAGATACTACAAAAAACATTTCCTGTATAATGAGTTTACAAGACAATTTTTTTATACCTAAGAATTTTTTTTTAAACCTTAAGCTTCTAGGCTAAAGGTAGTTATATTGTAAATTGTTTAACTCGCTGAAAACAAAAATACACAATACATTGATCACATTTAAACAAACCACTGCTTTCACTGAGTTGTGGCAACTTGTATATAACAAACCAATTTATATTTTACAAACAAGGGTTACAACGTTACAACAAATGCTATTACAGTATGTTAATATGTGATTGAAGCATAGGACAAAAATCCTATTTTTTAATCTGATTTGACAATTTTCAGACATGTTGGATTTACTGTCCAAATCGTTTTCTGGTCATAGGTAAGAGTGGCCAGTTAAGACAGCATTTAGTATTAGATACACACACTTATATGAAAGGAACAAACATAGGTCTAAAAATTTTAAAATTATGCAAATTATCAGGAAAAATCATTAAAACTTACCTTTAGTATTTTAACTACACATTTTTCATTGTTTGTAACATTAATAGCTTCAAAGACTTCACTGTATTTTCCTCTACCTAATTTCCTAACGAGTTGGTAATCATCTTGCTGTCTGTAATAACAAAAAGCATTAATTAATTTAAATTAGGTAGCCTCAATAACAAAGCAGTAACATAATTTAAATGGATTAATTAATTTTAAAAAATTATCTAAATTGCGAGGAAGAATAAATCAATCATTTTCAGAGAAACACTTCTGAAAAAATATCCAAGACCCAAAAACCTAATGTTATGTAGTATACCTAATAATGACTTTTTTCAACAAAATTAACAATTTTAATACTCAACAATTTAGGCTACATCAAAGAGTATATTGCATTTGATAATTTATTTTTCGCATAATATTCAACCAACTAACTACCGGTCCCAAAGTAAAAATAATACTGTAAAAGAAACTCTTACAATCATAGTTTTTGAGCAAGTTAAACTGGAAAAATAAAATTACAATAAATATTTCAGCATTAATACTGGGAGGGCTTGACAAAGATGTATTAATAATCGTAAGCATAAGTCTGAAAGAGAATATAGCAGAAGATAGCCATATTTTAAGTTGGTACTGGACCACGTCCTACTTGCAACCTAATTTCATATTTAGATTAAAATTGTAGACCATATACAACTTACATTTTTCATTTGTACACTTGGAAAGAAAATTGTTGAGGAATTTCTATCATGAATTTGCAACCATCGGATACAACACTTGGCACAGAAATAAACTAAAAAATCTGAACTGAAGAACAGCTCACCCCCATACCCAACTAACCCATTTGCATCGGATGACATACTGAAAGTACCTGGTACGTCAAGTCGCTGATGTACGGTACACATCAGCCATGAAATTTGAACATTTTATTTTGACAAAAAATGTAGGCTACTATTTATAATATTTACATTTGTTTATCAACAATATTATGAACCTTGAATGATTTGATAATTACGTAATAAAACAGGTAGGCTATGTAGGCCTACCTATTTTTTTAGAAATATAAAAATAGTGTAAACATATCCTAAATACATATAAATAAGACGATGCAAATGGGTTAATGATGACAATAGCTTAGTACAGTAAAATCTACAATAACATACCAAAAAAAAATCCCAACTTGAGAATTAAAACTTTCCAAAAGAAAATAAAAAGACTAGTAATGCTCGTTTTTAAGATTTCCTTAGATAAATATGTAGCCAACCAACAATGTCATTTAACATGACTGTGTGGGCAGTCTAGAAACAAATGTATTACCCCCAATCAACAACGTATGACTCGTAGTCCCAGTATTCTCGCGGCTTGTGAGAGTTGACGTCAGAGTAGACCCGAGCTCGGCTGGGAAGTGCCATGGTTGGAGGGGTCGAGTGGAACTTGATCTGCTCACACGCAACCCCTGCAGCAGTCACCCTTCCTGCACTCTTCACCACATGAGTCCAAAGAAACGCTGAAAAAAGACCAAATAACACTTGTAGTGTTCCACCTTTGACTATTAATAGAAATAGAGTTTCTATCCCATGTCAAAGTGGTCAACGGGTCAAGAATATGCCGGACATAGTTGAATAAAGTAATGGTAATGTACCGTAATCATTATTTGTTGTTGAATACGCCAACTTTTTAACCGAGTAAAATTGATAGGGCCATTTGTTGAGAGCTGTAGCATCTTTCAAGTCGAATCAACTTTTACAGTAACAAAAACTAAGGCCAAAAATGTAACTTTAGGCTAAAGTGCACTTTGAGAGTGGGCTTTGTTCTTTTTTGAGCAGAGCGAAGACAAAACCATTTCAATTTTTGATAGTGCCTAATATAATTTAAACGTATCTAAAAAAATTTTAATGTTAACATTGGCCTTATGGGTTGCCATTGATGGTTGCAAAATTAACGATGCAAAGAATCATAGAATATGTTTAAAATCAAGCCAATATAAGTCCTAAACACGGCAAAAAGGATAAACATCTGGATGATGACCACTGATCAAATAATACAGAGAAAGTATACACTCCATTTGGATTAGGAAACTACCACTGATCGAAAGAATATGTTTAATACCCCCGCCGCAGCAAACCTGCAGGCTAAGCAAATTTCAACTTGTCTGATTACATTTTTACTAAAATATTTCCATAAATAAGATATTTTTAGTCCCAATTTAAATAACATTAGATTTAACGAGTGCTTAGGTTGGCTGCTACAGGGAAGGTAAAAAGTGTTTCTTAACCATACGTCAATAGTATAAGATGAAATAAATAAATTTGCCAAATTTTATCAATATTTATATCCAAACAAGTAAACTACAACAGTTTTAATTTTCTCCAAAAGAATGACATGGGAATTTTAAATTACACTATTTTTGAATTTTCTCCGTGACCGTTAGGCATACAACAGCGCTTTAATACAAAATTTTTTTTTAAGCTCTTCAAAACGGTTTAAAAAGAAATTTCAAAATTTTTTTATTTCTAGGGTCAAAAATGGGGAAACCCCATTTTAACCCCATAAACCCCTGTTCCCATTGGCCGATTATGCTGGTTCGAAAACTCGTTCGAATAAACGTAGGTTTACACGTTTGTACCTAATTTCATCAAAATCGGATCGTTTTTGCTCGAGTTATAGCGCTAACGGACACATATATGCATATGAATTTGAACGGATGGTGTTTTTGGCCTCTAGGGACCTAAAAAAAAAATTCAATCGGTCCCGGGTCCAGGTCTTACCATGAGTACTACAGTAATAGCTTTCCTTATATGGGAAATTCGCTAAAAAAACAACAAAAAAAGGTTTCCTCTTTTTGTATTCTGTGATTCTAATAGTTCCGGTACAGAATCTGAGCCAGAAGGTAACGTTTAACAACAAACTTTGCCAGACCAACCGATCACAAGTGATCACACCTATTCAAGCCCTGTAAAAATCAAACCCGAAATGAAAAAATATATAGGCCTACGTAAGCTTACAAACAAGTTAGCAAACAAGAAAAAGCAAAAAGGTAGGAAAAAAAGGAAAAGGAAAAGAAATACAAGTGGTCCAAAACCCCTGGTCATCTAAACAAGTTTACAGTCTACAAATACAATGGAAAATATGGACTCAATATTCCACTTACATCCGATGATCCTATTATAGTTTTTAAAACTATATTCGATGAGGACAATTTGTAAATTGATAGTTGATCAATCAAACCTATTTGCAATCCAGAACAATAACCAACTTGACTTGACTGCTAAAGACCTCCATGCCTTCATTGGCATTTTGATTTTCATGGGTTTCCATGTCCTGCCTTCTATAAGACAATACTGGAGTGAAGATGAAAACTTTCATGTAGAAAGAGTACCCAGAGTGATGTCTGTCAAGAGGTTTCTAAAAATATTAAGATTTCTTCACCTAAATGACAACATGACAATGCCACCAAGAGGGAATGCAGATTTTGACAAACTATACAAAGTTAGGCCGCTACTAAACCATCTGAAAATAAATATATGGTTTTGTTTCACCTTCGAGAAACCTGGCCATAGATGAGAGTATGATTGGGTTCAAGGGAAGAAGTTATCTCAAGCAGTATATGCCAAAAAACCAAAAGAGGTTTAAGATTTGGGTGTGAGCTTGTTCCGTCGTTTGATGTCTACACAGGGAAAAAATCTGACGGAAGCTCTGTGGAAAGGTTAGGGGAGAAGGTGGTGTTGAACGTTGCAGCTTCGTTAATCGGCTTCGGCCATTGTCTCTTTTTTGACAATTTTTTTTATCTGTTGAACTAGTCAACACCCTTCTTGAAGATAATACATTTTCTTGTGGAACGATTCTCCCAACAAGAGTAGAATATCCAGAAGATATGAAGATGGATAAGGAAATCAAAAAGCATGAATATGAATATGACTCATGAATATGCACAGTGGGGTGATCTAAGTGTAGTGAAGTGGATGGACAGAGGGAATAAATGTGTGTCTAATGTATCCAGCATGCACTGCCCAGCAGATGTGACCACTGTTGGACAAATAATAAAGGACAGCGTGAAACTGTACCTTGTCCAAAGGCTGTAGCCACCTACAATAAATACATGGGTGATGTCGACAAATTCGATCAGTACATGTCAAGCTACACCATTGTGCAAAAATCAAGAAGATGAAACTTTTTTTACATCCTGGATTCAGCTAGTAGTCAATAGCTACATAATGTATTCGTTTGACCACAAAGCAAAAAACAAAAAAGCCTGTGACACACTTAAAATTCAGGTCAATATTAGTAAATGGCCTCATTGGGACATTTTGTTCCAAAAAAAAGAACAGGCTACTCTAAAGGAAGCGGCAAAGCCCGAAAGCGTAACGATCCAGCAGGACGCTCCATCATTGACAACACAGTTCGTCTCACTATGAAATGAAATGAAAAAGTGCTTTATTGTACAAATTACATAATACAGTCTACCTCCATATGTACAACATATACAACACTAACTTGCACATAAAATAAAATACATAGGTACTGCTAAAATAAAAACCTAACACTTATTAAACAATGGTCAATGTTGACCGTCTGTTTGGTTGGCAACATACAGACCTTCTCCTTAACAAAAAAAAAAAAAAAAAAAACAATTCCAACTGTACAGTAATATAAAAGAAAAAAAGTCATTTATACACTTTTAACTTCATTTACAAAAACATTATTAATATATATATATATACATAAGGAAAAAACAATTAAATAAGTAACGTCTAACTATGGTATGCAGCAGAGAGTCGTATTAAAAATTAAATTCTTGGATTAAATCCCATCTATAAAACCAAGCCTCCTTTAAAAATTTACAGAAAAAACTCCAATCCTCCCCATTTAAATATGAAATAAACTCAGCTTGAGCCAAGAAATGTCTACCCAACCATTTAAATCTAATGTTTTTTAAAATTGGACATTCTGCTACAAAATGAAATACTGTTTAATCTTGATTTAAATTACAAAGGGAGCAAAGCCCACTTCCATCATTCCATGGTTTATAATTCAAATGAATCAGCTGAGCTCTAGCCTTAATAAGCCACGACACAAGTCCAATGTCAGCCTTATCAGTCAGCAATGTCCTGCCGCCGCGGTCAAGGTCAAGGAGCAAGTACTGGTCTCGATATCGCGCTGTCATCGCTTATATTCATTTACAATTTCTACAGGATTCCCCTTATAAAACCACTTACAATTTTTATCCAATTTCCCCCCTTTCCTAAAAACTATTATCTTTGATTTTGTTAGATTCACTTTTAAATTCCAATTATCACAATATTTTTCTAAATTTGAAATCATCAGCTGTAGACAGGTCGCCGTAGGAGCCAAAAATACTATATCATCTGCGTACATCAACATATTGATTTTTCTGCCTGCACAATAAAGACCTCCCCCAATAAAATCAGGCATGTCATGTATAAATAAACTGAACGCAATCGGAGAGCTGATACATCCTTGCCTCAGACCCACATTTGTGCTGAAAGGTACAGTAACCCCCTCCTTACACCAAACACTTGAAACTGTGCCCGTATACATATTTTTTATCACTTCAATCATTTTCGTCGACACACCTAGGCACGATAATTTAAATATCAAAGCATTCCTATCTATTGTGTCGAAAGCCGACGAAAAATCCACAAAAAATGCAAACACCTTTCCCCTCTTAACATTAAGCTGTAAACTTAAAATAGAATAAAGATTAAAGATATTATCCACTGTTGAATAACCTTGTCTAAACCCTGCTTGGAATTCTGTTAAAAGTTTACGTTTTTCAACCCACTCAGTCAATCTATTGTTCATTAAACTTACAAATATTTTACAAATGCAATCGATGAATGACAAACCCCTGTAATTTTCAACCTGATTAATATCCCCCTTTTTATGTAATGGAAAGATAATGGATTTTTTTAAACTGTGAGCTAAATTGCATTCGAAAAACATTTTATTGTAAACATCTAATAACTTCAACATAAAAACATCAGGAGAATTTTTAAAAAACTCATACGGCACCCTGTCTACACCTGGAGCCTTATTACATCCTACTCCTGAGAGCACGGCTTTTAATTCCAGCAGTGTAAAATTGCAATCAAGGTCATTGTCCTCAACTAGAGGGAGCGCATAACTGACGCAAGCAGACGACAGCGGCGGGTTAAGCAAATTATGAAAGTGGTTGACCCACTTATCTGGTGCAATGTTTCCCACGCCCTTATCTCGATCCTTTATCTTTAAAACATTCATGGCTTTCCAGAACGATTTTGAGTCCTTCACATTTCTAACGCCGTCGATTAATTGATCAAAATATAGTTTTTTCTTATTCCTACACATCTTTTTGAAATGTCTTTGGCTCTCCATATATTTTAATTTAGCCAATTCAGAGTTAGTCTTACGGAACAAGTTAAGTTGGCGAAACAAGGTCTTACGTACTACTAAACAATCAAAATCAAACCACGGCTGTTTGCTATGTAAAACCTTATCTTTTGGAACAATGCAATTCCCTTTCGCAGCGCTTTTAATTGTTGCAATGATCAGGTCCACATTATCCTGGTTATTATCAGTGAATTCAATTTGAGAGGCAAAAGCGCTCAGCTTTTTGCGGAAATCGTCGCAATCTTGTAGCTTCCAATTTAGTTTCGGCAACAAAGGGAACAGACCCCCCCCCCTTCTCAACCACCGCACCAGGACCAAACAACAAAAGCTGACTTCTATTGGCAGGTGATCTGAATCGTCTCACTAATGTTGGAGCTCACTAAGTCAGAGAAGATCGCCAAATATAGGCGGTGTGCTCACTGCTCCACGAAGAAGAAAGAGAAGGGAGCAAAATGTTATGCTCTACATGCAATGTTGCAATCTGCAAGCAGTGTTTCATACCGTTTCACAAAACATAAATAAGCCATAAATTATTTGTATTCTTGAATCTCTTATTATAGAATTATTTATTAGGCCCTAGGCCTATTTTAAAATAACTTATACACATCCAATAATAAAATTTTATTTTGGTCGAGGCCCTTTGCTAAGACCAGCGACAACTTCAAGGTATTGTGTATTAATTAGTTTAGTAAATTTAATATTTACTTTTAATTCAGTAGGCCTATCCGTAGTGAAACAGCTGGTGAGTGGTGATACGTAATCGTGCAGTTCTCTGATTGGCTGGTGGTTTCTTTCGTGCAGTAATTTGATTGGCTGGTGGTTTCTTCGTTAGTTGTTTGTTTAGAACAGTCTCCATGACTCCATGTTGTTAGTTCAAAGTGAAGTACAGTAGTGATAAAGGAGGACGTAGCTCAAATTTGTGATTAATTTTCATTCTGATTGTGTCGGAAAATCGCGTTCGGACATTATTTAGGAAACGGGATGATTCCTGGTGGAATATGTGGATACCTATCAATAAGTTATGTATTTGTTGGACAAAGTGATTTTAATTTTCGTTGTAGGCTAGTTGCTGGTTGGCTATCGGCAAACTAAAGACATGGTGCTCTCCGTGTGTGGCGGTTTTGGTTATTTTTTAGTTAGACAGTAAATTATATATATGTCGAGTGCACATTCATTGTGAATTTTTCACGTCGAATAGGCTATAGGCCCTACTGAATCCAACATTCTTGAAATGTGGAATTGTGTAAAATTGGTGTTAGGGTCGGTTTTATTAAATTCCAGTCAATATTTGGGACTGGAATTGCTTTTCCCCCGATCATAATCCTCCAAAATTTCATTTAAAATACTCTTTTTACACAATTTCACACTTCAGAAAGTGTTTTTAAGCTGGGGTCTGAGGTCCTAAATTTTTACCTGACTTAATTTTGATACAGTAGGCTACATAAGTTAAGTTAGGCTAAGGTAAAAAAGCATAGCCTATTTAGGCCTATAGGCCTAATATTGATCTAAAAAGTAAAGTTCAGTATTACCCTCTCCTCTTCTAATGTAATAACTTTAAGTGAAAGTGAATCCATTGTGGCATCAATCTAATAAGTAGGCCTATAAAACGGAAACACGAAATAACTTAGTCATACTTCACCAACAGACACAACCAAAACAGTCACCTCCAACACAGAAGGGCGCATGAGGAAATAAACTCCGCGCTAATCACTTACACAATAGGGCACAAGCTGAGAAAACCTTCATAAACTGACACCGCATCACTGAATTGCAACTGAACCAAGGGTGAATTTGGGTGTAGGTAGTTTAGGTGCGTTAGTAAGTTACTGAGCCAGACACGACTGCCGACACCCATTATCTTATGCATGTTTAAGCCTATTAACAAAAACTGCAAATGTGGAGGAAAACTCCACAAGCGCCCGCTTGAGGGTTAAGTTAGCCTAGGCCTTTATAGGCTAAGCTTATCTAAGGCATGGACTGACTGCCTGCCTTTTGTATAGGGAAGCTCTTAACTTACTTGTACATGTTAGAATAAGTTAAATTGTTGATGTAGAGTAGGCTATCCTATTGTCTAGGCGATTATTCATATTATTAGCATGCTAAAGTTTTCTTAATACTTAAAGGGTGCTATAGGGCCTAGGCCTAGGGCATAGGGATAACTTAGGCCTATAAATTGTGCAGCCTGATTGAATTCGATTGGGCAGAAAACTAAATTACATAGGTAGGCGTGTATGTAACCTAATAAAAGAATATAGCCTATTTTTAACTATCTTCAAAGGTTTTTAAACCCCAGCATGTTTTACCTGATTCTTATGTCCATGAATATAAGGTCGTACAATCTTAAAAGGCAGTGCCCACACCAAAGAAACACGCCATTACTTGCGCAACTAGGCCGAGAACACAGAAAATTCTTGGTCTTTTATCAACTCACCTGACACATTCCGTCCCAAAATAATGTAGCTTCTGAGTGAATGAATAGCTGAGCAATTATAATAATGAGAACTCACTACCTACTGGAATATCTAAATACTTAAACATTAGGTTTTAAACTATTATAGACCGGCTTCTTGTTCACTGAAAACCAATATGGCTGCTTTCATCCCGCCACGGAAAACTAGAAAACGAGGCTGCAGCCATAACATTACAATAAACCCCTCTACAGAAGATTGTGCATTTTAGTCAGGATCCAGCAGACAGCGTTATTTGAACTTTATTGCACTATATCAAAGACAAACTGCCACTAGTTTTGATTATCGTGATGGTGAATAATTATGAAATTTAAAGGATCTCTTGATTTATGTATGCCGGTTCGCTCTAAGAAAATATAATATGTGGATGGCCACATAATGTAATTTTAATGGATACCATATGGTTCAATATGTCTTAAGTGGTCTTAGTCATGTAATTTAATTTATTTATAGACATTGATGTATATAAATAAATTTGTGTAGCTTTGTAACGTTATGAACAATGCGTTAGGTCAAGTTCAAGCATTGCGTGAGATCAATCAACTCTATGAGATCTTTGAAATGAAATGAAATGAAATGAAAAATCCTTTATTTTTTCAGGCAAAGTTAGGGCCACATGGCCCTTTCTTACACTTAACCTGACATTAAAAAATATAACATAAATTTGACATTCCGACATTCACACAAGAACTCACGGCTAGCATCTTGTAGGGGATGGGACGCTAGAAACTCGCCCAGAACAGAATTTGGATACGATGTAATTGATATAGGTACCACAAAATCTAATTGGTTCGGACAATCCTGTTGCCAATATTATTTACTGATGGAACGCATGGTGGAAGGGAATTCCACCATGGATGGAACGTGTGTATGCAATCCTTAAGAGCAATGACATAATTGATCGTGTAATTTTGTATTAAAAAATGAAGACCACTACGAAATTAGCTCAATCATGGACAATATTCCAGACTATGTTCCACACAATATTTAGGAGATCGATGTATTTAAGCAGCGATGAGGTACTCACAGAAAACGACTCTGGGCAAACAGTTAGTTATCCTACTGAATTTTGTAACAGCCTCTCTCTGCGGTTAGTGGTCTACACCAAGTCGTATACTCAAGCTCAAGTAAAACGTCATTGTTATGTTAATCAGGAATTTTGATACGTTGTCAGGCTTGATTAAAGAGACGTGTAGGAGTGTTAAAAAGAATATGTATCGATCGCAACACTATCAAGTTTGAGGTGTCGGTTCTCCAAAGCCTTCGATACGGTGGACCACATATACTCTTCTGCTGACGAAAATTACAAGACCATGGCTTTGGAAACATCAAGCACGTCAGGTGGCTGGATAGTTACCTGACTGATTGTCATCTTAATGTCAAGTATGCGTCGGCTCTCTCCTCTAAATGTATTTCCTACTCTGGGGTACCCCAGGGATCGTTACTTGGTCCATATATAACTTCACAGTTTTCATTAATGACCTCCCTGACGCAATTCAGAACACGAATCTCTTCTTTTTGCTGTCGATGTAAAGACTTTCTCCATTATATCCTCTTTAGATGACTGCCTCCAGATTCAGAGAGATCTGACTAGTCTCTTGATCGTTGGTGTGAGGACACAGGAGGAATTTTAATATTAAGAAGTGCCAAAGTCATTATACTATTCATCGCTGTAAAGCCCCTATATAAATTATAATTATTTATGAGTATAACCGTGTAACTATGGGAAGGTTGTAAGGTCATAATCTTACCAACACAAGTAGACTTCCAGTAAATTTTGGAGCTCGTTTTTCGTGTCTGGTTTTTATGTCAGGTGATTGCTAGTGTCTAATATAAACCAAATTATTTTTAAAAATCTACTATTTTTTAATCTATGGGAAGGTTAACAGAGATCAAACACACTCCCCTTAATACCCAATTAAAACCCAATCTCCTTAATAGGGAGCATGTTTTATCTATGGTGGTGCCTAACTGTTTGGAGGATCCTCTATAAAATGTGTTACTCCATTGAACCCTCGTCTGATCAGGCAATTTAATAGCCTCCTAAATAATAGTTGAAAATAGAGAAATAAATGGAACTAAACTAAAATTAATTATATATCAAGGCACACAAGCTCGTTGGCGTACCTTTAAGAATACTATTAAAATCAATGCCCAGTTCTAACTTTAAATTACTCATTTTTAGTCTATGCTGTACCTATAACTTTTGGAAGGACAGCGACAGCGAGAGGATCATCTGCTGACTCGGGCGGGACTCCAAGTCCAAACCCCAAGTCCAAGACTAATAAGAGTCCAGTCCAGTCCTCCTCCCCCAAGGTCCAAGCAAAACATTAAACAAATTACACTAACTATCCCATCATGGCCTTAGAATCCTAGTAAATCCCGTCTATTATCTTGACACAACAAAAAAAACAAAAATCAAAATGAAATTTGCCACCAAACTAAAACAATATCCTCAACAATTCCAAGTCAATACTAACAAAAATGTTTAATCTATGCAAAAACTCGTGGGGTGTCATAGCTTATAATGTCATAGCTTATAATCGTGAATTTGTTCCATAGCTTATAATGTTGAAAATGTGGCATAGCTTATAATCAGTTATAAGCTATGCCACACTTTCACGAAAAATTATAAGCTATGCCACAATTTCTCTAAAACGTTATAAGGTATGACACATTTTCAGTTTCACAACTTATAATGGTCAAATAGTGGTGCAGCTTATAATTCCGATTCTGTTCTATAGCTTATAATCCTGATTTTGAGTCATACCTTATAATCCTGATTTTGGGGCATAGCTTATAATTGAAGAGAATGTTGCATTGTGGGAATGGCATCAGCTGCTCGCTTCAGTCAGGTCTACCATATATACGATATTTTATGGTAGGATACGATAATTATTGTAATTGACCGTACTGACAACTGCGATATCGTAATTTATAACCTAAACATTTATTTATTTAAATGTTTTAAACGATTTTTATACGAGAAATGGCAACAATTACATGCTATATGACAATGAAAATGCAAGAAATATTTATAGTGAGAAGTTAAAAGATATGAAAATGAAGTGAAGGATAACGGCATTGAAAATTAATGAATCTTGTCAATAGTCCGGCTGGTGTTTACAGAAGATAAAGAAGAGGAACAATAATTATCAATAAATTGTAAACATCAAAAAATTCCAAAACTATTGAGGTGTTGAAATCCAGTAAGTTGTGTTTTAATCCAATCCTGTTCCTAGGCCTTGTTATTCAAAGTAACAAAATGCAGCAGGCTATTATTTGCTTGAGTGTTATTAGGTTAAGTTAGTAGGTACAGTTGCCTAGCCTACTTGAGCTTAAGGTAGCTGTGACTCAAGTTACAGATTTCCTGTGACAGGCCTAAACAATTAACTTAATAAAAATATCAGTGAATGTATTCAACGGCTGCACTTTATTTTACGTCCTACACTCATTAGAATGAAAATAGGCCTATTGATTATTAGATTGTTTCATTCGATATATCGTTTGGTTAGTTAGGTTAGGTTAACCTTACCTAACTAACCAAATGATATAACTTATCTAATAATCGATATATCGATCGATATTTTCATTCGAATGAGTGTAGGACGTAAAGTAAAGTGCAGCCCTTAAGTTTACGTCCTACACTCATTTGAATGAGTATTAAGTATTCGAGTAGGCCTATATTCGATATAAGTAGGCTATCAAGTTTGTATCACCTTTTGTTTGTGTAACCTTAGAAATGGTAAACGTGATAATACTGAGCCAAGAGATTTAACTTGGGTAGGTCTACAGTTTCTTAACTGGGCTACGCTAACTTAAGTTAATATATTTTATTGAACTACAGTATTGAATTAAAAATATTGATTAATAATAGATATTTTAAAATATACCTATCTAAGTTTATTATAAAATTAAATTATCATAACCTAACTTAACCAACCAAACTTGCTGATGGTGAAAAAATCGCATGTAGGTTTACTAATCAAATTGATAGTTTCAATAAAATTAGCGTAGCCCAGTTAAGAAACTGTACCCTTTAACTTAGCCTATTCTACCATCAATACTGTTAATACTATTCAATGAAATGGCGACGATACATATTAGATATTTTAAGCCAAGTATGAATGGAAATTTAGTAGTCTATAAAATAACTTACAATAGGTAACGTCACAAAACTTAAGTTAGGTTAATTTCACACAGTAAACAAGGCAGCAAACCATGCAGTTAACTTATGGCAAAAAAACATGTAGGCTACCTAAGAAAATGAAATTGTGACACATACCTGAGTACATGAATAAAATTACAAATTAGGCAAGTAGGCCTATGGGTCAACTTTTTTCATATTAGCCCACCATACTTACAATTGATTGTAATTGGCAAAGGCAAATATCCTTGTATTATGTTTCTTTCATAACCTAAAATCAAATGAAAATTCGGTTTGAAGGTGTAAGGCGGGATAAATCTGAATGAGTTCGCGAACTAGCATGATCGGGCCATGGGACCGGGTTTTAATGAGTTCTATGGAGAGAAGGGGCCTAGGCCAAAAAATGGGGTTTTCTCATTTTTTACCCTTAAAACACAAAATTTATCAATTATTCTCTAGACCTTTCTAAAGAAATTAAAAAAAAATAATATGTAATCTATGTATCGTGTTGTGTATAGTGGAGTCGTGGATTAGTTGTCCGCTTAACTGTGTGTGTGTAAGTGTTCGCATAAAAAACTCAAGCTAACCGTTGCACCTATAGTGTTAAAAAATTGCACGAATCTTAATTATGACACCAATGGAAAGTCACCATAAAATTTAGACGATTCCGTTCAGTAGTAATTATAAAACCCTCAAAATACATTTTTAAATTTGTCCCATAAGAATAACATTAGAAGCTACCTTCTTCTACTTTTTATTTGTTTATGTTTTGCGACCAACAAAAAGCTTAATTTATATTTTAAACTATATATATATATATAGGCTATATTTATTTTTATAAATCAAACTTGAAAGCTTTATTTTATACTAAGCTATTAATGTTTTAATAAAAAACACACTTTATTAGTTCCACCTGGGTAATGACACTTGGGTCCGAGAGAACCAGTGGCCTTCGAGTTTTTAAGTTTTTATCTACCAATCCAAATATTTGTACAAAGAAAATATGCCCTACCTTGAGCTATGTTCTATATTCTGTTTTTACTTTTAACAAGAAGTAGGCCTGAATGATGTAGGCCTACACTGCCTATTTTTGTTCCAGGTAAATTTTCTTGTAAAGCTTGGAGCATTGCAAATGTTTGGTGTTAATGTATGAGAGTACTTCACATGTAAACAATAAGTTGTCTGCTTATTTGGGGCCAAATAAGAAGGAGAGAAATTTTCTTGGAAAAGAATCGAAAGCAATAAAGATAAGTAAGTTTGGCTAAGTTATCAATATGATTAAAAAGCATTTTCAGTCCTTGTTTAACATTAACACGTTGACTGCTAACGCCGACTCTAGTCGGCGTCGCTAGCACTTCAATGTGGCGCGCGCCGACAAAAGTCGGCACCAGACCAACAGAAATATATTGAGTCAGTGTGAGCTTAGCCTCAGACGTAGACGTTATAGTCGTTGCCAGCCTGCCAGCTTAGAATGCGAGCTTTACTTTGGTGTAGGTTGGTACTAAAATTTCCCGTAAAATCCTGTCTGGCAATGCTTTTGTCCCGGTTTCGGGGATTTTTTCTCTTCAACCCACATTACAAAGACACTGGATACGGATCCGTGCAGTGCTGCTACCTTTGGGTGTTTCAGTGAACTACATCCACTCTCGGGGTAACGCAGCACAGTCACCACTGCTCTTTTGTGATTCGTCAGACTGAAATATTTGAATGCCAATTGCGTTCGCTGATTCGGTTGCGTGCCGGGGCTTCGCCCGCCACTGGGGAGCGCCTGTACGTTGTTTTCAGCAGTCATCGTGTTAACTTATGATGTGCTGTGGCGGTTAAGTTTTTATATTTGGAAAAAAATACACTTTAATCAACTTACAGCACTGTTCAAGTTTCAGAGTTACCTATGGTGACAGAATAATACAAGGCATGTTATTTAAGTAAGTACTGTTTTTAAAATTCTCCGTTTCAGTGCTGCGATTGGCATTTTGGACATTTGTGCTGTGTATGTGGATGTATTGGCAAGCCTGCGCTGGAAATTCGGCACAAATCGGCTGTGTTTACATCCGGTTTAGAGCATTCAAAACGGTGCCGCCAATTGAGACTGCCGTCGCCTGTGAAGTTTGCGCTGTACCGGTAATTAGATTTTTAAGTGCTAAAGGTGTGAAAGCCATTTAAATTCATTGACAGATAAGTGAAGTGTATGAGGAGAAAATTATGAGTGGCGGAATGGTACCTACGCAGGTGGGTAAGGGCATTTTTAAAGATGGCCGCACCAACGTTCATGAATAGCAACGCACAGGGTGGCCATCTATCAAATTGTCATGGTGATTTCCAGGATGTGAATCCGTTATCTTCGGAACCGGAGACTTACGCTGTACAACTACACCAGTCTAAATATGTGGAAAGATCAAGTTATTTGTTTATAGTTTATTGCCCCCACACAACTGGTAACAATAAAGTAGTTTCACATCTTTTTGTGGTAAAAAAATGTTAATACCAGCACAGAATTAAATTAGTTATTTTTCCCCAACACCCATTAAACCTTAGATACATCGATTGCTCATATGTAGGAGCTTGAACAAAAACGATCATACTAGTTTGATGAGACACCGTGCTTGTCAGATCATGTGAAATGAGAAAGGCTACTATCTTACTAATGTTATAAATGTGAAAGTTTGTGTGTTTGTTTGTTCGTTTGTGTGTTTGAAGTTCAATCACGTGTTAATTACTGGATGGATTGGGCTCAAATTTGGCATGATGATAGCTCACATTCACGATTAACATAGGTATAGGCATATTTTTATCTCAAAAATCCTTTTGGGCTCCGCCTTAGTGGCTCTAGAGTTTCCCATGTTAACCTTTACTCATATTTAAATGGAATTAAAGAATTTAGTCAGCTGTTTCAACTAAAAAGGTTGGTTCTATGATATGCAAAGGCGTTAAAAGTTATAAGATTTACCAACAGGATGCAGCACTATTATTTTTTTTTCATTTATGAAAACAGCTAATTTGAACTAAGCAGCAACAAAAAACTGTGATACACAATGGTAACTGTCTGTTTACAGTTATGTTTATGTTTTTAATTTCACGAATAATTTGTGATATTTTGTGAATCTTTAATAATTAATTTTTTTCTTTTGTTTGGGTGAAGTGGTAGAACATTATGGCTATGGTAGATGAGTAATACTATAGTCATAGACAATAGAGTAAATATAGACTGCCGCTAGAGCTTTTTGCCATTCGATATCAGTTATCGGTATTCGATTCAGTGTCGTCGTCGACTTCTCGCCAGCTGTTACCAGCACTACCACTCTTGCAAACGAAATGATTACTAATCGCTATTGTCGTCTTCTGCAATCGCGTCAAAATCATGAACATCTACCGCGGCTGTGTAGACATCATCATTGAATGCCGTGGTCACGAAACGTCATCGTCGTCCTCGATTGCGGCAAAATTGTGAACATCTTCAGCGGCCGTATATACAATCGTCTTGCGCGATCGCAGAAAAGACGTGATCATTTTTCCCGTGGTCCGTGGTCACGAAAACGTCGTCTAGCACAGTCGCGGTTTAAGAACATCTCCCGCGGTCGTGTAGACACATCATCGTCTTGCGCCATCACGGAAACGTGATCGTTGTCTAGCGCAATTGAGTAGCGGTAAATCATGAAATTTACCGACTTTGATATCAAAATAAAGACTAAATCCCAACTTTTCCAGACCATTTTGAAATTCAATACTAATACCTGACTTTCCCGTTTTCCCCGACTACTAGACATCCTGGTTAAATTTAATTTTGACCTTGCAAATATAAAACAAAACCTTCCAATAAACCACTTCCTAAAATTATGGATTAATAAAGAAAAACTTTGAATCATTGTAATGAAACTACAAAAGTATAACAAATATATGTTTAAAAAAAATACAATAAAAGATGGCATTTAAATTAATTTATTGCTTAATATTAAATAAGTCAATAAACTCCAATTCTGGGGGATTCCTCCAAAGTTGGCAACACTACTCCCAACTACCAAGTTGTTATGGAAACGGTCGCTAGCGCTTGATGCTGCAGCGGTGTGCGCCGTAACTACACATTACCCCTGGCGGTCGGCGCCGGAATATACGCTAACCGCAGCACAGCTGGCCACTCTACTCCTGCCAAGTATGGTCAGACCAACTACCATATGATTTTATATGATGAAGCCGTACTTGGGCTACCGCTGTATGGTTTCATCATGACATGTATTTCAATCATTCACTGGGTTATAATTTGTATGTATTTGAATGGATACATTTAATTCTTAATTGATAAAAGACTATGAAAACCGTTTAGTGCTCTTTGGTGTTCTATAGTGCTATGGTGGACACAAGAGCGTAATCTGATTTGGTTCTACAGTACTTTACTTTACTTTAATTTTAATAGTAGCCTGCTGTTAGCAGGTTTGTGCTGTGCTGGGCAAGTGTGTGCAATATCCATGGAAAAATTATGTTGAATCCTCTCACCTTGTGCAAGGATCCTTTAAGTCAATCTCAATTTCTCTTGCAGCAAAGTCCAGGACATAAATTAACCACCAAGCTAACAAGACACCCCTTTCTCTATTTAGTTCTGATAACAATTTTGAGTTATTGTTTATTTGTTTCAGGATATCATGACAGAAGAATGCAGAAGGGTTGCTCAGCTATTAACTTCGCCTTATAATCTTTATTTATTTCAATTGTGTTGTAAGAAGTATTTTTTAAACAGTAAAACTTTCTCCAATTTATAGACTACCTATTATGATTCATTGTTGTGTTTTATTAAGGTCCCTACCCTTATCTAAGAAATATTTTATAAACCAAAATGTTTAATGCTGCTCGCCTATTATTCTTTATGAAATATTAAAATACACTCCATTATTGAGCCTAATCATATTGATTTTCACCTTTTAAAAAAGTAAGTAACACAACCAAGACCACCAGTCCTTAAATAAAAGTACTTCATAATTATCCCAGTAAGACATAGGCTAATGGATTTCCAAATTCCTCCCTAGGAGTTTATCTGCATCCGGACAACCAAATTTTAAGATTATTATATTTAAAGAATAGGCTTGCTAATACAAATATTATGTTCATTTATAACTTTTTCCTCATTATCTATACATAAAATTGATTAAAATATGTGAATGCGACTATTATTAATGGGGGGGAGGGGGCGCCACAACCATGTTTGCTCCGGGCGCTGCCAACCCTAGATATTTACCTTAGGCCCTATTTATGCTCAAGTTTGGGTTGCAACTAAGGCTTGGTGTGTCGCCCAAAACAAGCGACAAGCAAAATTTAAATTTCATTCTTTTGTACCGAATGTGATGCAATAGTGATGGTCTAAACCAGAAATTTTGAATCTCAAAACCGAAACCGAAACTTTAAAAAAATCAAATCCCGAATCTCGAATCTCAAAACCTAAACGCGAAACTTTTTTACTTAGCTGGTTACAAAGGTCAAGGTTACAAAAAATACACATAATCATAAAATGTTAAGTATGCAATCAAAACTGAAAGAGATCAATTCCTGACCATGACAAAACATAAATATGTGAATGTGACTGATAATCTTAAATCCCAAAAATAATTTTTTATAAACAACTAACAAAACAAATAATTAAACTTCTAACACCAACATAAACATGAATATTAAATTAATTAGAACATTTAGTGGTCAATATTTGTTTTTGAGTGAAAATTTAAAAACGTACGTTTTCATGTCCCTGGCCTTTTACTTCGTAGATACTGGATTTGTAGTTTATTATTATGTGTTTTAATATTTTTAGGGACGGGGGCAACATGTTACACACATTTATTTTGTTTTAAATAGGTTCTAGGTATTTTTTTCGTATTTTTAAAGTCTCGAAATTCACGACCATGACGTGTCCCTAAGGGTACATTTTCCAACTTTCACGCTGTTTTTAAACTAATTATTCATGCCGAAATATATAAAGCCATATTTTTATGTCATCAATGGTTATTAAACTTACAAAAAAGGAGCATATTATAATTTTATTGTCATTACAAACTGACTACCATGACAAAATAAGTCTGTCCCTCGATTTGGCGTCACGACCATTTGGGAAAAATTTTCAACTTTGGAGCACGACAGTGGCAAGCCTGGCATCGATGGAGTCAGTTGGTTTTAGAGACTAGTTCGGGGTGTATGTCAGGGTTGTAGTGCCGGTCGTTTCGAGTTGAAAGGAGGAATATTACAAGATTAATAAAGAAAAGATTGTGTTTTTTGTAATTTTGGTGTGTCCATGACCGTACGTAGTCATTCGATGAAGTAGACATGGTGTTAATTTTTGTTTATAAGGTATTTCAATTGCTAGATTAACCTAGAAGTCCACTTTGTATCCTCGAACATGAGGTGCAGGGCTACCGCCAGAACAGAGCCAAATAACACGGAATTTCACGACCAAAGTTTCACGACCATCGCAGGTTTTTTCACGACCAATCCAGCCTTATGGATTATAGTGTGTTTGGTCGTGACAATAAATTTAATATAATTGTAAATTGAACAGTTTAGTTCAATTGAAACACATATTTTTATTATAACTAACAGGATAATTGAAGGATTGTTTAGATAGATTTAGATTATTCCAGACAATTCACGACCGTATAGCTTGTCCCTGACCATCACGTTTATGATTTCTATCATAAAAATTTCAAAAATTAATATATCGTCATATTTCAATGTTTTATACACAAAAGAAGCACACCTCTATACAAACATAACGATTTTTCGGGTCTCAGGTAAGTTTTTTCGGAGTTATACAAACTTAAAAAGATGTTATTGGCTTTTTTTAAATTTCTTGAGTTTTTTTTATTTTTTTCTAGAAAGACCAAATATACCAAAAGCTCAGTGACCTTTTTATTGTATAATGGTCATAAAAGTAAATAAGTTTATAGCAAAACATAGTTATAAAAATAATATTAACTATTTTTAATATTCATTTAAACGTCCGTTATGGTCGTGACAGGATTTTGTGTTTTCCCACTAAAGATGCTCTTTTAAAAAGAAACTACCAAAGATATTGCGTTACCATGGACATTTTATGAAACTTCAAATGTTAATGAAATAAAAAAAATAATAAAAGTTTTGAAAAAAGGGGAAAAGAATTTGCAAAGTGCTTTTCCTGGAAACGTACGTTTTTAAATTTTTAATCTTTTGCATTTAGTAAATATTGATGTGAAACTGAATTGTACCAGTTATAGTATTTAAGATACCTTTTGAAGTTCAGAATAAAATTTACTTAAAAATAAATTTAAGGCTAAAAAACAATAACAATGGCACAAAAAAATGTCAGTAGTTTCAAAAATAAAACTGCCAAAATCTTCAATTTCGAAACTTTTGAATCTCGAAACTTTGTGATCGAATCTCGAAACCGAAACTTTTCCGAAGTTTTCAGCTGATTAGACATAGGCGACTTACCCAACGGCCCTACGACGTGGTGGGGAAAGCTTCTAGCCAAGGGTCTGTCTCAGTGACCAGTGTGTCTCCAACCATCCTATGCGTGGGGTCAGTTGTTAAGTGGAGTCGTGCAAATCAATTTGTAGTTTGCTGTGTTAGTTGGCAAAAATTTAATTTTCAACAAACCCTAAAGCCTATATCCCTCAGGGATATAATTGCCACGCGTTTGGAATTAAATTAAGTTAGGAAAAACTCGTTTCATCCTCACCACTTTATACATACCGCTCCCAAAATTTCACGTCTTAGTTCAACCAAAATTCAATTTGTCCGCATTTTGGAAAAAACTCATCCGTATTCTCTCTGATTCCAAGTGTTTTGTGTCTGACAACCTAGTAAGTAAGTAACTATATATTATTTATTGTATTAGTGTTATAATTACCTACTCTTAGTGGGTCGTACAAGCCATTACATTTTATTTTATGTTTTGTCATTTCCTGTTCTTGAGCACATGTTTTCAGATTCAGATACTAATAAGTACATTTTGTATCCATTTTGATATAATTAATTGGTATTGATACATAGTCAGTGATTTATTTATTAAAATACATCACATAACGCCTAAGGAGTGCTTCTGCACGCAGGCAGGTAAATTGTCAAAATATAATAATAGTATAGAATAAAAGCAACATAATAATAAATATAGTAATAAACATAATAGAATAAATTATTAACAGTATTGAAAAACAAGTATAAAATAAGTTAGGTTATTAGCAAAGTTTACAAATAAGTTATATCAATGTCTATAAGTTCTGTTTACTACAATCAGACTGATAAAAAATCCTCAATTCTGTAACAACAATTGTCTAACAGGTAAGACAGTAAGTGTAACAGGAACTTTTTAAATGATTCTACCTCTCTCAGTGATAAAGGAAGCTTATTATACAGTTTGAGACCCATATAAAAAGTACTCTTTTCATAAGCAGCTGATTTATGTGTGGGGTACTGCAACACAGAGCTCATGGGCCTAAAGCTGTATTGGGAGTTACTTCTTTTTTCTTCATAAATAGAAAAATGTTTTTTGACAAAGATTAAAGTGTTGAATATATACAAAGAGGGCACAGGTAAAATCTTCATTCTTTTAAACAAATTTCTACAAGATGTTCTTGGATTAACTTGTGCAATAACTCTTATAATTCTCTTTTGTATTTTAAATATTTTTTTACTGTCAGTGGCATTTCCCCAGAACTCAATACCATAGCCAATGTTAGAGTCCACATATGCAAAGTATACCATTATCTGAGTTTTTTCATCTATTAATTTTGAAAGCACTAAAGTAACGTGAAATGCTGCATTAAGCTTAGATTCCAATTGATTGATATGATCAGACCATGTTAGAGTTGAGTCTAATTTTATTCCTAAAAGGTTGCAAGATTGAATTTTACTTAATGTGTCTTCTAACGGGTTATAGTCAATCTGTCTACTTTTTATGCTATTGCTATTAGAATGGAAGTTCACACAATATGTTTTATTTCTGTTAAGTTTAAGATTATTGGCCAGAAACCATTCAGTCATAAGATCAAGATCATTTTTAATTTCAATTTTTAAAATATCAGGGTTTTTATGTTTTAATACTGCAGTAGTATCATCAGCATACATTACCAATTTTGACTTAAGATTTTGTTTCAAGAGGTCATCAACATAAATAAGAAACAACAATGGACCCATTATTGAACCCTGGGGAACACCTTCAGTGACATTTTTGAAGCCTTAATAGTTAAGAGTAATTCAGTTGAACTTTTTGTTTTCTACCCAACAAGTACGACTCCACCAAATCATAAGCTTTTTGTCTAATTCCATAAAACTGAAGTTTGTGCAATAAAATATTGTGATTGACACAGTCAAATGCCCTTGACAAATCACAGAAAATGCCAATGGCATACTGTGATCCATCAACGGCACTTGCTATGTAATTCAAGACCTCAAAGAGAGCATCTGAAGTGTTACAACCCCTAAATCCAAACTGATTACTACAAGGAATGTTGATGGTTTCAAGATATGATACTAGTCACTAGTCTATTACAGATTAATTTTTCATAAACCTTGGAGAAAACTGGCAATAAGGATATTGGTCTGAAATTCTCAAGCTGTGTTTTATCTCCTTTTTTGTAGATTGGACAAACAATACTATATTTCAGTAAATCTGGAAATATGCCTTTATTAATAGAAATGTCGATGATGTATGACAAAGGTTCAACAATGCTGTTTTTACAAATTTTTAAAATAAAAGAGGGAATGCCATTCCATCCTGAGGATCTGGAATTTTTCAATTCACTAATTATGGACCTAATCTCACTTGAGGTAGTTAATTTAAAACAATCTAACAATCTAGTTCATTTTACAAAAATAAAATTGAAGCTAGACAAAAATATCCATCAATAGCTTCAAGGACAAACTATCCGCTTTTGCACCGACAATCGTCTGCTCTGCTATGTCACAACACTGCAACAGTTTGTGGTTGGGTGATAACTACCCTAACCATGACAACGTTTGGTTTAAAAGGACCCAAAGTATTTATTAATAATCACAATTAACGTCCATTTATATAGTCTGGCCATATTTATGGGCCTGTAATAGGCTACATGTTTATGCCGTGTTGGATTAACCGTGGTTTTCATACTTATCTGTGGTGTACCTCCCACCATTACCCTGGATAATCTAGGTTTCTTCAATTGAAAACAGACTCACGAAATTATGAGAGAAATGAAAGCATGAAGTAAAAACAGCATAAGCTATCGCACAATATGAACAGACAATTGCAGGTATAAAATGCCACATGAACAAAAAATTGACTTTTCATAACAAGAAATATAATTTCTAAAGATAATAAATTTGAACGTATTATTTCCTGTATTTCATAAGCTTATATCCACGAACTTATGAGGGGACATTAAAAGCTTAAGGCATAGATTAAAGGAGTATAGACACTCTACTTTTGGCTACTTCTTTTTATCAATGCTTAAGGTTAAAACAGAAATAACTACCTATCCCACAGAATTAACAGATAATTTAGGCCTACAGGGATTTAACCTCTTAAGGTAAATTTAACATGAAATACAATTTGCCTTGTACTAACAAAAAATATAATTTACAACAGTTGATAAACTTGAACATATACTGAGGTTATATTCACGAAATAATAACGGGAAACGAAATCTTAAAAGTGAAAACAAAAACAACTATTTCAAAACATTAAAAGATAATTTAAATATTTAAACTATAGCAGTTACCCGGCGCGCGTTGTTGCGCTTAACAAGAATGATTTTAAATGGTAATTATTCTTTACGATGAAACCATGTTACAATAGAGTAGATATTAATAATTGTCTCAGTCATAAGCGTTTCCGTAACTTGTACATTTTTCAATTTTGATTTTAAGTCGTCACTTGAAAATCCACACTGGAATTTCTTTTTGTTTTACTTAACATAAGGTTCATCAATATTTTTCTTATTTCTGGTATTTTACATATGATAATAACCCCTACAAATAAGTGACTGGAGATCATTTTTTACATGCACAACTGAAACAAAAACATACAAACTACAAACAGTCATGATTTCCTCATTTACAAAGAGATGTCTGAAAGAGGCATCATACTCAGCGTTTGCTAGGATTCTTACAGCTCTTTTTTTATTAGCAGTACATCATTAATTTCAGCAGACCCACCTCAGAGTCTGAGCCCATACAAAAGAACTCCTTGAAAAAAAGCTACATAGGCTTTTTTTAAACAGTTTTTATTTAGACAACTTTTTAGACAACTTTACTCAATAAAAACAAATTGTAAACAAAACATGACCTCTATAATCTACATTGCACCGTACAGAAATAAAACTACAATTTGGGCTTACTGTTCCATAAGTATGACAAATCTACTAAATATGTTTTGATCATAGATCAAACATTAAGCCCCTTAGAAGATTTGTCATCCTTGTTGAAAAGCTGAAGGCAATTTTATTGATATTCTATGCCGACTGTAGAGGTTGTGTTTTTTTTTACAATATATGTTTCTTGATTGTTATTTCAGTTATTTAAAACCTAATTTGACCAAATAAAACTATCTAATCATAAAAAATAACTGGTCTCCTAGTTATCTAACCAAACCGTAAAGCACAAATCTTAAAATTACCCTAATATAATAGAAACAATATTTCGTTTACACTAGCGATCAGTGTCGACATACATGAACTAGACACGAAAAACAAGCTTCAAAATCAACAATGGGATGAGAAGTCTACTTATGTTGCATAGTCTACGGTTTTATCTATGAAAAAGTATTTTTACACCGGTATTACACAATATTACAAAATAAATATTATACAATAGTTATGCATAGCATAAATAAGCAACACGAGCAACATCAAGCTTATGATAATATATTTCAGCTTACGTAATTAAAGTAAAACAGCAGATACAAAAAGTTATTCTATTATTCAACAAAAAACCATTTCATATATAGGCTACATCTATTACATATGTCGTCCAGGAGTAGAAAAAAATTGAAATACTTTTGGTTTTGCTACGTTGGCTGCACTTAACGCAACTTCTTATTGCCGAGTAGCGGCTGCTAGTCCATACGATAATTTGAGGACCATTGCACGATAATTTTTTTGTCTACTCAGGATCGATCAGCTGTCCCATCCGCTATGACGTAATTCCCGCACGTTATAAGCTATGCCACGTTTTTAAAATTATAAGCTATAGAACAAACGAGATATTATAAGCTGCAGCACATTTGAGCTATACCATTATAAGTTATGCCACATTTTAAGAAAACCGTTATATGCTATGCCACATTTCTACGATTATAAGCTATGGAACAATTTAAATTTTCCATTATAAGCTATGCCACATTTTCAAGATTATAAGCTATGCAACATATTCGCAATTATAAGCTATGACATTATAAGCTATGGCATCGTACCCAAAAACTTACCAAATTTTAATGAAAACCACAGAATCTTCAAATAAATTAGTGCACAGCGAGGCTGCATATAATAAAAGCCTGCTTTTCCAAAGTGGAAATGATAGTGATAGTGAAGTGAAGTGAGTGAGAAGTGAAATGAAGTGCAAGTGAAGTGACAGTTCGGACTTCGGAGTTCGTGCCCGTGCGTGCCGTAAATAAAAGCTTAGGCTACCTAATAAAGGCAAGTCTTCTACTTATTGTGAAATTTATCTTAGGTAAGGATAAGCCACCTTGATCTTGATCACTTAGGCCTACTCAAATGTTACACAGTAATTTTAAATTGCAATACCCGCTTATAACCCTTCAAGCCTAGGCTCCACATAAAATGGTTCAACTTGGTTAACAATGGTAACTTAGGGTGCCTAGCCTAGGGTACTCATTTTATTTTTTATTTTATTTATTTGTATACGGTAAACACCATTTTACATTTTACATTGCAATTTATACAGATGGCCAAAAAAAGATGACGTAATAATAGTCAAAGCTACTACCTACACTTAATTAACAAAACATAGTTGATAAATAAATATAGGGTATGATAAATATCACAGCAAGTGGCAATAAAGACTAGTTAACATGCAGGAACAATAATACAATAAATATTAACGAAGTAGAGACTAACAATAAGCAAATCAAAAATTATGAAACACTACAAAATAAATACATAGTGTGGAGGCAAAAACAGCAAATTTACTGAAGATAACAATGTGCAAACGGTACGGTAAACTCTGAACAAAAATAAAAAACTTAACAATAAAGGTAACAAGATAGACCATAAATATTAATAAATATGAAATGCACAGAAGTGAGGGGAGTCAACACTACCACAAACTCTTGCACAGAAACATGCACTCACTGGCTCGATAGTGAGGGGAGTCGACGGCCCCAACACTAAGTCATCGCCACACTCCTAACAAAAAGCTAATAAAAAAAAAATCAAACATGCACATGCTCCTCTGACGAGTAGAAGTTGGTTAGCTCTTTCCTAAGGCGATTCTCGGAGAACTGAATCAGGTCGATGTAACTGGGCAGGCTGTTTCCCAGACGATGAAGGCGAGGCAGAGCACTGTGGTAAGAATACTGTGTCGAACAATGAGCTCTCTCAAAGAGACCTCTGGATCGAACCACCCGAGCACAACGAAAATCAACCCTGCTCTGCAAATCTGGTGAATCGACCGAGGCTGTGATGATCTTCTTTAAGAGCAGCAGATCAAAGATTTTGCGTCTCGAACTCAGAGGAAGAAGTCCAAACCGAAGTTTCATCTCATCCAGTGGTACTTCAAGGTATCGAAAGCCCAGACTCACTCCAAGTACTCGGAGAAATTTTCTCTGTACACCCTCGAGAAGATCAACATGGCATATCTGGTATGGTGACCAAACTGGCGAGCAGTACTCCAACAAAGGGCGGACCAGCTGCACATACAAAGTCCTTAGGGCATGAGGTGAAAACCCATCTCGAGACATTCTGACAACAAATCCCAGAGCAGAATAAGCCTTCTTACTTATGTTTCTCAAGTGAGGTTCTGGACTTAGATTCGAGGAAACAGTTACTCCGAGATCTTTCACTATAGAGGATCGGTGGAGAGTAGAACCAAATAAGGTATAGTTGAACACCGTTACATTCGTGCGCCGAGAGAAAGAGAGTACAACGCACTTAGATATGTTCAACTCCATCTCATTCTCCGAGCACCACCACAGCACATTGTCCAAGTCACCCTGCAGCTCCTCACATTCAAAGTCCGTTGTTAGGCCTACTTCCTTATAGATTTTAGCATCGTCTGCAAACAGTAACATTCTTGAATGCTTGACAGCCTGGACTAGGTCGTTAATGAATATTGAAAACAGTACAGGACCCAAAAGAGAGCCCTGTGGCACTCCAGATAACACAGGAAAGGCTTCAGATTCAGACCCATTATATCTCACAATAAGGCAGCGTCCACTAATATAGCTCCGAAACCACTTCAGCATAGGTCCAGCCACTCCCAAAATACCAAGCTTTGCCATAAGGTGATCATGGCTGATTCTATCGAACGCCTTCGAGAAATCTATGTACACACTATCCACCTGGTGGTTTCTGTTGAAAGCTGAGATAATGTCGTCATGGTATGTTATTAAGTTGGTCGTTGATGATCTGCCACTATAGAATCCATGTTGAGCTGTAGACAGAAAACTTTTGGCAAAGAAAGACAGCCAAGTAAGAACCAGAGACTCAAACACTTTTGCAAGCGTTGGCTGAATCGCTATAGGCCTGTAATTCTTGATATCCGAGGGATTGCCACTCTTTAAAATTGGTACAACGAAGCTTGTCTTCAGGCAGTTAGGAAAAACACCAGATGAAAGAAATGAATTAAAGAAGATTGTTATGTGCGGTGCAAGAATACAGCTACAGTACTTGAGTAGCGATGGAGAAATCTCATCAGGTCCTGCTCCTTTATTAGCATTCAGAGAGGACAAGACAGCTTCAACTTCTTCACATGATACAGAAAACCCAGTAAGAGATGAGAGAGTTGTATTTGAGTCTTCATATGAGGGAGACCCTGATGGTGGTCTAAAGACAGACGAGAAATGTTCAGCAAAAAGTCTGCAGATGTGCTGAGGTGTGTCGGCAGTTTCATTATTCAGGTACATCGAAGATACAGCCTTGGAAGTCTTCCTGGTGTTATTAATGTGACCCCAGAATGCCTTAATATTTTCTTGCATGGAATCTTCTACCCGATTGATGTAGTTTCTGTAGCAAAACACAGTGAGTTGTTTACATTGAGTTCGTACACGACAGAAATCCATAGCCTATAAATTTGTAAGTTTAAAGTCCTTTTGTACTCTCTATGAAGTAGTTTTTTCTGCAGAACTAGTCTCTTCAAGTCTTGAGAAAACCAACAAGGAAATGTAGATTTACCAAGACATTTAAGTGGAGTGAAAGATTTTATTAGGAAGCTTAGCCTGGAACAAAAAGCCGTAAATGACGATTCCATGTCCTCGACACAACTCAGTAATGGATACTCCCAATTTTGTAGATTATTGAATATTTCTTCTTTGTTGCTCTTGTTGAAGTCTAACTTGTATGTTATGTTTCTTGACCGTAATCTACCCGGGCATTTAATTTAATTTAACTCATGTGTGTAAGTTAAGTTAACCTTTCAACTTGACTCATTTTATTCTACAAATTCTAGAATTGGTAATACTGAACTTATACTACTTATGTTATACTGAATTATTTATGCCTTATCTACCTAAAATAGACTATTTAAGCCCTTTTTACCATTGGCACTTTTGGGGGAAACACCTATTTCACCCTGAAAATCGCGTTTAAAAAATCAAGAAAAATGCTAGAAATCAATGATTTTTGGGGATTTAAAATTTTCTACCGAATAATATATTTTATTATTCTAAATTTGAAAGAGCCTTGCAGGTAAGTTAGACTTCCATATCTGTTGGCACAAACATCCGAATGAAATTCCGATCGATATATCGATCATTCTTGAATAATCAATATTTTTATTCGGTTGTTTGTGCCAACAGATACGGAAGTCTACCCAGCCTTGCCTATTGAATGTTCAGTAGGCTATTTTTCTTGGTGTGTGGGGATTGATTATTTACTTCTCCAACTCACCTAAAACCTTCTATAAGACGTGTTTAAACTGTTCCTAGACAACAACACTAGAACTTTCTTAAATGACTTTTTTGTCGCCTAGGCTTCCTGTAACTTAGACCCCACGTCTCTAGATTCCTAGAGGTTTAGTTATTATTTACTCTTCCCAACTCGCCTGTTTATTTGCTACAGTTTATTTTTATTTAAGTTACAACTCATTGTTTGTTATATGCCAATTAACTTAGTTTATTCGTATTATATTATATTATGGTACTGTCTAGGCTATTCCTATTGCAAATTAGGTACGCAACTTAATGTAAAACGACTCCCCGATCTGAGGATTGTGGTGAAGAAAGAATTGGTAAGTTAATAGGTAAAGAGGTGGAGATAAAATAAATACCACAAGGTAAATAAAACAAATGTTTAATGTAACATGTAACAGCTGGCACACATTTAGGATTATTTGAAATTTGGGTAATTCTGAACTTTCTGGACTTTTCTTTTAAACCTTCCTAAACCGTTCCTACGACTCAAATCTATACTATTATAAAAAAGAGGTGGTTGCTGTATGTATGGGAAAAGTAAACGCGAAAAATACTGGTCGGATCGGGCTGAAATTCGGCATGATGATAGCTCACATTCCCGATTAACATATAGGCATATTTTTATCCCAAAAATCCTTTCGGGCTCCGCCCCAGTGGCTCTGGAGTTTCCCATGTTAACCTTATGAGAAATGAAATTATTGAATCTTAACAGCTGTTTCAATTAAACAAGTTGGTTCTGTTCTGTGATGTTCAATAGCATTAAAGTTACAAGGATTGCCAACAGGGTGCAGCACTAGCACTATTATTTCTTTTACATTTATGACAACAGCTAATTTGCAACCAAAAGGTGAGTGAGCGTAGCGAACGAACTTCAACCTGGAGGCGAGTGAGCGTAGCGAACGAGCTAACCTGAAGGCAAGTGAGCGTAGCGAACGAGCTAACCTGAAGGAAAGTGAGCGCAGCGAACGAGCTCCAACCTAAAGGTGAGTGAGCGTAGCGAACGAACTTCAACCAGGACGTGCAAACGAGATCATCTTGAAAATTAAGAAGTTAAACGGTTCAAAGCTTGAGTATAATTGCAATAAGAATTTTATACTTATATTCCAACCCCGTACGAAGGACGGGTACTCTGCTAGTAAACAATAAAATACAAAATTTGCTGTATGATTTTATGAATCGGTTTCATAAGAGATAAGGCATATGGGGAAGCCAGGCCGGAATTTATGAGGATTTGTGACTAGGCCTACATTAAGTCCTCCGATTGATTGTACAAATTATTAACGTGTAACACATGGGTTATGGTTTAAACACTTGAATCAATGTAAATGTGAATTTTAATATAACATTTATAACAATAATATATTTTGTGGTTTCACTTTATACCCACCACTTAACATAAAGTCCTCTTATGCAGTTATCAGTTGCCAAAATGTTAGAATCTGAAACTGTAAAGGATTGATTTCTAGGTTATAACTAGCGGACTAGCTGTACCACCCTGTTTTAGAATAAGTTGGTGACAAAACCCACAGGGTTTAAACTTAAAATGTAAATGCAGGTCTCCGAAAAGGCCTAAAATTACATCGCTGTGTTTTTTACTCCCCTTTTTTATGAAACAACGTATAGCAAATCCAACACCAATATTTATCTTTACCCCTACACAAAAAAATGTTCTCTTCACTTAAAATTGTAGGTAAAAATAATAATCGATGGTGAAGGTCAATAACAAAATAATGGAACCCTGATGACTGCTCAATTTTGTGGATGCCTCTGCGAACGCCACCTAGTTTATTATGATCGTAGGAATGGTTTATGAAGGTTTAGAAGAAAAGTCCAGGAAGTTTGAAAATACCGAAATTTGATTTAGCTTAAATAAAACCAATTCATGCTCGTGCCCTTAGAAGGGTGTTTATCAACAAACCAATATTTTCTCCAGAAATTCCTTCACAATAACTTTTGGTTAGTGGTGTGAGGCTTTTAAAGGTGTTCTCAACATTTCAAATCCCTTATCAACTGTTTAAATATTAAGTTAGCCTTGGCTGAAGAAAAACTACTGATGAACTAAGTTAGTCAGGAAAAAAGTTACACAAGGTATCCATTGACTATTTGGATCACACTCATTTTTCGTTCTGTGTTATTACGTAGGCCTACACCCTGTTGCATCCTAATCTTAAATGGTACCAATAATATTTTTTTTTAATAGCAATGCATCGCACCGGTCCCTCCTTCCTTAGTTAAAGATGGAAGATGTACGTATGGTTGTACAGGAGGAAGGACGAGCAGCCAGGAATTTGATTGCATTTCATGTAGACTTAGCAGCCCCTTCTGCAGGTAAAGATTAGTACAGACAAATTTCTTAAAATAACTATTCATTAATCTTTGTTTTTAAAAATAACCTAATTTATAGGCTAGTTTAAAATTTTACTTTAGGTTCAAGAAAAAGCTAGAATGTTTAAACTTAACCTTACAAGTGAATAGTTGGAGATTTAGGTCTGTTTGTAAATTACACACCATTACGATTTGAATTTGATGCTCTTAATTGGCTGCACTTTAGTTTATACTTTTACTCACATACAGCATGTTTGGTTAGTTTTAAACAGTTTTATTTTATAATCAGCAGTATTTATTGTATGTATTTAGTAAATGTGTAAAAGTGTACCCTCTTAATATACAAAATTCAATTTGAACATCAACACTAACCCCCCACCTCCATATCCATTTACCCTTTAAACCGCAAGTAAACAATAGCCTTCTTCTCACTTTCGGATGAATCCTTAATCAAGATTTCAACAATTGCAACATTGGTAAGTATCAAGAAGACAAAAGTAAGAAGCCTGAAGATGTAGGTTGATGGTTGAAACCAATGAGAGAACAGTTGAGTTGCAATAGTTGGGTGTAGTTTGGGTAGTTTGAGTGGGTAGTCTGGGGTGGCCTTCTTGTAGCGGAAAATTACTTTTCAATAGGCTACTCTTTTAAAGTTTTAAATAATGATGTTTATTAACATAACATACGGATTTGAACCACAAACAATTTCCAGGTTGAAGTGTTGATTGAAAGCTAGGCCATAGTACACGCTTTAGGATTCCTTTGAGAACAACCTCGCAAGCCTTTAAAATCCACTGCCATTTAAGTTTCAAAAGTCCAAAAGATCTTATAAAAATCCAAAAGTAAATGGAAGTCTGTATATACTGTAAATATTATTTTTAATGTAAATATTTGTGACACAGCCTATCCATCTTATGCTGGTATCAAGGCAAAGGGGAGGTAATAAGGTATGTTAAATTCAAACACAATTTTGCATCATAACCTGATATTAATTTATTTTGCTTGAACAATATTATAAATAATGGTTGTCAACCCTAATTAATGCTGTAAATCAAGTATTTTTTATGAATAGTTAAATTTGTGCTTGAATCTCAAAAAACAAGGGCAAGGTTTTAATATGGTTTATTGATAAGAAAGAATCTGTAATTTTGCCCTATCTTATGTTTTTTTCAATTGAATAACTCTTTTAATATTTAAAGGTTTTACCGAAAAACTTTAAGTTGCCATACTAAAAACATTAAGTTTACCATAGGACAATGAACATCCAATTAAATAGAAATACAGATAAAATTTACATGAAAACATCACCAATATTTAATGAATTTTTAATTTAATGAGGCCTTTTGCCAGCTATAATCAGACACATCACAAAAATATTATTGCCTCATGAAATTTAAAATTCATTAAATATTGGTGATGTTTTCATTTTAAATTTCATCTAACCAAGTATTATCAGTTCTTCTTGAAGAAATACAGATGTATAGACAGTCTGTGTGGGTGTGTGAGTGTGTGTGGGTGAACCAGTCGTAGGTTGATTCAGTCCTTTGCCCAATAGTCTCACTTTATGTACTCTCCTTTTCTAAATATAGATCCTGCAAGCTAATCATGTGTATTCGTTTATTTAACAAGTAAAACAGTATATTTATTTTATTAATGTGGTTTTAGATTGTGTTGATGATATATTACTTATCAAGGTATGTCGTGTCATGTCATGATATAATATTATTTCATAAGTAGCCTATAATTTTGTATAGGCTGAAAAAAGCCAAATTATTTCAACTGGGATTCTATTTTATTTTTAACAAAAAATGTGTACACACTAGCCTGTATTCCCTTTGTTGTGTAATGTGTATAGCGCTGACGTTTTTTGTGGGAGTTAGTTTGAATTTACACACAGAGAGCTGATGCAATGAAAGTTTCAATATTGCTCTATGAGCTGGATAGAAAAATTGAAAACCCAATTTTTAACATTTTTATGATTAATTATTTGTAATTAGGCTAGTTTTATGTTGACATAGAAAAATTGCCTCGTCAACATTTATAATGTACATTTCTAAGGAAGAGATAGGTGGAACTTTGTTATTTTATGATTAAAAATTGATACAGCTAGATAAATTAATGGAAATAATGGGAATATTGAATTTATATCAAATGGGTCTGAAAGATTCTGATTAAAATTTAATTAGTTTAGTCCTTTTAACCCTTTCATAATTGTACAACCCCATTGCTGTGAAAATTCGGATTTAAAAGTTATTGTAACTTTGTGATTTTCCCATAAAACTGGTATAGCCTAATAGCAGAAAAATCTTAATTAAAAATGGCTTGACTGATTTTGATTAAAATTTAGTATGTTACCGGTACAGTCCTTATAATTCTAAACAAAATGGTAAAATCTCTTTTGCTGTAAAAATTACATTTCAAAATACAATTACAAAGTTCAACTTTTGTCTTTTTCCCCATAAAATATAGTTACTTTCACCGCTTACCCATGATACAGGTTGTTGACGAGCTAATGGGAAAAAGTAAGAGTCAGATTGCTGATAGATACTGTACCGTTTATTGTTACATCACTTGATAGCTTTCCTTTTTTTTGCATTCAAATTGGTATAGTATTGAACATTAAAAAACCACCAATATATAAACATTTTGTCATCTGTAACATACATGCCTCTTATTTTACATTCATAAAAAAATTGAAACTTAATTGTAGTGAAAAGTGTAATTGATACCTAAAATTAATTTCAGACTTCCCACCAGCACCACAATAATTCCTTAGAAACAGTTCTGTTAACTCAAAAGTTGCATTTTAATAGTGTTACTTCAGATATTTTATCTGCTTACCTAAGGTCGTCCTTTTTATGATCTAAGAATGTGTTACAGGCAAGACCATGAGTCGGAAACCCCCATCTTCGCCTCGTCTTCTCAACGAAACCAGGCTGCCCAAGAGGTCAACACTGGTGACCAAGACTGGCTCAAGGGTTCGCTCGGCTTCCACAGGCAGAGATAAGAAGTCAGGTAAGTTTGTTAGAATTGTTATCTAAGTGTTTGTAAGGAATACTTTTTCTACACCCTCTGACAAAGCTCTAAAATCCTCCAACTCTGTAGCCTACGTTTCATTATCTGACTTTTATCATAATTTTCCTCTACGAGGTTAATTTTCACTCCTAGGTATTTGTTCGAGTCTTCTTCTTCAAAGCTGCATTTCATTTTGGTAAAAAGTGGTCTCACTAATCTGGCTCTATATTGAAAATCAGTTATACTGGATTAGTGAAATCAGCCTATATAGCTAGCCATCACAGCAAGATTATTAACATATCCTACATTATGAATGAAATTAAATGTTAATTCGTCCTACGTTTGCAAAGACATTGTCGTTTCCCACATTACAGCAAAATTGTTAGTACCTCCTGTGATCGCAGAGACGTCTTGAATCATTGATCAAGCAAATCCTGCAGTCACATTCTATAATCGCAAAAATAAATGCTCGGGTTTCTGACTTGTGGCGCAATCAGGATTGACTCAAAGTTACTTGAAAATTGCTATAAAACAACTAATATTTGATATCTCAAACTGACTAGCACATACAGATCGTAACTAACAAATTAACTCTCTGTATTCCAAATTCTCTTTTAAGAGTTGAAAGTTTAATTGATCAAATTATGTTAGATTCAGACTTGTGATTTGGTTGTTGCAGAGATGCAGGCAAGATACTGGGCTCTGCTGTTTGACAACTTGAAACGAGCTGTGGACGAAATCTACGAGAAATGTGAGAGGGACGAGAGTGTATCTGAATGCAAGGTAAGACTGTGCAGGTTGACTATCAGTTGATATTATTCTTTTAAGGGTGCGCTCTACCTCAGCTCGGGCTTCAGTTGCTATGTTGCACCATTGGACAGTGCCCCGAGAAGCGCTTGCAGAGGTTTCCAAGATTACTGTTTTCAAATTAACCAATAATGATAGCTACGCACTCTAAACAGCTTATAGTAGTGCAAATACCAATCTATAGTTCTGCGTTTTTCAAATGTTCAAATAACGTTTTTTCAATAAGTTAGGGCTAGTTGAAATGACCTTTTTTCTTGTCCTACAAATCAAGTTTATAAGGTGTGCATTAAAAATAAATGAAATAATGAAACGCAGAACTATAGAAAATTTCATCCTCTTTAATATGAGACCTTAACATTGATTCTACCTTCAATGTAGCAGGTGAAAACAGTAATCTTGAAACCCTTGCATTTGGTTGCGCGTCAGGGGTAGAGCGCACCCTTATACTAGAAAAGGAGTTTTCAGAGCTCAAGGACTTAAGGTAAATATCTTGTTTATCCTTTATTTTTTATCGTAAGAGGTCTACAGCACAGCCTAACATTGCATTTTTCTTTTAGTATGATTATGATGAAATTATGATGCAAGAAAACTTAATGATGATTTTATTAATATTTTTTTAAATAGTTAAGTTTTGTTTTATGTTTTAGTTTTGACATGTTTACATTCAGCCTACTTTCTTAATTCTTAACCTTACTTAATTATTATACATTAGTCCTAACACTTGTCTGGAAAATTTAAAGGATTGTGTAAGAAATTATTATAGAATATCAGTTGTGTTTGTGTATTTTAACATCTAAAACTGTTATAATACCTTGTACACTTTTCAGGAGGTGATTTTTTATTTAGAAAATTACAAAAGAGATTTTGAGAAATTATCAGAGTGGATACTTTTATATTCAGACTATGAAAATACTCCTCCACCGCAGCGACCTACATCTCTAGCATGGGAAGTCAGGAAATCTTCCCCTAGCAAGGTAGGCTTACGCTTACATAATCGGAAGCAATTATTATAATATTGTAATATTCATTTTCCTACAGTTACCTGACAAAGCGGGCTACTGTATCTTGAAGCTAATTCCTGCATCTACTTACTTTGCCGCACTTCAATAATACAACGAAACAACACAAAATAGTGTGCCTGTTTTAGACAGATATTACGTGTATGCTTGAAAACAAGTTGGCAACACTTAAAGATACTATGATCAGCTGGTGCAGTGTTTCCCAATCTTTGACTATTGATACTACGTCTTACTTAACCTATAAACCTGTTTTTGTGTGTTAACATTCTATTGCTCTCTAACGATTTTGATTAACCTAACCTAAAAATTTTTGTTTAGTATTTGAAAAACTAATTGTTTATATGCTTTGTAGTAACTGTAGGAAAAACTATAATGTGTGACGCGAGCGCAAAGTGCCACTTTGCGCACTATTTACACAAATAACTATTTTGTAATGAAGGGTTTCTATTTTTCCACTTTAAAAATTTCTTAAGTTCTAATAACAGAAGAAACCTCTTTTTGAACTACTTTCCTTAGGGAATATTTCTCAATTCTCAATTCAGTGATGATCCAGAGTAAGGTTAAGGTTGTTTTAAATTGTTGAAAATGTTTGGTAATGCTAAACAGGAATGAATTTATAATAATCTTGCAAGTATACTAAGTTTCTTACATTTTAAATTGCACTGCTTAATGTTTTTGTTTAGTAATTGTGTAGGTAAAAAAGATTCTTAAATCCTAAGCCCTAAAACCCTAATAATCTATCTGCAAAAACAATCTTTTTGTTTGGTCAAATTTAATCAGTTAGATAAACTGTAAATTTTGCATTGTATTTTTTTAACAAGTGTCTTTTAGCAACGAAATATTCTCAAAGGAATCTGACGTTTAAATTTAAATTTACTATGTCATTAAATACTGAAATAAGCCTCTGATATAGAAATGAAAAAATAATTGAAACAGCAAAAAGTTCATTAGTTGCATTATAAAATTTGGCATATTAGTTAAATTTTGAATAAAGTACCTAATATGTAAATTTCTTTTCAGCCAAAGTCTCAGTCTCAAATTGATCATATTCTTCAAAATGATAAAAGTCCTGTAAGGAAACATCTAGACTTTTTTTCTGATGTGAAACTATCAAGTGCGGAAGAATGCTTTAAGAAAGATTTCACTCTAGAAAATGAACTATACAATAAGTACGGTCTCAGTTTTGGCGACTTGGAAGAACATCTGCAAACAGTTACCGAGGTTTCAAACCTCAACCAAAACACAGTCAAACTTCCAGGCAGAGTAGAAGAGAATGACAAAGAGAATATTCCGCTTATGAGTAATGGCGATGAGAGCTGCAAACCGGTGGAAATAGCTTTGAGCAATCAATCTTCTCAGACTGAGGAGTCTTTACATAACTCCAACATCTTGTTGAGATCAGTTGCTAGAAAAGCACCACCTCCAGCTAAGACAGTTGCAGCATCTGCTGGTAAAAACTTGACTCTTTCTCCTTTGTCTATCAATAAAACTGTGACAGGGCCTTTAAAAAAGACCACACCAATATCTCCCACAACCACAATTCCTCCGAGAGCAGTTCCTGGAAGTAACATGGCAGCTGTTACTTTTGTTCCCAGCAAAAGACTAGGTCCAACTTGTCAAGCTAAAGTAAATTCCAATCTTAACAGAAGCACCAACAATTTGAGCAAAACCAACATTCCCCAACAATCAGACAACATGTTGAACTCAAACAAACTCACAGATCAAGTTAAAGTTGCCTCCAACAATTTATCGACTGATAAGAATGTTATTAATGCACAGTCATCTTCAAACAATGTCGCAGACAGCCAAAGTTTGATAAATGTGAATGATAGCTTAAACAAAGTAGACTCTGTAAAAGTTGCATCTAAGAGTTGTGGTACTGAAAACCCACTTGTAAATGGGACCAAGACAGCCCAAACTGGCCCAGAGAGAATTGGCCCAGGTGGAGGAGTCAGTGTAACCTTGACAATCAAAGAAGGTGAAACTAAAAATGATGTAAAGTTGACTCAATGTGATTCACAACTCAAAGATACTCGGGTTCTTAGTTCAAATAGTAAAACTCTGGACTCTAAAGATACAAAGACGGTTGAAAAATCTGCTAGTAAAGAGTTGCCTATTAGTAAAGTAATTGATAATCAGAAAGTCACAAGTTGTAACAAGCCTGCCAAACCGATGAAAGTAGAACAAGCTTCCCAAACAGATCTTTCTCATCTAGCAGACATGGCAGCTGCCAAACAATTGGCTAAGGCCTCTACTTTGGTGAGGAATAAGACGGCTCCTAACATCATCAGAAGACCAAATGAATCTCCAGCTTTGAATGATCCTGTTACAGATCCATCAAAACCTGCAAAAAATATTGCAGTAAATCTACTGAGACCTGCAGTAAAAAAACCAACAAGTGCTACTGATGCAATCGGTGAAAAAACTACCCTTGAAAAGCAAACCTTAGAGAACGGTTCTAAGCCTGCATGTGCTCTCAAAAAGCAAGCTATTACTCCAGGAGCCAAGGTTGAGAAACCAGTCACTGAAAAACAGACAGTTGAAAAGTTAGAAGATGAATCCGTCCTCGAGAAAGTGATTATTACCAATGATGATTTTCCTCCTCTAAAAAGTAGGGCACAAATCGATTCTGAAAAAATATTGAAAGAAAAAAAATTATGTGAGAAAGCGTTGAGTGAAAAAATTGAAAATAATAGAGCTACTAGTAATAAGCCTGCCTTTGCTAATGGAAATTTGGAGAAGAAAGGAATTGGAAAATTGACAAGTGAAAAGTCTACAAGCACAAGACCTGTTTTTGAATGCATTCCCAAAGAAAAACCAGCAAGTGAAAAATTATCAGATGTAAAAAGTGATAAAGATACTAACACAAAGCTTATCAATGTATCCAAAGTGTATCGAAGCAATACTGCCATAGAATTGAGACCAAGACCAGCTCGTAACAGAACTGTTACTTCTGCTGGGAAACCTCTGATCAACGAGAAACAGGTAAATATAATTCTGCATTTATATGTTCTCTTTCTGTAAAAATTTAAAAATTGTTTTTTCAAACTATCTGAATTTTCACAAAATTCTTTGATTTAAATTTTAAACCATTACTGTCTTGCTTATTAACCATTTACTGCATCCATCGTCCAAGAATCAGATTTAATAAATCAAATGAATATCTTACTTTTATTTTGTTTTTGCCTGCAAAACTAACTGCAATTTTTAACTAAGGCATTTTTTTGTTAAAAAAATTCAATTGATGTTTTTCCAATCTAGATGGCAGGCAAGAAAGCTGTCGAAAGTAGAGTCCCTACAAAACCATCAAGTGATAAAACTTCTAACTTAAAACCTACCAGCTCACGTACACCAGCTGCTCCTAAAATATATCGTAGCAGTACCTCCATAGAGTTAAGGCCGAGGGTTTCATTCAATAGAAATGTGGCAAGTGCTACTGTCAAATCTGACAATCGAGTAAATCAGGTAAATTGATAAAATGAATTTATTTTGTTATCTTAGAAATTATATTGGATATTTTCCAGCACTAAGTTATTATTAGTAAAAAGTCATAGCAAGTAAAGATCTAGAATTTGATCCCGTCTAAAGCCAACAACAATAATAACAAGATGTTGATCATCTTGTACAAACATGTTCAATGCTTGTCTAATATCTTGTGTTATTACTGTTGCTGTTTTAGGTTTTTTTAAGGGACTTTGTGTGTTTTGTTTTGTTTGACTTTTAATTCAGTAGTTTTATGTGTGGTTTGCTTACTACCATTGCTCAGTGTTAGTATCTTATGCTGATAAGCCAGACTATGCTGGCTCAAGACTGGCTGCACATCTTACAATGGTCACCTCTGGCTTGCCTGTGTGACTTGTAAAAGTAATCTAAGCCCATAAACAATAAAGAGTACCTCCACTGTCACTTACCAGTAGTCTATGGTGACGAAAACTCTCTATACTGGGTGAAATTAGTTTTTGCACCTGTTGTTGGCACAAAAATAAGAATAAGCAGGAACAATTAATTCCTGCTTCTAGGAGCAGAGAGACAGAGACAAGGAAACATATTTATTGAACTATAAATTTTTTTGATTGATCGATTTTAAACCGCTGGTTTCATTCATATTCTGATTTACCAATGTATTCCAACAGCATCCGCCAAAATTAACAGTAATGAAACTGAACCAGTCAAATGTTTTTCAGTTTATTTCAGCGCATACTATATTTATTTTTTGTCTTATGCTTCTACAGTTGAAACTGACATTGTATATTTCAGATGTCCAAAGTTAATGGCCCAAATTCTGTGGAGAGGAATCCATCCTTGTTGAAAAAAGCAAAGGCTATGTTTAAAAGCGAACAAAATCTTCAAAAGAAAAGCAGTATTGATGAAGGTAAGTTAAACATCTACTGATATGTTTTGAAGGTAAACAGCGGGTTGTTTAAGAAGACAACTCGGGAAATCCTTTGACCCCTAGTGGTCGGAAGGCCACTAGTTATAGGTCGGCCGCTTAGAAAACGACCTCCTCCAGCATTGGTTTAGCATTAGCGCGCAGGTCGTTTTCTAAGCGGCCGAACTATAGTAGTAGCCATGAGACCACTTGTAGCCACGAGATCCGTAACGTGACAAGCTGCAATTGCAAGTGTAGCCTAATATATATACGAAGCGACACGCCTATAGCTGTGTGGCCCCTCCTTATCTGGTTTGGCAGCCATCATTACTACTCTTGTTTACATCTTACGCTTGGATTTAATTGCCAGGTGCAAGCCTTTTAACACCAAAACACTGATCTTTAACCTAACATATAACTGTAAACTTTGTCATCATTAGATCATCTATATTACGCGCTCAATTATTAAAACGTTTACAACATATTTTATTGTCAACATAAGATTAATTTGTTAATGTGATACTCTTGTGTTCTGAACAGACGGGTGGGAAACCGTGAAGTGCAGAAGTAGGTGGAAGTTGCCACAGAGTCCCGGCAACTTAAAGGCTCAACCTCCCAACTCTCGCTTCCATCTACCGAGCCCAGCTACGTCCTTACCTTCAATAGCCCTTGCGACTGACCCCAAGCCAGCTAAACTGCACAAAGAACAACAAAACCAGGAAATCGCTAAAGCCAATCGCTTGGCTTTGAAAAAACAGGTGCAATCTACTCCGAAACAAAATGTTAAAAACGAGAAAAGCGATTCTCTGTCAGGGAAGAAGAAGGGAAAGGAAGATGAGGTTGAGATAAAACCTGTAACGAGTGGGCGAAAAAAAGTATCCATTGATAGAGTGAAGGATGTGATGAAGATGTTGAATGGGGAGAAACTAGATGGAAATTGCAAGTAAGTAATTGGCAATGTTACGGGTTGCCTCAATACTGAATGTCAATAATATAAATGATTATTCTAATTTGATGAAGCTTTTGTAATTTATGTTGAAATTACACTCAGTAAAGATTGATTTCTAGGACAATGACCTAAGCAACCATAGTATCATTGAGGTCAATACTAAAACATAACATATACTTACTAATTATGCTTTAGCTGTGCTTCATACAGCTTCAGCTAGAGAATAGGGAAAATAGACTCTAATATGGTTAAAATAACCTACTACATAAAAATTGTATTTCTTCCTAAAGACTAAAAAGACATCATTGTTCTTCGGAATCAAGCATGGTGTTGTCACAAAGAAAAGGAGCAGGCTATTTATAACTTAATTATAAACATTTTTAAAACAAACTGTGTAAGTTTTAACTAATTTCCCATATAGAACTTAACCATAAAATAAACAGTTACCGTTGGTGGCACAGTAAGGCCTACACCCAGGACTGATTTGCTTTTTTGTTTTGATGTCCCCAAAGGCCACGATTTGTTCAAATTTTTACACATATATTTAATATTTATATATGTCCATGAACATGACAACTCTAGTAATTTTGGTCCAATGTTGAAATTTTGCATGAATGTCTTAAGCTGTATAGACTTGAATGAGTTAGGAAACTAGCAAGATCAGGTGAAAAGAGGTGATTGAGTTTTGAAACTGTAAAAAATGGGGTTTTTCAAAATTTTTACCTTTTAAACATAAATATGAGAATGAGATTTTATTTGCGAGTTAGTATTTCATACAAATACATTGCCACGTCAAATTATTCATTTCATAAATTAAAATCCAGTGGAGTCCACGTTCTTGAAATATAATCTTATATTGAGTAAAATGGCTGATTAGTTATTTAGTTTAATCTTAAAATTCTTATCTTATCAATACCTCTGCTGCAGCAATCCTGCAAACTATGCAAGTTTAACTTTGTCTGATTGGATTTTTCATCAAATGTTTCCATAAACAAGTTATATTTATTCCCTATTTAAACATCATTAGATTTAACAAGTACTTAATTTTGCTGCGGCGGGGAATTTTATAATTTACTCCACCCATATTTTGTATTTTGACAAGCAATAAAATTTTTAAAACACAGAGGTATATTATTTTGTGTACTTAGCGACAAAATGTCCCACTTGAGTGATATGAATCAAAAGGAAAATAGTCACACAATACCCTAAAAATTGCTTTCTTACAATAAAATTAATATTTTTTTTGTTTTCCAACAGGATTGACAAGTTGATAGACATTTTGTCATCAGAAGATGAAAGAATGAATGAAGAAGAAATCAGGAAGAGCAGAGAACTGGACGAGAAAGAGAAGAAACTAAATCAGGAAATACAGGATTTGGAAGATGCTGAAATTGAGGTATGTTTGTTAAGTATGGTGTTGAAGACATTGAAGTATAGTTGTGTATAGTGTTTAGGTATGGTTGAGTATGGTGTTGAGGTATGGTTGCAAACAGTGTTTAGGTATGGTTGTGTATGGTGTTAAGGTGTGGTTGGGTATGTTGTAGTATAGATGCATACAATGTCTAGGTATGGTAGGTATGGTTGTGTATGATGTTGAAGTATGGTTGGGTTTGTTGTTGATGTGTGGATGGATACAATGTCTAGGTATGGTTGTGTATGATGTTGAGGTATGGTTGGGTATGTTGTTGATGTGTGTTTGTATTGTATTGATGTAAGGCCCATATTGTTTTAAGGGTTGGTTTGAGATGTAGGTACAGTTGGGTATGATACTGAGATATGGTCGGTATAGTATTGAGGTATAATTTCATTTTGTTGTATTTGAGAAGGCTATTATTGTGATAAGTTTTACGGTTAATATTGAAGTACGGTACGGGTTGGGTATATGGTATTGATTATTAGAAACACTGTGAAACAGATATAAATTGACCAATTGATTTACAATAAATAAAAACATTGGGCTAGTACGAAACCTTAAATTTACACTCATGTAAAAAATTCAAGTGGTCTATTGACCAATAATTTGAGAGAGAAAGGGTGTTGCTCTAATGCTGGTAATTTATATAACACTTAACCTCTTTTTATTTCATTAAGTATTAAATCATATACAGTCCACTCTTGGTAATTCAAACACTTGATAATTCAAAACATTTGATAATTCAAAATGAAGGCTCAGTCCCTAGAGAATCTCTCAATATTTCAAATTTTTACCATGCATTTTGATACACTCGGTATTTCAAAGTCCAAATAGAGCGCAGGTCAATTTGTAACACGCAGTAATTCGAAGTTTCGTCGGAAAAACACTCTATAATTCGAAGTAACTCAGTAATTCGAAGTTTCGTCGCTTAACACTCTATAATTCAAAGTCATGATGTAATTTGAAGTTTCGTCGAAAACACACTCTATAAATCAAAATCACGCAGTAATTCGAAGTTTAGTCGACAAAACACTCTATAATTCGATGTGATATTTTCCTGTTATAACAGGAAACTATACAGTACAGTACATCCTGTTCCCATGGTAGGCTAGTGTTGGACGTTTTGATGTTTGTTTAGTTGGAGCAGTAGTCTGAGTTAGTTCGCTGACTTGTTTTTCTAAGTTGGCAATCCGATCTCTAGATTGCGCGACATCTCCTTGAGCACAAACGTAGTTGTCGACAGCTGATAGTTCAGCTATTGGCGAAATATATCTAGCGCTAAATAACAGATTTCTTTGCAACAGTAACTGAAAAATAAGCCGTTGATTGTTTAAAAGTGTACTAAAATATGGTATGATGTTTTAAATATTGTAACGTTCTGTACCTTTGTATGTATTAAACAAATGAATTCTCTGTAATTCGAATGGTTTATTTTTCTCCCGATAAATCGAACTCTTGATAATTCAAAACTCTTGATAATTCAAATTTATATGCTTGGCCCACTAATTTCGAATTATCAAGAGTCTACTGTAATGCATCTTAATGTAATTCTTGTAGGTTGATACGGAAACAGATGATGCAGAAACAGATGGAGAAATGAACACTGGGAATGAAGAAGACGTGACCAACTGTAGAATAAACGCTATCAAAGCTTCTTATGAAGAGTTCATTAAAGGTAAAGGTATGTACTATGTAATTGTCTACAAAAATACTAAATCATAAGCACAGGAATGAAGCCAATATTTATGTTCCAGGCTTGACTTAAGCAAATTCCATTTAATTTGGAAATTCCACTTTTTCAAGGTTTACTTGCTATCGAAAATCATCATTAACTTATTATTCAGTAACTGATCACCGATTCCAAAACTGTGTTGAATGTACGATAGTAGGTTGTTTTAGGTTGTCTGCAATGACTAAAAATTAGGAAAAGACTTGTTGGTGTTATTTTACTAGTCTTGTTGAGCTGCAAGTACTAGTCTTAACGATTTGAGCATTCTCACAATCTATTTGTCTGTTAACATACTACTGACTCTTCTTAGTTGAGCTTGCAGGTAGGCCTTACCTCTGAACAGTTAGTTGATTAATTACACTGTGCATAATACATTACGGCTATTATTTCATTAAAAAAAATTTAAAAATAAAACAATGGATAAGAAAGCTCAGTATAAACATAACTTACTATTTTAAGGTCTAATGGAAGTAGGCAAATTTATTGTGAATAGCTTTACCTCCGTTACTATTTAAAATTTGTTTATGTTATCTGAAGTCTTAATATTTTTTATTTTCATTACTTAAACACTTTAACCTATAAATACATTCTCTGTTGGTTCTACAAACATGTGTATTAAAAAAATAATCCCAATAGAGGCTAAAACACTGGGTTTGACTACATTTATTAATTACACATTTATTATTAGGTATAAGTTTGTTTTTATAATAGGTTTGTTTATTCGTACAATATTTTATACATCCAGGAACTTGGTTCCATAGTGGCCGGATATATGAGGGGTTCTACTGTATAAGCTAATGAAAGATTTTGAATTTTTATGGCACATTTTAGCTTATTTCCATTTAGAAAAGTAGCTATCTTAGTCCTCTTAGTAAGGAACACCTGTATTTTATCTGTGAAATTATCACATTGGGACAAACCAATCATTCTTATTGAGGTCGAGGGATTGGAATTTAAGGAGATTACAATCCTTTGGACAATCCATGATACATACCACTATCTACAAAATATGGAGTGAAGAGGGAGGAGCTTAGGACAGCTCAAATAATGAAGTAGTTCTTAGTGTCACTTCGGTAATTTTTCACTTAGATGTGATTTCGGTTTTAGATTTTTTTTCATCAATTTTGATACCATAGCATAGTTGAATAACATGGTCCTAACATGTGTAAAAGCATAGTTTTCTGTCCAAAATGCTTAATATCTTTTATGAATACAACACTTAGATAAGTTTTATCATAGCCTTCTGTAGTACACAAGGCCGCGCTGAGCGAAAACTGGCAACGTCGCATCTGAGTCTTGGCGCGCAATCGTCTTACCATTACAGTGAATGGAGGAGTCGCATACCGACTTAACTTATTCGTGGTTCTACTACCTTTAATCATTAGTAATGACATTGGACTTGTTACTACACCATGCCAGATAGATGTGTTGTGCCTGGGTGAAAGAATAATTACAAAAGCTCAATTAAAACTGGAGATACATACAGTTTTAAGATTCCAAGATATCCGCCGCGTAAGCAACAATTGTTTCCTGCTATTCCTCGATTGGTTTTTTAAATTGGTTTTTAGTGGCCTTGTGTATTAGAGGTGGCTATGGTTGTATCCTTTGTAATTATGCATTAAATATCAATTTCTTCACTTAACATTTCCTGTAGCCTAATCAGTTGGTGTATTTTTTAAATGATGTTGATTTGTAATATAAGTAATAATCTGTACAGAAGAAACATTTAGTTTGTATTTAAATTTTGTATTAGTTATTCTTCCAATGTTGTGTTTTAGATCTTTCCTGGTTGGATCAAATGGATACCATGGACAAAATTGAAAAACTAAGTGACTCATCAACAAAAGGTAAAACTAGGTTTAATTAAATATACAAATAGTAATTAATTTAACCATCTTGATTCCAGTAATATTTACCCTTGATCAAGTTATGTGAACATAATGTTCACCATAGTGTTATAGGTATAAAATGTTATGACAAACTTTTAAGTAATTTTCAACAAACATCAAGTAATAATCCGACCACAATAATTTGAAAATTTGTTAAACCTGCATAAACTGACCAAACACACAGAACAAAATTGGTGGGGGGTTATGGTTGAAAAGTACAAAAAAGGACGGATACAAATACAAATTTAGGAAATGTCGATTGAACTAGGAGCATAAAACAATGTAGTAGTTGTACACTTGTAACTAATGACCGACTCCAGGGAACCCAGATATTTTTAATCCCCCTGTATGACCTTTAATTTACCTTTCAGTCATATTGTAAATTCATGCCTTATTTTGTTCTATTGTGCCCTTTTCTTTGATTTTGTATATGTCGAAGCATGCTATGCAATCATTGTATTGTCTGAAGCAATAAAGAATAGTATTATTATTATTATTATTAATTATTATTATTATTGCCAAATTGCTTTGGGTTCTCAAGTGTCAATAGTAAATATACCTTTCTTTCTGTCATGTACTGTAAAGAATTGTTTCAACAATTATCTCTGCCGATTGCATGACCAACTTTTTATGTGAATCAGAATAGAAAGTTGTTTTTTTCCTACATGCTTGGAATTATTCTATTTTCAAAGTTGCTCCCCTGGGGTCCACTAACCAGATATCATAACAAACATCGTATAAAAAGAACAGCTGGTCACCTGAATTATTAAGACTCAAAAGTATTTTGAATCCAAAAGATTAGCCTAATTAATCGGTGTTAAAATATTTAAGTAATGTTTTAGCTGCCCTTTTTAAAAATTGTATTGATGTTTTCAGATATTCCATATGACGAGCGTATATCCACTCTAGAGCAGTTGGAGGAGTTGGTGGGTCGTCATCCTGGTCGTGCGTTGGAACTGCACCAGAAACTATCGTCTCCATCTCGCCGTCGCCACACTCCTGACACCATCCAGCGTCACAGAGAGCGGCAGGAGTCTGCTCAGCTGAAACGAGAACAGCTGCTACAAGACAAATCCAACAAGATAAGGGAGTTACTGAACAAGGTGAAATCAATACACTACAATGATGAACACTTGTCAATGTCACAAATGAATTTAGTCAATATACAGTACATGCACTCAAAAAGGTAATAAAAAAATATTTCAACTTTGGCTGTGCAAATAATTGAAAATTCAAGACTGCAAAGTTGCTGACACAAAAAAATATGAAGAAGGGGACTTGACAATGAGTAGGAAATGTAGGAATTGAAAAGTTTTTAGTCTTGAGTGCCATTATTGTGTTGATTTTTAACTCACAAATATAAATGTCAGTGACAAAAAACTATTCTTATTAACACATTTTCACAGGTAGAAGAGGTGCAGAAGCAGCAGGCCCAGTTGAAGGAAGACCGCAGGAAGCGTATAGCGGAGAAGTTGAAAAAAGCAGAGGAGAACAGAGCCCTGCACATCCGCAATATCCAACGCAAGGCTCATGATGAGGAGGAGAAATTGAAGGAAATCGCTTTCATCAACAACCTGGAGGCCCAGAACAAGCGACATGACTTCATAGCCTCGTGTCAGGTGAGTTGTACAGTTGACTGTTGATAATCCAACAGTGATGAGACCATCATCCAACTCAAGGCTCATGATGAGGAGGAGACATTGAAGGAAATCGCTTTCATCAACAACCTGGAGGCCCAGAACAAGCGACATGACTTCATAGCCTCGTGTCAGGTGAGTTGTACAGTTGACTGTTGACAATCCAACAGTGATGAGACCATCATCCAACTCAAGGCTCATGATGGGGAGGAGAAATTAAAGGAGATCATGTTCATCAACAACCTGAAGGACCAGAACAAGGGACAGGACTATATTGCCTCCTGTCAGGTGAGTTGTACAGTTGACTGTTGACAATCCAGTCAGGCTTGTATACAAGATTTACCTCTTGATACCTTTATTCTGTCCAAGAAATCCTTAAGTCGTCATTAGGGCGACCGGTTTCGATGCCTATGGCATCATTGTCAAGCTGGACGTAAAATCTGAAGGCAATAAACAAAATGACATTTAGGCTTGTATACTTGAAATGTTGCACTTTCAGTCACACTAGTCTTCTACAACATCAAAGAAAGATTCCTTCTATTCTCTTTTAAAACTTTAGAGAAATTTCAATGCTGAAACACACTTGAATTTGTTTCCACGCATCATACACTTTGTTTCTGTTTTTAGGGTCTTCGTATTGTTTTTCCCTAATTACAGGTTCCTGTTCATTCAAGTCCTAAAGCTCGCATCACAGCGTCATTATTACACTCCATTTTTATTCCCATACACTTCAACTACACAACTTATCAAATGCACTTCTCAGATTTAAAACTTAACAGGCTGTGAGAACAGTGCACCAAGCCTTGAACCAACACGAACCACAGACCTTTGATGTTTCACGAGTTTACCGACTTTGGCCGGGAAAAACTTGAGCCAACGAGCCACCTTGAAGTGCTGTACAAACCACTGAGAAGCTGTTGACACGATCTGTATCAATTCAATTTTTTTTTTTTTTTTTTTTTTGTGAATACCATAATATTATTCAGCCCTATGCCAAAATATAGTAATTCTAAGCTTTATTCCTAGGTTGTAGCAGACGTCAGGAGCAGAACAGCTAATATTAATCCTCTGATGGTTGTTGCACCACCACCACTATCAAAATCAAAATGCAAAAAAAAACCTTCACTTCCAACTCTTCATCTACTCAACCCACTTATCACTCTATTAAAAACAGTTGTTGTTACATAATTAATTGTTATATCACTCTAAATTTCAATCCCAGTTTTGTTAGACTTTTATATTATTTTTTTTTATATCTAATTATTCAGAATTATACAATTTTGTGTTATATAGGAAAAAGAAGGGAGATTGCAAGGTATTCATGATGTACGGCAACGCAAACAAGAGGAGAAAGCAGCAAAAGAAGCTGCAGTAGAAGAGAGAAGAAGACTGCTTGAGGCTGAGAGACAAGTAATTATTTCTTGTTATTTCTGTTTTTATGTGTTAAACAGAAAATAAAACCATTCCTTTAAGTTTTCATCAGTCAAACCATGGAATTAGTTACTTTTTAAAATTACTGCTGAGTTCCAACTGCAATACTTGTGACATTGATTCTAAATAACTTCTTGATCAGCATCGTACATGTTTTTAAATTATCTGAAAGCACAGAAAAATATGTCAAATAACACCGATAACAATATATTTACACTTATACTGTTTACTCACAAGACGGTAAATACATATAAAAGATGGTAAGTAGTGATCGATTTCGATTGGAAACTCCAATCATCATCAGATCTTGATATTCAATCAAGATTCACCCTATAGGCGAATCTTGATTGATTGATTCGATTGATTCCAGATATTGTTCCGATTTCTGTTCTAATTAGGATACCTTATGAATTACAACACAGAGGTAAAAAATACTAGGAATTGTAATCTAATTATTCACTGAACAATTTTGAAAAGGTGAATTTGAATGTATGCTTTATTTATTGATAGACATCTATATATTCACTAAACATTTAGTCCTAACTGAATTGTTTTAAGTAAAAATGTTTCAAGGATCAAAAATTATTGTTTTCTTCTTTTTATCTGGCAGAATATGAAAGACTTTTTGGGAAATCTGAAAGTATTGCCATCGTGAGGGATGGTCATGATTTGGTGGGAATATGTAGGAGACAAAATCATTATGTTACTGTAAATGGAAAGTTTTACCAACTGTTGTGGGATTTTTGAATTTGTATCAAATTTTCAGTGAAAAGTATTAAAAATCAACTATTTCTGTAGGTATACTAAAAGTATTAAATGTTTCACCCATTTCCTAATCTAAATTATTACGGTAATTATTGATAACTTTAAAAAAACTTTATTTTAAGGGCCTACATCATGAGTTGGGGAGATTCTAATTCTTGAGAATTACACTGTCACAATGAAGAAATATTGTTTAACCAATATACAGGGTGATAAAAAAGTCCCAGGACAGTTAAATATTAAAAGATACCCCCGCCGCAGCAAACCTGCCGTCTAAGCGAATTTCCATTTGGCCGAATTGATTTTCAATTGATCTATTTAAATAACATTAGGTTTAACGAGTACCTAGGTTTGCTGCTACAAGGAAACTAACAAAGTAGTGTGTTTTTAGTAAAATATTGATAGCTTACTATAAAATAAATAAATTTGCCAAGTTTGATCAAAATATATCCATAAACAAGCAAACTACAACATTTTACAATATTCTCCATAAGAATAACATGGGAATTTTAAATTTACAATTTTTGTAGTTTTCTCCGTAACCAATAACCGTACAAAAACACTTTGATATACTGAATTGTTTGTTTTTTTAAGCTCTTTAAGAAGGTTTAGAGAAAAATTGGGAAATTTTGTGTTTTGAGGGTAAAAAGTGAGAAAAACCAATTTTTACCCCATAAAACCCCCCATAAAACCCTGTTCCCATGGTCCGATCATGCTGGATCACGAACTCATTCAAGTTTATCCCGCCTTACACCTTCAAACCAAATTTCATCAAAATCGGATAAAAATTACTCAAGTTATCGTGTTCACGGACACATATATATCTAATATATAAAATTCTCGTGTCACAGTGTTTGTCTGCAAACTCCTCCGGAACGACTTCACCGATCGTTATGAAATTTGGTGTGTAAATTCTGTAGGTATGCGAATCGGACGTAAACTATTTCCCGTTTCGAAATTCTTAAAAGGGCTCCGCCCTAGTGGCTCTGGAGTTTCCCATGTTAACCTTATGAGAAATGGAATTAATGAATCTTAACAGCTGTTTCAATTAAACAAGTTGGTTCTGTTCTATGATGTTCAATAGCATTAAAGTTACAAGGATTACCAACAGGGTGCAGCACTATTATTTCTTTTACATTTATGACAACAGCTAATTTGCAACCAAAAGGTGAGTGAGCGTAGCGAACGAACTTCAACCTGGAGGCGAGTGAGCGTAGCGAAGGAGCTAACCTGAAGGCAAGTGAGCGCAGCGAACTAGCTCCAACCTAAAGGTGAGTGAGCGTAGCGAACGAGCTCCAACCCAAAGGTGAGTGAGCGTAGCGAACGAACTTCAACCAGGACGTGATTGAGCGATGCGAACGAGATCATCTTGAAAATTAAACGTAACGGTACTTTCTTTCCATCGGTTTGTCTTAGGGGAAACCTATAACTTAGGCGATACGAAGTTCGCCGGGTCAGCTAGTATATATATATAAATCTATATATATATACCTATATATATATACATATATAAAAATTTGAACGAATGGTGTTTTTGGCCTCTGGGGACATTAAAATGAAAAAGTAAATCGGTCCCGGGCCTAAGTCTTACCATGAGACCTACGGTAATAGCTACTTCCCTATAGGGAAATTCGCTAAAAAATAATGCAGATAGATCTACAATACTTGGTACAAAGTTACAGGGCATAAAACTCTATTTTAACACATATTCTGTGATCCAATAACTCTTCAGGGGGACGGCCCACAAGGAGTCGGAAGAAAATCTTAAATGGAAGCATAGGTCAATATGCACATCAAATTAAAGGTCTTTTTTAGTAGAATACAATGCCGCAAACCGTACTTCAAAAGGTTGATCCTGCGCAAAATGACAGTTATTCAAAGATTCATTTAATTTACATTGCTATTATACGCTTACTCCACATGGGGCACAGCCCTAGGAATCGGAAGAAAATTGTTAACGTAAGCACAGGTCGATATGCACATCACATTAAAGGTCTTCACTAGTAGATTACGATGCCGTAAATTCAAGCTCAAAAGAATGCCTGAGAATGCCTCAAAAGAATGCCTGAGTAAAAAATAACAGTCGTTCAAAGATTCAAAATGGCGGATTCAAGAAATCTTTGAACCTCTGCCATTTTGCGCAGGATCAACCTTTTGAAATGCGGTTTGCGGCATTGTATTCTTACTAAAAAGGACCTTTAATTTGATGTGCATATTCAGCTATGCTTCCATAAGATTTTCTTCCGACTCCTTGTGGGCCGTCCCCCTGAAGAGTTATTGGATCACTGAATATGTGGTAAAATAGAGTTTTATGCCTTGTAACTTTGTACCAAGTATTGTAGCTCTATATACATTATTTTTTTTAAATATTTAACTGTCCTGGGACTTTTTTACCACCCTGTAATGAACATGTTCAATGTAATTTCTATGAAACTTACAGACTGGGAACCTCTTTGAAATTTTACTTTTTGATGTTTCATTTGGGAGACGGAAATCTTTAATTTCCAAAAATTATTAGAGGGTAATCTAGATTGTTTCTGTATGTTTTGCAATATTACATTAACTAACATTAATCAGCATCTTAGTTATCATTATAAGTTATAACTATTTAAATTCCAGCTTTCTTACTGTTAGTGGAGAATAAATACAAATACAATTTCAGGAAAAAATAGAGAAGATGCAGGAGAAGCGGCGCAAAAGAGAAGAAAGAATTGGACGTGAACAGCAAGAAAAAGAGAAAGAACGACAGGAGTTGGCTCGTGAAAAGGCAAGGTAAGACAGTCCTAGTTTAGAATGTTTCTGAGATAATAGGTTTAGAAACCTATAGCATCGATTTGCATCATTTATTAATTGGAATTTAATGTGCAGTTATTAAAATTGTCTCTGTGACCATGAATTATTGTTCAACTACGCTTTAATATACCTCAGCACATCCTATTCACTAAATATTTATTCTTTTGAGACCTCTTGTGAAATGACACTGGTGTAGAAAAAAAAAATAGTTTTTTTTTGTTTTTCTTTCAGCTCTATGCTGGTTTGCAAACTCATTTAAGTTCAGACAGATGTATACATTTACATTTGTAACAATTTTAAAGAACAGTGTTTTTGGCCTCTGGGGACATCAGAATGAAAAAAGTAAATCAGCCCCGGGTCTATGTCTTACCGTGCCATCTACGTAATAACCACTTCCCTATTGGGAAATTCGCTAAAAGTAACTAGGTCCATTTTTTTATTTTGCATTAACCGTTGTACAATTTATTCAGAGACCACCAAGAGCGCAGACAAGCGCTACAGGCGACCCAGCAGGCAAACACTGAAGAGTTGCAGAAGAAAATACAACAGAAGCAGGTAGACTCTGCGAGGCGACATGAGGAGAACATTGAGCACATTCGCCAACGGGCCTTGGAGTGTGGAGCACTAAGAGCTGGGGCAGACGACGAGGCACCTCCACACACACCTTACGACACATGCAAGCTGTGTACTAGGTGTAATGTACTGGTAAGGGACTGTCCAAAATCTGTTCTTTTTACTATCTTATGCCAACCTTTTTTATTTTTATATATGCAAGTGTATGTGTGTGTGTCCGTGAATGAGATAACTGGTAACTTAAGGTTTGATTTTGATAAAATTTGGCTTGTATAGTGCTGGATTATCTTTAATGAGTTTTCACCTGCAGGGGACAATGATTATATCTCCACAATGGTATAGTTATAATGTACACTGATTGCCTTGATCACAGGAGATGGCAATAATGTTGCAATCACAGATAACAGTCAACATGACACAGAACAGTGCAATAAAGACTGCAAATGGATTTTGTTTGTCACTATCGGCATTTGCAAGACTTTTTTCACTTAGATTTTTCACACAAAACAAAGGTTTAGCAAATAACCCGTTATAGGGAATAAGCTTTTTTTGTAGGTCTCCTGGTTAGATCTGGACCCGGGACTGATTTATGTTTTCTTTTTGATGTCCCCTGAGGCCAAAAACACCATCTGTTCAAATTAATTTATGTGTCCATTTGCACAATAACTCGAGCAAAATTCATCCGATTTAAATGTTTAAATTTATTAAATGTGTGTGGTTTAAATGTATTGAAACTTGTAAACCTATGTTCATTTAAACGACTTCGCAAAACTGTTTGATCGGACCATGAAAATGTGGTGTTATGGGGTAAAAATTTGGTTTTCTCATTTTTTTGCTTCAAAATATAAAATTTCTCAATTTCTCCCTAAACCATTTTGAAGAGCTTAAAATCAAATAATTTTGCATATTGAAGAGTTTTTTTGTATGGTTATTGGTTACAAATAAAATTCAAAAAATTGTTAATTTAAAATTCACTTCTTATTTATGGAGAATAAGTAAACTGTTGATAACTTCTTGTTTATGGATGTATTTATTTTGATCAAACTTGGCAAATTAATTAATTTTTATACCAAGCTATTAATACTATACCAAAAACACGCTTAATTACCTTCCCTTAAGCAACAAACCTAGGTACTTGTTTAACCTAATGCTATTTAAATGGATTAAAGCGAAAATGAAATCAGGCAAATGGAAATTCGCTTAGTCTGCAGGTTTGCTGTGGCAGGTTTCTTTTTGTATGGCTAGGAAAAACTTTCCTCATTCCTGTTCCAAAAATCAAGAAGCAAATACAAATTCCTTCTTATGCTAAAGGAACAATACTGTCCAGCCTTTTTACAAGGTTTAGGAGATGTTTTGATTGCTTATTTCATCAGTCTATTATTCTACCAGATGGAGTCTGAGGTTTATCTGTTGAGTCACCTGAGAGGCAAAGCCCACCAAGAAGCAGTCAAAGACCTCAAAGATGACTCGGAGCCTGTTATCATAGACGCTCCGCCAGACAAGATGGACGCCAAACTGGCGCAACACAGGGAGAGACAGAAATCTCTGCGCAAACGGTGCAAGAAGATCCGCTCTCGCATGGCGCAAAGGTAAAGTTAAATAATAAATTGTTAAATATATTTTCTCTACAGTTGTCGTACGTGGTATTTTGTTCACTTGAATTTGCAAAACAGATGATTTCTCAATATTTTACTTTGCTTAATAGTTTACTCACTAGGAATGACACATGAGCAACTTCAGTGTAGGCTAATAAAAAATTATCAATTACAACCAACAGTAAACGGTCCGCATTTAGATTGAATAAATTCTTCCACGTAAAATGTTACAAAACCAACATCTGAGTTGAACTACTAGGTAATTGTTAATTTAAGATGATGAATGATAGTAAGTAAATGAAGAGTTTTTTTTTCTTCTGAGTTTTAAAGTTGTCAATGACATTTTGTTATCCCGGCACCTCAATAATGCAACTCTGCTCAAGCTCAATCACAAGACTTACTATAACCGCATTGTTGCGAGATAATTTGTTTAGCTCATAAATCTTTTGGATGTCTCACACCAAAAACAATGGACAAAAATATCAAGTGCAATTTGTTTCAAAGTGTCTTTTATTACTCTGTACAACCTTTTTCTCCCAATTTAAAATGTGCCATTTTTGATTCTGAAACTGGCAACAACCTTAACTTGTGGATGGAACATCTAGTACTACCTATCAATTGTCAAAGCAATGACTACCATATTGATGTGACAAGAGTTGATAATAACTAACTGGGATGTTGCAGGGGTGAAGAGTATCTCTCCTCTTTGTCATCCGAGGGACCCAAGAAGCTGGAGAGCCCTAACAAGATGAGGCTATCGAAGTGCTTACGTAATGTGGACAAGCTGCACTCTAGCCAAGGCCAGGGACAATGGCCTGATAACTCTATCACTCTGCTAGAGCGCAACCTGGCGGAGACTGTGCGCATGCTGGAGAAACAGGTAAACAGTAAAATAGAGTCAATATTCCTCTCAATTAATTAAACACTTTCATCTCTTCCTTTGGTCAAAGCATCAATCAATAACAAGTTGGAAATCACATTACAGAGTTAAGAAATTTCCCTGCACAAAAATTAGGATATCCTATTCCTAAGTTCACTTTCAGACCTGAACTGCAGTCTGTTCTGAAATCAATTCAGTGTATTTGTATCAATGCTGTAGGATCGGATGCCATTTCAATTCAATTTATTAGATACATTCTCTTTGCCATACTTTCAACTATTACCTTAATTTTCAAACCGCATATTTCAAAATAGGCATAGTTTATTTCTGATTTCTTGAAAGTCTGCCCTCATTTGTCCGTTAAAAGAGATCTCATCCAGAGATAAAAGATAAAAGAGCTTCTTGCCAGGACTTTAGGTTGATCAGTATATTGCCTGGATTATCTAAAGGCCTTGAAAGAATCGTGCTCTGCCAAATAACTGAGTTTTTGATTGAAAACAATATCATATGTAACCCTTAGTCTGGCTTTCGAACAGCCCCCAATACAGAAACAGCACTTTGAAAAGCGACATTAGACTAGCAATGGAACATCAGCAGAATATGATCCTTATCTTATTTGATTTTTCTAAAGCTTCTGACTGTGTAAATCATAAGCTCATCTAGGAAAAGCAAATAGCCTTAGGGGTTTCAAATGGTGTACTGGACTGGCTATGATCCTATCTGTCAGACAGGTGGCAGTGTGTTGAGGTTGATGATCTGACTGGGAGTTAGTTGTTTGTTTTGTGCCTCAGGAGCCAATCCTTAGCCTACTGCTGTTGTTTCTATACATAATTGACTTGCACACAGTTCTCACTCACTATAAAATAAATACCATGCTGATGACTTACAGATTCACACACATTCTTCCAGCCAAACAGTTCAAGGATTATGTCCTGAAACTCAACGAATACATTTAGAAAATCATTACTTGTACTGGTAAACACAGACTTAGGCTAAATAACAAAAATATTAAACCTATCATAATATGTCAACCACGTTTATGGAACTCAATGACTTTCTCACAGCAAACCCAATAACTATAATTATGGAACAGGTTTGCTCTACAAACCTGTAACCAACATTAAAACCTATAAAGACCTGCTATAAAGTCGCCTGTCTCCATCTACTCCCTCACAAAGGACTCACTAAAATAGTCTTTAATATAGCGAATTAGTTTAGTTTCCCGCAGGAATCCCACAGAACGCATCTACTGAATATCCAATAGCGCTAGTGTACTTTAAAATAAAAATATAAACTCATCAGTGTTTAGTATATGTCTTGAGTTTAGCTAGTTTATTTTTTTAACAATTAGTCCATTTAGCCTGTGGTTTTCATAAATTTAAATCACAGACACATCACAATTTTTTCATCCTAGTTATTTATTTGTTCTTTCAATTTGTTGTAAAATCCACTGGATTATACATTTTATGAAAGCTTGCTGTACTATTACAATTCAATTAGTTATTAGTGTGTAAATTAGTTGTTGTTTATTACATTTTTGCTAGCTTACATTAAACATATTTCAATAACATAATACTGATTTTAGTTATGTGTTTCATTTTTTTTACAGATCGAACAAGACCAAATAGTGTTTAAGGAACTGAATGGGTTCACAACGCTTTCAAATATTCTAAATTTGGCTCTGGACATACCGAAGAACATGAGCCCCTACTTGCCTCCCAAGTGAGTATACATCATTATGTTTGTGTAGAGTAAAAGTAAAAATGCAACAACACACTGATTTCTTGAATAGATTTTTTGAAATTTAAATAGTGGGACTCTACTATACTTTCTTCTGAAAAATCAGCGAACAATTTTAAACAGCAACGGAACAATAAAAATGCACAGCTTGTGTCCTAGACTCCTTTTACGCCCTTGGGAGAAAAAGAGCTAGTTTAGTTTTGCAATGCATGTATTGAAATGACCTTTTTTGAATGACAAACCGTGTTTTCCTCTGTTACAATTTTTGTATTTCCCCCTGACAATTAGGTCACTCAGATATGTAACTGTTGTAATGTTTTCCAGATGTTTTCTCACCACTTGTACCGTCTACTCTCTTGCTTGTATCAATCATCCTGAGAACTCGAGGTTTGTCATATTCTCCAATAAGATCGCCCTCGTACTAGATCTCCTGCTCAATCGGCTCAATGTAAGTTTACCTTTGACTTGTTATTACAGAGTTAATACTTCAGGGAAAAAACTTGCTATGGGTCTACTTCTGACTGGGGAGCAACTACAGTTTTAAAACTGATCAATAATTACTATGAATTGTAGAAAAAAGGAGGATAGCACATAGGTTAAGTTGAAAATGTAGGTAGGCCTGAAATCACCCTTTCCTGTCCTTTTTAGGTTAGGAGGCCAATTGGCTGATTAGGATTATTATGTACAAGGATAGGGATCAGCTAGCTTACCTGGTAGATAGAGTCCAGATTAGCCTTGATTACACATAAAACACATGACACTGTGTTGTGTCATGTGTTTTATGTCTGTGTTGTGTCATGTGTTTTATGTGTAATCAAGGCTAATCTGGACTCTATCTACCAGGTAAGCTAGCTGATCCCTATCCTTGTACATAATAATCCTTTCCTGTCCTTTTGTTTATTTACTTTGATTAGTAGTGTAATGTTTTTTTTTTCTTAGCTTTAAGTTTTCATTTTTTTATATTCGATTGAGATATTTATACTACAGGCCTACAAGAGGTTAAATACCTAGTTGCCAAATTGATCCTTGGTTATTCGATTGGTGACCAGTTTTTACACACTTAAGGTGTCATTATCAAGCTCTAAGAGTACTGTTCTTGCTCCTAGGAGGTAGTCAAAACACAAACAAAAAACAAAGACAAACATTGCAACGGAAAAACAATGCATACAACTAACAATCACAGTGCGGCTGTGGGTTCAAGGCATAGGTCTAGACTGACCATCCCTTCCCCTCCTACCCCTTGCATTGTTGTTATCAGCTCCATTGTCTTTTTGATAATTTCTACATGTATGAGACTGCTTAGTACATTGTCGAAACCGGTTGTCATTCAGTCTATGATGGATTACTTTAGCAACCAGGTATTTAACCTCTTGCATTGTGTGTCAGTTGTTAAGGTTATGTTGTTAGGAAAAAGCATTTAGCTTGGATTAAATAAATATATAGGATGGAGAGGACACAGCTAACTCACCTGATTAAAGGTTGCAGACGAGTCAAAGAACACATAAAACACACACATATCACATAAAACACACGTGTCAGTTGTTAAGTAATACGAAAGGCAACACCTGAAATATTAGATGTTTAGTTTTCATATCTTCCCTTATTTTTGTGATACACTTTACGTTTGTTTTGCTATTTCATAGCTCATCTGCTCTACTTCACGGTTTTGTACTATTTTTTTTTAATTGAGTTAATCATGGATGTTCCAAAAGAACCATTAAACATGTTCAATTAAAAATAAGCTCATTCTATAAACCCTATGATTAAAAATCAACATAAGGGGATGCAGTTCTGTTAGTTTTTCTGTATAAATATTAGGAATTTGGCTACCTACATAAAATATCAACATTTGATGATAAATGTACACATTATTTGCTTTATATGTGTTAAATTTAAATTCCTACTACGGTAATTCTATCAACTAAAGTAAAATATACTTTGATAAACACATTCCAATGTTATTTGACAGGAAAATACTTCATTGAAACTTGTGTGTAGCTGAATAATTATAAACTAGAGGTTGTCCATTGGTTAAAAACTCGACCATAAATATGTAAGGTACAGACTTCTCTATTTTCTCCCCACGGTGTAAAGAAAGCATGTGATTGGAATTTCTTTAATTTTTTTTGATTTTCCGTTTAATTTTTTTGTTATTTCGTCACCAGTATGGCAACCCATAAGGCCCATGTTAGTTTTTTAAATTTTAAGTTCATTTTGTTGTGCTTATTTTTGAGCCTTAATTAATTTAAAGGTATTCTGCACATCTACAGGCAAATATCTTTCCAACAGTATGCATAGATTTTCCCTGCAATGCACACAAGCTGAGAAAAAAAGGTTTTAAAGAAACATGCTTGCCTTTTAACATATAGACTAGAGGTTGTCCAGTGGTCGAAAACCCCACCAAAAATATATAATGTACAGACTTCTCTATTATATCTCTATGTGTGACTTTTACTCACATGCACAACATTTCAAATTTGGATGTTTAAATAAACATTTAAAATCAATTCTTCAACAGCCATAACCGGACGTCCCTCTAGATTTTTTTCATTTTAGTGATGATGACAAATTGGTACAATCACATTTAGTAGTGATGTATACATAAGATTTTATGACTTTAGTTTTAAATAGTTGTTTGTACATCCTAACAACATAGGTTTGTACATTGTTTGTAATGATTACTTTGTAATAAATGAATGGTCAATACTTTTTAAATTACTACAGTTGTTTATTAGACTAAAAATGAGGCTATTAGAATTCAATACATTTTCAAATTTCACACATAAGTGTAAAACATTGTTATTTAATTATTTTTAAATCATTACCAAAATTTACTTTGGTTGTCATCTACTCAGTGTTATAATATTTTCACAAACACTCGAAACAAAGTTTTCTAAAAAAACATTTTTCATTTAAAACTTTATCCCAGACCATTTGTATATACATACAAAGCATTTTATGATAATATATTTGTATTTATTTTAATTGACACAATAGTTAAATATTTGTGATTTTTATGAGATATAACGTGCAAGTCTGAAAAAAGACACTTCCTGGAAAATGTGTCCCAGGGTAAAAAAAAAAAAAAAAACAATAATGAGAAAGAGTTAAAGCGTAGGATGTGAACCACGCTACATTTTCCCCATTCCTTCTCCATTTACCAGAAATATGAGGCACATAAAGAAACAGGGGGACAATCGCAGACCCTTAGCTGTAATTTGGGAGAATTATGTCAGCCGTAGATTTGGCTAATAGAAGGGATGTGGTTTAGTAGCAGTTCCTGCCCAAATGGGTTGAAACTAAGTGTTAATATGACAATTCCACTTCAATAACTCCATTGTATTAACTACTTTACTTGAGTCAAAGTATAGGTGAATTAAATCCCATTTTTGCAATCATCAATCTGTAATAGTTATCTTTATAAGTATCAAAGTTTATAAAACAAGGCCTAATTTGAAGGATCCAACTATTTATTTGGTGATATTTTATTTTTGGTCTGTTATAATTTTGTGTTATATTGGCCTATTCTTCCATGCTGATGTTTCTGATAACAGGCCTTCTTTATGTCCTTTGTGTTCTGTGTCACTTTTTGGGATTGTTTACATTTTAATTTTTCTACTCCTGGTGATTAATTTTTTACTTGACATAAATAATTGTCCTAACTAGTTAATTTATTGGTCCATTTTACATAAAATGGATTTGAAAGTGTTTTAAAAATGATGTCTTGTAGAATTTTGATTGATTCTCTTGTTTTCATGGAATTTGACTTTGGAATCTTTAAAATGCTGCCACTTTAAAATTTTAAATTGGACCAAGTTGCATTTATTTTTCAAGTTTGCCTCCTTTAGTTTTACATGCCAATTTTCATACAGATCTTAAGTATTAAGTTTATTGTAAAAAGTACAAAATGGTGGTAAAATGGGAAAACAAAGCATTTTTCAATGCATTTATGGAAACATTTTATTTTTTATTTTATTTTTTATTTTGACTCATAAAAATGTTTCCTGAGGTTTAGCATTTTACTTATTTGACACCCTGTGTACAGACATACTGTATCATCATCACTATAATGATGACAATCCACAGATAGATCTCTCAGATTGTGGTTCCATTGTTTCTGTTCTCACATCTCCATCATTCTTTAAAATCTCCAACCCTTCCTGCAGTAATGGACTCACCACTTAGGATAATGATTCTCTTTACATTTATTGAATCATTTGTCTCACGTAGAAAGGTTCAAGTTCTTTATTTCCTTGATAAAATACAACTATATGTAATTTAAAATGCCGTAGCTAACAACTTTATCAATACCCAATTCTATTAAGTTTGACCTCAAATGTCGATTATAATTTTAAATCCGGTTGAAATTTAGCAATCCCAGAAAATAGTCAATTTTACTAGTCAATACCCAATTCTATTAAGTTTGACCTCAAATGTTGATTATAATAATTTTAAATCTGATTGACTTCTAGCAATCCCAGAAAATAGTCAATTTTACTAGTTGAGTGGCTGACCTAGAGGTTAAAGCGCATGATTTCTGTTCTGAAGGTTCAGGATCGATGCCAGTTCATTACCAATGTAATTTCACTGTGTAATAATTATGATTAGAGGTTCAGACCTTATTTTAAGCTATATATCCATATATTTAACAAAACAAGTTTTGCTCTCCTAGGCATAAAGATCTTTCTTTGTTAGAAAACTCCTAGTTGTACAAGCTATACAGTAATTTTATATTTTAGTTTCACTTTTGTAATATGGTACTCGATTCACTGGCTCTAATGGATAGTTAATTATCACGTGAACAATAGTATTAACTTTTACTTAAGTTCAACAAGGTTAACATAATGTTTCTTTCCAGGCTCTAATCACAGATGATTACAAAACGGCCAACAAATCCTCATCAAACTTACCGGTTGATCTTGTGGCAGGTACGTCTGGTCGAAAAATTTTTGTTACAAATATGGATTCTATAATTTTACAAATATTTGTATAACTGTGTTTAACAACACCCTTGTTTTCAACAAAGTCGAGATTGAATCATCAGTTTGTTGATGAGTCCATACACAGTATGTAAACAGTTGTCTTTCTGTCTATACAAAAATGATGTCATCATTGTCAATTGAATTACAACATTTAAAACCTATTGGAAAACCTGTACATATCTTGTGTTGTGACTATCTTACATCTTATCTTATATACTACGGATGTGTGGCATATTAAGGTTAACCTCAAGTTTGGAGTAACAAAGATCATCAAACGGTTTGTTGTTATCCAGTAGATTGTAGTAAATTCACTCACAGAAATACATTCGATTGAGATTGGTTTTTGACCTGTTAAAGAACAATGTGTAGATTGGTCCATTCAAGGACAGGGAACTATAATTTCCAACAACTTTGACTGAGTTCTGGTTGTTGTAGGAGCCCTGATGAAGTTGTTTGCTGATGTTTTGTACAACTCTCAACTGGATGTGCCTGTTGATGTACCAGATATGGGTCCTAGACTGCAGGATATCATCAGGTAGGTTAAACTTCAAACTTCTATGTAACATAAAGCACAAGGACATAGGTATTTAAGATTTGTTGTGAGGATAGCAGACTTCTCTATTCACAAAAATTAGTATGTTACACTGTTGCTCAACCATGGAAAAGTTTCAGTTTTGAAAAAGCTTAAATTATTTATAGTGTTAGTGTTTGTTTCTTTAGCCGGAGTAGACTCTTTTCTGTTCAGGTAAGCTTGCTATCTTAACAAAAATCCTTGATACTAATAATTGGGTTTGATTGTTTTTTTTTAACATTTTATTTATATCTATGATATAATCGGTGGTTTCTGTCTGTGTGTTTGTTCTCATAAAATCCACTCTACACTACTAAACCGGCTGAGTTGAAATGTCATTTTGGGTGAATCATGATCCCGACCAACACATAGGCCAGTTGTCCTTAGAATCCCATTGAGTTCCAGTTTCGAACCATCAAAAAGCTACTGACTTTGCTCAAAACTTTAGATTCAACAACCTTTTGATTGTCAGGCAAGTACTGTAACCACTCAGCTCCCCAGACAGACGAGTCTTATTCAGATTTCAACATTAACCTGTGTCTAAAACTAAAATATGGGAAAATTGATAGTACCAATAATGAATTTGGTACAGTCGTAATAAACAAAAGCTAGTTAAAATTTTAGAATCGTGGAAAATGAATACAGTAAATAAATTGTTTATAATTCTCAATACGAATATGAATTTTCTCTCTGGAAGTGTGGAATGTTATCCCTAGGGATAGCTGGAATGGGTCTATACCCCTGGGCTTGTGGCTCCGGTCATTATAATATAGCTGCTGAATTATATATCTCAGTAATGTATCCAACACCAAGGGACTTGGCTACTGCAACCTGCCAGTGAATTGCATGTTGAACATTTAATTACAATTTATGATTGAGTTAGTTATGTTTGTGAACTGAAAACATGAATTAATTTACACAATGTTAAACCTACTTCTTAGTCTTGCTTGTATTTGAATAATTTATTCACACAAGGACAATTTTTCCCTTGTTAAAATATTTTGAAATAGAACATAATGTTGTAGATGAAGCGATAAAATTAACACACAAAATTACGCACGTCTTTATCTTTATTTTGGAAATGTATTTTTCCCTCTGAAAATTCATCTTCTGGTATAACTATACTAAGAAAAGCTGTAGTCAACATTTGTGATTAACAATGTCTATTGATAACTATATAAATGCCTTAAATAAGAAAGTATGCAATATTACAAATATAGTTTAACTAGCAGAGTACCCGTCCTTTGTACAGGGTTGTGGGTTGGCAAATAAATATAAAGTAAGTGCTTCTTGCAGTTCTACTCAAGCTTTGCTTTTGTAATGAGGAAGGACACAATTTGGTAAAATTATACTTGTTTTTTTAAATTTACAGTATGCTATAGTATCACACATCTACCTCAGTCATAACGTTCTACCACTGCACCTAAATCATAGAAAAAAATAAATTATCAAAATTATTCGCTCAATATCTCAAATTATTCATTAAACTAGCTGTGTGCCCGTTCTACGCACGGGGATCTTATAGTAGTCAGTTGAAACATTCTTATATTAAGATTAAGAACAGCAATTAGTTTGCATATTTGCAGATATGCTGGCAAAACTATTATACATAAACCTTCGCAAATACAGTATCTGACAGTTCAATCCAAAATAAATGCTTCGCAATTAAATGTCACCCGAATCGTGTTGGTCCATATGTCCAATGATTAAACTAAAAAATGTTTTATAGATCCATGAAGCGTAGCCCTAAAGTAGGCCAATAATTGAAAGTTACTTTCCACATCGGTTAACTTAAACGTATTTAAAGTACTACCTCAACCTCACCATTTAACACTTTATTCCGGTTGACATTTTCAGTATCAAGGGTGCTCTTGTCCATTCCGTGAAACACTGAGAAATAAGGACATTAATGCGTTACCAACATACAACAAAACAACACAATACAACAATCCAACAAAGGCCACGAACTATTGATACATAAACAATATAAAGGCGTAAACAATTCATGATGGTTTGCCCAACAAATGTTTTACTCAAATAGGTTATCATTTTCTTAGCATACCGGATAAGCTAAGATTTGGAATCCAGACAGAAAAAGCAAAACTTATACAGAGTTAAGACATCACTTAAATTGAATACGGACGGCTCTAATAAATAAGGTGCAACACCAACGATATAAAATTTGTAAACTACCGGTTCTAAGGAAAAGAACCAGTACCTACGTAAGAACCTACCTAAGAACTATAGTAAATCGGACCAATTAAATACATTAATATCTAGTCCCGAGGTTATTGATCTCTTGCTTTTGGATTTTCTCGTAAAAAGTTATAGCGTAAACTTATCGGTGTCAGTTTGAAAAAAAGCAACCTTACCCAAACAACTTTTTGTTATTTAATAGATTACGCATTCTCTAAACAATGATTAGTATATCTATTAACATTAGAAGGAAATGTGACGAAAATCACACAATGTTGGGGTTTTGGTCATTTGTAATTTTATTTTTTAAGTAGGTAGGCCATGTATTCTATGGAAAAGTACCGGTATCAAGGATCGTCGTCAAAAAGGTTGTTATGAATAAATATGTAGGCTTACGTACCCAAGATATGAGCTATGGGCCTATTGGCTGTATGGTCCAGCGATTGCATCACACGGTGAGTATAAACAGAAAGTGACACATTGGAAAAGCGAGTTTAGCACTTCCTCTGTTAAACCTCTGTTACAATCATCCACAGCAGTTGTGATTTTTTACTTTACACTTTACACAACCGCCATTGAAGCGCCGTCAATGAGTGGAAACCTTTTTTGTAAGCTATTGGCGACGATCATTTCAGTGTCACAGCCCTATACAACACTGATTCAAGGTCTTCTTCTTTATGGTTGTCAAAACTCAAGAAACATTTTATACTCAAAGAATTTCTGGTTCCGATTTGGACGTTGTCTAGTTATTTAATTTCATTTACGGTTACACTATTAGACTATATTATTGCACTTGCGATTAATTAAATCCGTTATGTAAGAAAAACGTTTTTAATCTCACTTGGTTGGGATTTGCTTTCAAAACGTGATTCGAAATAGTTGCGGTATTTGTAAACAACATTTGTAAACATGTCATTGACAGCTAGAAAAAATAATCTTGATCCGAACAGCTGTTCGTTATTTCATAGAAGATTATGTGATCAAAATTGAACGAAAATTTGACAAAAATCGCACAAAACTGCATTTTTGAACGTCCGTAATTTTATTTACAAAGTAGTGAGGCTATATTTAAATCACTAAAGACACTCTCGCCAATCCAGTGAATTAAAATGACTTGGATCTTGATATGTACTCTGGCTTTCACGGAGAAGATTGCGTAAAATGCCATCTTGAGTGTTACAGACAAAGGGACAGACAGACAGACAGAAATTGAGATAAGACTCGTTTCTGCTTCTTTAATGTATAAAACGTAAAAATAACCTAAAAGTATATAATTCTGAGCAATGTACAGACAAAACTCTAATTTTATTAATATAGATTAAAATCATAAACATACCGTAACTGTAAACAATCCTACTTTGACAGTTCACATTGAGTATCGCAGCTTTTTGTTGCTTAGTTCAAATTAGCTGTTGTCATAAATGAAAAAAAGTAATAAGTTAATAGTGCTGCACCCCGTTGGTAAACCTTATAACTTTTTAATGCTATTCTATATCATAGAACCAACTTCAATAGTAGAAACAGCTGATTAAATTCTTTTAAATATGAATACTCATAAGGTTAACATGGGGAATAACAGAGCCACTGGGGCGGAGCCCTAAAGGATTTTTGAGATAAGAATAGGCCTATATGTTAATCGGGAATATGAGCTATTATCATGCCAAATTTCAGCCCAATCCGTCCAGTGGTTATTGTGTGAATGAACTTCAAACAAACAAACATACACACAAACAAACATCAAACACACAAACTTTCACATTTATAAAAAAGTATTACTATGAAATACCTATAATAATAAATCATGTCTAAAAATTTTTCAAAGATTTCCAAAAAAATGTTTGTGCGTTTTCATTAACTGTATTTTAACTTTTAAGACTCCTCAAAGAAACAAAGTTTCAAGGTTGAACAAAAAAATCTCTTTTGTAGTTAATCTTATAATATATTGTAAGCCTACTGCATCTACTCTACATGCTGTGTTTGATTGCTGTCAATAAATATATTTAGCATCAAACAAATTCTTGAAACAAATAAAAGATCCACTCTTTAAATTCTACAATGTATGTTAATTCCTAATTACCATTTCAACATAGAGAATAGTTTAAAGCAGTAATTTATTTTTTTAGAGTTATATTTTTAAATCAATATACAGTGGCAATTGTTAGGGAATAAACAATAATTTTTATTCATTATTAAGTGTAAACAGTTAGGTGTCATATCAATATAGTTTACATTGTACATCAGCTGATAGTCTAGACCTCATGATCAGGTAGGCTGTGACACTGTGACATCACTATCATGATGACAACATCCAGGGCCCGGAGGGGGGGTGGAAGGGGGTTGTCCCCAATTTGGGGTAATGACTCCCTGCCTGGGACCACTTTGTAGATTAGATGCTTTCCCCCTGCCCCTTTACGCTGTTATGGTGTTTTCCCTATCACAAAAGCTCACACCGCGAGGTGTTTTGATTGTTGGGTTCTTTGTTTGGTATGAAGAAAATTATTTAAATTTGTATTTTTTTCATGTAAACTTTAGAATCCATTGCAATTTACAAATTTTAATTTACAAATTTACCCTTGTACAAATTTAATTGCATTTTAAAATTTTGTATGTAAAATTTAATTTAAAATTTTTAAATTTATTTACTGTAAGTTCTAAATGGTGTTTTGCACAAGAATATTTGTGGTGGCCATAAAATAAAACTTATATAGTATAAACCGTGTTTGAGTTATTTAAGAAACACAAAATTGTAAATGGCCACTATTTTGTTTTATGAATTTGGAAAATTGTCATAATCTTTTTGTAGCTTTGTCTAGTTGTCATGAATGTTTCTGCAAAGTTTCAAATTGTTTTTTTTTTTTTTTTTGTGAAAAAAATGGTGGTTGTGTGAGTAACTAAGGACTTTTGGACAATTTAAATATGATATTTAGATATGTTTCTTAAACAGAAACAATGCCCTAAAATATTGGTATTTCCAGGACACCCTGTACATATAGATTTATACATGTGTCCTTGAACGTGATAACTTGACGTGATAACGCCTTCAGACCTTGAATATAATCAGACTAAAATTAAATTACTGATCAAACTATAAAATAATTTTCAAACTTGACTACTGCACTTCTAGATTTCTTTTAAACAATGTACCTTGACTACCAAAGTAGTCTAAAGGTTCAACAGTGAATAAGTGAAACTGTAGGCCTAATGTTTATTTTACCCGAATGACAAGGAATATCAAGATGGATTGCTGGTGAGGACAGGACAATAGAGGGTGGGGAAGGGGGGGACAATTCATGCACCACCACCTCAGAGAGAGCTTTCCTCCCCTTGTAGAGAAACTGACAATTGAGGGGCCCAAATCACTGCCACTATAATTTTCCCAAATTGTGATTTCTCTATATACACGATTGAGCAGGATTTTTTCAAATATTTCACCGATGTTTTGTTGAAGTAGAAGAATGGAAAAATTACAATCAGCGCTTGCATTGTTAAAACAGATTGGAGTTGAAAAAATCAAGTTCAAGAATGTCTTGTCACAAGGGTAGAAATTATTTGGAAACAACGTTGTAGGGGAAAGGTTACATTTTGGAATGGTATTTTTTTTTAACATTGGCAAGGCTTTGTTAATTTTTTGCTTTGTGATATTCAAAAAATTAAATAGGTTTTATCAAATTATTAGTACATTGACATTAAGAAATCAACATAGTTGGGTAAATACGCAAAAATAGTCAATGATTACAACTAATAGAACTCAAATGCATCATTTAATAATCAAATCATCCATACAATAGTACTCTTCATCAATTATAAAGTTAGAGACTTCCTTTTTAAATGTTTCAATTGATTGCGTTGTTTTGTTATTATTGTAGGATAGTTTATTATACATTTCCCCCTTATAAACTGTAGCAGATTTTCAAATTAGGTAAGTTTGTGAATGGACAATTGCAAATGTGTTGATACCTAGTTGGGTAGTCGTCAATGTGGTCATCATTAAACAAATTAGATTTAAAAGGAAAAAAAATTATGGATGGTGAAGTTAGTAGATTTAGTTATTTAAATCATGAGATTTATTCCTTTTAATTATAAACTATTACTGGCATTACAAGTTCATCATGCTGCAATTTTTGGGAAATTACTAGTGAAGAAGATTTTGACTGAATTTTTCGTAGCCACTGATATTACATGTATTTACTATGGGGTCCACACATTAGATGGCTATGCTATATAATGCCAACATTGTAGTCTAAATCAGAATTTGACAAGTAACTCTGCCAAAAGGCTCTGCAAATTTGTTTATCGCTGAATTTGTTGTTACCTCTGATGCTCAATTGTGTGACCTTTTTTCTGGATACAGTACTAAGGTTATGAGTATGACTGGTAGTTCAGTTACAAATGTCCATCTCCTTGTTTTGTTTCAGCTACACCGTGTCCGTGGGAGTGGTAGACAAGTTGGCCCTGTACTGTAGTAGTGTCAGAGACTCTGTAGAAGACAACATGCCAGCGTCACAGTTCCTTCACAGCGCCATCCGACTGCTCACCATGCTAGCTCAGGCCAAGTGAGTAATTGAAAAACTCTCATGTTGTGTCATTGTACTTTGCAACCCTGGTTTGTTGCCCCATTTGGTATATTGAGGATTAACAACCTATTATGTAAATAAACATTTTCAATGGTGTGTTTGACAATATGTAGTCATGTATTTTTAGAAAAAAAAAAATCTTCTCGTTGTATTTGTCTTATTGTTTCTAGCTAATGATACGCAACATTTTAAATTACAATTGGTAGTATTAACTATGGATGTATATAATAGTGAATTAACACAATGAATACAGAGAAGTATCATTTCACAATGCAACCCTTGCACAATTTAATTTCTCCTTAAATTTATTAGGTAAGCTACTGTTAGAAAGCACATAAACCGACTTATAATTTATTTTGTATCTGATGACACAAACTGATAAGTGAGTCTAAGTTGGGCGCGGCGCGCGGCTCGAGTTCATTGCAAAGTTACGCGACGAGCGGCAGCAGACAATTATATTAGTCGTCATTCAATATCAAGTAGCAAGTGAAACAATGTAGCACAGTTTGCTCAGTGTTGCCAACTAATGAGCTGACTGAGTGTTGCGCGGTTGGTAGCGCTGCTGTACATAATTGGTGGTGACAGCAGGAGATGATACTGCGAATTCGCTACGTACCATCACGTTTAATTAGTCAGTCTGAGTTAATTACTGAAGGGTTGGAGTTTCTAATCTGGCACAGTCTCTCTTTATTTACTCAGCAATCGCTTAATTGTTTATTTTTTGCCCCTGTTTGCGCCCACACGGTCCACATCAAATGTGACATTCTGTTGCAAAGTCCAACAAATCAACAGAGTACCCCGTCCGTTTGTGCGTTCATTCCGGTTTGTTTGTTTCACTGCGGTTTTCGGCCGGAGTTAATTAGTTTTCACACTCGAGTGGTTTTGTTCAAATTTATTGGGTGAACTCACATAGTTTTAAACATCTCATTTTAAAATTGTTTAACAGTTTAAACATTTTATTAATTGTGAACTATGATTTTTCTAGCAATACACTTTAAGTATGCTTATAAAAAAGTCAACCGACAGTTATTTCTGTAACTTGTGAGTACAGGAATATTAGGAGTGAATTAAAATTACAATTACATAGCGTCACATTTTTGTTAGCGAGGGGGGGGGTAGTTTTTCAGTCGCAGGCAAGGCTCTATATTGGTATTTGGTATTGGGTTCTATATATTGGTTAGTTGTCAAATATTTTGTAAAGTACGTTTCACCTATGGGTATGAGTATGCCGCATCCTCTAAATTCAGGCACTAAAACTATTGAAATGTTATTTAGTACTTTTAAAGGTTTTTGTTAATCTTGGCTGCAATATTTGCTTAGGTGCCCTCTAGTGAAGGGAGACCCCACTCAGCTAGTGGCCACTCTGAGGGTAACAGAGCTGGTGGGAGGAGTGTCTATGATGTATGGCATGTTGCTACATCAAGGTGCCCCACTCTCTTCTCCCCCAGCACTATCACAGAAGACTGTGTGGCTCACACAGGCAACACTTCACCTGCTCAAAGCTGTGGCTCAATTGGATCTGAACATGTTCCAGGTTAGAACAGAGCTATAATTTTAGTGTCGGCTTGAGTTTTACTTTTTTGGTTAGTTACTAAAAATAGTTGAATTTGCTAAAACGGATTTTCAAACCTAAATGTATAAAATAACAATTTTTATTTTTGGTTGTTTTAAAAAATTGCAATATGGCCAACAAATTTCAAATCTCACTTAGGGGATTTTGCAATTTTAAAATAGCAACAAAGGATCTTAAAGTCTGAAAATTGAACATTTAAAAAAAAAATTTCAGTTAGTAGGTATTAACAAATTCTGGATTATTTTGTGATGAAAACTACCCACGATTTAAGAGAAATAGTGATACAGTACCATCTCAATTTTATTGAATGAAAAATTTGCAAGAAAAGCCATTTTAAAAACTATAGCACCAGACTTTTTTTATGTCACACACATTCTAGGCTGCTAGGCACCAGCCTGGAATCGTTTTATACATTATTTCAGGCTAGGCCTAGAGGTTTGAAGTATTATCAGTTAGATAAAACCCATTGGTGGTTGGTGCAATTTGAGCTCAGGACCTCGGGGACTTAAGTCCCAAGCTTTATCACTAGACCAGCTAGCTTCCCAAGCTATGTCACCAGACTGAACAAGAGGGTTATGTTGTCACTGTGATTGCAAGATGAGATACAGAAAGTACCGCAACTACAATTCCTTTTACTATTATGCAGAGTGTGCTGGGAGCCGAAGGTATTTCACTGCAGCTTCGTCACATTGCCAGCTACCTGTTGTGGTACTGCTGTCACCCCAGGGCTGAGGACAATGTTAGTCAGGAGGACTGGCTAGACTCTACCAGGGAATTGCTTCACCAGGTCATCGAGGTCGTTGGATACTTCGCAGTCAACCATTACGACAACCAGGTGAGACGGTTGTGAGATTTGGATCTATATTTTCTAAAAACCTGGCTGATTCGATTCATAGAATTTTGAGGTATCATTATAGTGTGCTACAGTATAAAATGATCCTGGGGGAGCGAGCTGGCGTAGTGGTTAGAGCGCGGGACTTCAGTCCCTGAGGTCCCGGGTTCGATCCCTGCCAAGTCACCAATGGATTTTATCTAAGTGATAATGCCGCAACCCCTAGGTTTAGCCTGAAGTAATGTAAAAACAATCCCAGGCTCGTGCCTAGCTGTCCTAGGACAAAAAAAAGTATAAAATTATACTATCTGCCTTAGTTGAGGTTTCTGTGATATAGACTAGTTCAGGCTCAGAAAACATACTACTATAACCCAGAGTGCCAACCGCATGGTAAAAAGCATTAAGTACTTTGTGGGATTCTGGGTTATAGTAGTATGTTTTCTTAGGTTCAGGTGACAAAAAGATACTGTAGTTCATCTTATTAGTTTGACTTAATTAAAAAGTAAATTGTAACAGGATTTACAGTCATTTACATTAGCCCACTCTGTCGGTGATTCAGTTCAGCTAAGTGTATTTTTAATCCCAAAGTGGCCATAACTTTGAATTGGGGGGCTTCTAGTTCTATCAAAAGTCAAAGGTTTTTGTCAAACCTTACGACCAGAATAACTCGTAACCCCCCCCTGTGAACAATAGTGTCAGTGTTAGACATTGTTTCTCCTTCTTTGAAATATCACCATCGTCTCTACCACCATTGTTCTAAGCCGTAGGTCATGGTATCTGAGTGAACTGGGAGGGTAACATTGTTGACAGTTCACCGAGTTCAGCTATCATTGTAAAATGTCACTGTTTCATGGGGAGTTCAGCTATCATTGTAAAATGTCACTGTTTCATGGGGTACCTTATCCAAGAATTCTGCTGTTGTAATTTGTTGTATGTTCCTGAAATTTCTCCAATTTTTATTTACCTTATTCATTGTTTGCTTCATGCTATTTTGCATATAACGGTTAGAAACGTCTTGTATGGATTCAAAGATGATTTGACATTCATACTGAAATCATATAGTAGGATAAATATCCATATTTTAATAATTGGCCACCAAATTGACTGAAAAAGTGAAAAATCCAACTAAACATTGTGCTTTAAAAAATATTGTTTGAGAAGAATATTACACACTACAGTATAAAAAGAGAGGTTTTCTTGTGTGAACATTAATTTAGCTGCCGCAACGTAGGATGTAAATGACAGATGGATCTTGGGCCAGTAAAAGAGATTGATGACAGCCATATTGATTCTGACAGCTGCTTTATATTAATATATCACCTGTATGGACCATTTTTAAACAGGATACGTAAAAAAAATGTATCTTCATTCTAAAATTTTCATAAAATACATGAAAAAATATATATCCATTGTTTCAAAAATGGTCGACATTTTCCAAAATGGTAGCCAGGTTTAAAATGAGAATAATCTGTGTTTTATCGTATTTTTAGAATGTAGATGCGATGCAATTTTAAAACTTGCTTATTCTTTGCATTTTCTCTCTAAACTTATTCGTTTAGTAGCTATGGGATACAGAATGAACATCGCAATTTTAGGGAAGAAATGTCAAGAAAAAAAACGTTTTAAAATTGCATTCACAATATTAAATAATGGTCAAACCAGTTCTTACCAAGAGACATATAGTAAAAGCTTCATCCCTAAATGAGAAATGCACTTAAACATTTTTGTGGAATAAATTACTGTGTATGTCTATTCTCAACAATGATTGCAGATGATGCTACAGTCGGGTCACATGCCTACCGTGATGCAGCAACTGTGCAGTTTACCCTTCAGTTACTACACTGACCCCTCACTGTCCTGTCATCTACTGCCTACACTACTGGCCTGTTGTCATGGCAACCTGGAGAACAAGGCTATACTGGAACAGGAGCTCTCCTACCAGGTAGATTGTTATCTTTTATTTTATTTTAGAGTTCTTGTAAGGTGTGCTCAAAGAATGCTGTAAGTTGGGAGGGGGTTGAACTGCGTGTATACAACTACATTCAGTTTTCTTTGCAATATCGTACATTTTCTGGTCACCTCAAAAACATAGTGGAGTACCTGAATAGTATTTTTTTGCGGTCACATATTTGAAACCAATTTCCATGAACAAGCGAGCCGGTGAAAGACGGTGCATGGCAACCGAGTCAGGCAAATTGCGTACACATTAATAAGGGCAACTAAACAACATGGGCAATGAATGACTAAACAATCTTGTCCGTGCCTTAACCTAACCCAACCTGATTATTTGTCTTGCAAACTGAAAACTATCCCTTAGCCCTCTGTGTATAAATGGGAGATGTTTTTTTAACAGCTGTGGAGTTTCAAATTTTTTTTTCAAAATTTTCCAAAAAAAAACAAAAAACGTTTCCTAATCCGAAATGGGCCCGGTCCCAACCATTTCGGACTAACGGGACTCTACTGTATCAAGTTAATTATGCGAACCGCATTATGCGGTGCATAACCCCCAGACCCAGTGTAAAGTTAAACATTTTAAGTTCTTGATTGAAAATGATCAGTATCATAATGTTGGTTCATTGCCATTATTGTAGCGCAATCTATAAGTCGAAACAGTCGTTCACAGAGCTCAGTAACCCTTTAACTCGCCTCTCTTTGAACACATCTTTTTGGGCACTGTTTTAGTTTTTTTAGCGAATTTCCCATATAGGGAATAAGCTATTACCGTAGTACTCATGGTAAGACCTGGACCCGGGACCGATTTTTTTCTTCGTTTTGAGGTCCCTAGAGGCCAAAAACACCATCCGTTCAAATTCATATATATATATATATATTTATATATATATATGTGTCCGTTAGCGCGATAACTCGAGCAAAAATGATCCGATTTTGATGAAATTTGCTACAAACGTGTAAACCTACGTTTATTCGAACGAGTTCGGAACCAGCATGATCGGACCATGGGAACAGGGGTTTATGGGGGCTTTTATGGGGTAAAAATGGGTTTTTCCTATTTTTGACACAAAAAATATAAAATTTTGAAATTTCTTTCCAAACTATTTTGTAGAGCTTAAAAAGACAAATAATTTAGTATATTGAAGCGTTATAATGCGCCTAATGGTTACGGAGAAAATTCCAAAAAATTGTTAATTTAAAATTCCCATGTTATTCTTATGGAGAATAAGTAAACCGTTGTAGTGTGCTTGTTTATTAACATATTTTGCCCAAATTTGGAAAATGTTTTTATTTCTTACTAACTATTAACATTTTACATAAAAAAACACTTTTACCCTCCCTGTTGCAGCAAACCTAAGTATGTGTTAAACTGATTCTATTTAAATAGGGAATAAATGTGATATTTTTAAGGAGACATTTTAGTCTAAATCCAATCAGGCAAATGGAAATTCGCTTAGTCTGCAGGTTTGCTGCGGCGGGGGTATTAAAAAGATGTCCTTTATCAATTTTTGCTTTTATTAAAAATAAAATGTTACACCTGAAATAAATTAACTAAATCACAAAAATCCAAAAAAATCCTCTATTTATGAGACATTTAAAATTTCAAGAAGAAATTTTTAAGAGTAGATATTCTAAATAAAACTATTATTTCAAATAAATTCTAAAAAAATTTTTAATTAATTTATTTTAGAAAATGTATGCAATAGCGTACCTCAATTCAGAAGAAAAGAGTCACTCATTATCCCGCGACTCTCCGATAAGGATTGATGATCAGATGAGGCTGCGACTACTGTCCTAGCTGCTGACATTGACTTTGTCCTGAACTACTGTCAAGGCTAAAAACATTGACTTGTCAATCACTCTTGTTTGGATTCAGTTTCTTTGCTGCGATTTCGCCAACAAAACTATGGTGTATTAGACATTTTTATTTATTAATCTTTGCAATTAGAGAAAATAGAAAAAGTTAACGATACTTGACTCACACTGTAAAAATAAATTACTACATCATCTGGTTATTTAAAGAAGTGATTAATGCATAAGAGAGCCAAAAAGAGTGACAAATTTCATGAATCATGCAGATTATTTTGACTTTGATTAATCATCACTGCATGATAATTATTTATAGTTAGGTACATACATAGTGGATGAACATAAAGCATATCATTCAGGGTATACAGGCATATCTCTGTATCAATTGGATGGTTTAGAATTTTTTAATTACCTTGATAAAAAAAAATACTGTAACGAAAATGTTTTTGTTTTGTATTTCTAGAAGTTGCCTCAACCATTTTATTCCTCTGGTGTTTAAGTTTGAAGCTATTAGTTCTTTCCAGAATATGACTAAGTCAATAAATTGCTTTTTATGTTGGCTTTAAAAAAATTAAAAATTTATTAATTACAAGAGTAAACAGCAAAAAATTCCAAATGGAAATAGTAACTCAAAAGGTATTCATTTAACTCTATAGAAATTTTACAGCATTCAATTCTTATCGAACCATTTCCATATGGTCTACTCTACACTATTACAGTAAAGAGATCTCTATACTCTATTAATAAAAAAACAACAACTTTTAAAATCATTAGACTGATACAGGTTTTAATTGACAGTTAACAGGTCTCATTTTACGTTGCTTTCCATACCATTTCTTAAAATCCCTGATGTTATTTAAAATAAAGTAGTATTTGAGGATTTTTGTAAATATAGCTGGCTTATCTGAATAGGAAAGTATTCACTCTGGCACAAGAAATACAAAACCTCATGACAAACACTCAATTTAGAACTAAACTGTCATTGACAAATTTGGTTAAGTTGTTAAGACAATTAAAATGTTGTTGTTTTATTGTATAGTGTTTTTAGTTTCTTGTGCCAAAACGACTCTCTCCCATTCAGGTAAGCCAGCTACCCTCACAAAAATCCTTTAAACCTAGGCTCTTGTGCTTTATTACATTCATGACCTCTTAACCTTGAGCAAACTAGTTTAGAAATTTAACAACAAACTAATTTCCCAAACAAAGGTTAGTTAAACTTTGAAAAAATTAGTTGTATGAGGTATTGAAACTATACCTAACATATTATAAACTAATATTTCTTCAGTATTTTCAATACATACAACTTCTCTTGACATTTTGATTGGATGTATTTCAACATAGGTTTTATAGATGCAATGTTTACGAGTGCAATTGTAGCTGGGATGGTTGGGTGTTGGCCAAACTGTGTGCCAAATACTATCCTTATCTGTAAGAAACGATTCGTTGCAGCACACTTAATTAGTGATTTATAATTTTGTTTTGTCTCGCCTTTTTTACACATTATTTCAGACTAGGCATAGTCTTGTGGCATTATCACATAGGTAAAAACCATTAGTGAATGTCAGGATTTGAGCCCAGGACCTAGGATTGTATAGCTGTGCTCTAACTCTAGACCAGCTCTTTTCCCAGTGACTTAAAAATACTTTTTAGTCAAGGTAATGTTTTCTTGAGATTCATCCTGTACCTCTCTCCCCCTATAAATAGTATGGAGAGAGTGTATTGTTTTCGTCAACATTTCCGAGTTGAAGTTTCGAGTGGATATATCTGTTTTGGGTCCCCCTGAACGCAAAAAAGTTGTTAAGTGATGTCTGTATGTGTGTCATAGTCTGTATGTGTGGGTGTGTACAGAGCCTTAGACTACATCTGTGGGGTATTTTTTTTAACTTTTTTGAAATTTAGATTTTTAATAGTGATTTTTCCATTAAAAAAACAAAAAATCAAATTTTCTCAAAAAATGCCCAACAATTTTGATAATAATTTAGTATGTTTTAGTGCTTTTAACTCGATCAATGTCAAAATTGTGATTCAAAAGTTATTGCAACTTTTGTGATTTTCCCATGAATAATCAATAATCCCATATACCACAATAAGGGCGGTTGACAAGCTAATGGGAGAAAGTACAATCAGATTGCTGATAAGCCTTCAAATTCAGTTTAAATGAAATCTATTAGGTGTTAATGGTGTTACCCTGATATAAAGTTGTGGTTAACTGTGGATTTGGTGTACTAGTGTATGGAGCGAGCTGGTCTTGTGGTAGAGCTCATGAATTCAGAGCCAGAGGTCCCAGGTTCAAATCCTTGCAATCACCAATACGTTTTATCTATGTGATATTATCACGACCCTCTAGAACTAGTCTGAATTAATGTGTAAACACAGTTCTGTGCTAGAACCTAGTGTCCTAGGACGTGAAGGTGAGGCATAAAAATAGTCTATTAGAGTAAGGTGTAAGGTTGTTCTGATTTTAGCGAATTTCCCATATAGGGAATAAGGAATAAGCTATTACCGTAGTACTCATGGTAAGACCTCGACGCGGGACCGATTTTTTTTCGTTTTGAGGTCCCTAGAGGCCAAAAACACCATCCGGTAAAATTTATATATATATATATATATATATATTTATAAATAAATATATATATGTGTGTGTTTGTTAGCACGATAACTCGAGCAAAAATGATCCGATTTTTATGAAATTTGGTACAAACATGTAAACCTACGTTTATTCGAACGAGTTCGCAATCCAGCATGATCGGACCATGGGAACGGGGTTTTATGGGGTGAAAATAGGTTTTTCCCTTTTTTGACCCAAAAAACATAAAATTTCTTTCCAAGCCATTTTGTAGAGCTTAAAAAAACAAATAATTTAGTATATTGAAGCATTGTTATGCGCCTAATGGTTACGGAGAAAATTCCAAAAAATTGTAAATTTAAAATTCCCATGTTATTCTTATGGAGAATAAGTAAACTGTTGTAGTTTGCTTGTTTATGAACATATTTTGATCAAATTTGGATAATGTTTTTATTTCTTACTAACTATTAACATTTTACAAAAAAGAAAACAGTATTACCCTCCCTGATGCAGCAAACCTAAGTACTTGTTAAACTAATTCTATTTAAATAGGGAATAAATGTTATATTTTTAAGTAGACATTTCAGTGTAAATCCAATCAGTCAAATGGAAATTCGCTTAGTCTGCAGGTTTGCTGCGGCGGGGGTATTTTATTTAGAGATTGCAGTAGGTCTTCATTCTTTTATTTTAAACTCCCCCCCCCCATAAGCCATACTCCTACATTTTTCTGGTAAATTTCCTTCACCATGGTTTTTAGAGGTGGATTTAATATTTCAAGTATTCACAGTATTGATTCAAGTGATTCAACATCAATATTTTAAGTTTTTTTTTCAGATTGCAGAGGTTTATTTTAAATTCCCAAGCTATAAAACAAAAGTAAAAAATATTTCCAATCAATGAAATATTGAAACATTGGAAATATGCAGAAAAAGAACAATTGAAACACGAAGTATTTCTCTTTTTGGCTTAGTAATAACATAAATAATTCCCACCAACACTTTACAAAATTTATCGGTGATGTCAACTCTACTTGAGACACGCCAGTGCAGGTATAACGTTGTTAGGAACCTTTTATCCGCAGTTTCCCCGGCGAGTGTGCAAGTGTCGGAACACGTAATATTGTTATCTCAGGTGTTTGCGACGTCCATATGATCTAGTTAGCTGTGTCTGTCTTGTACTTGTGTTTCATTGTCCAAGCCTTCCGACGTGTACTGTTTTATGATTGTTTTAGTAGTTGGTAAAGAATGATGAAAATTGGAAAAAATGTAGGTCTATTGTGATTTCACGTTTGTTGCCTCTTCTTAAGGGAAACATTTTTTTTGAGTGAGTTATTAAAATTATATTATTTTAAACCAATTATTTTGTTTTTGTGTATAAATAATATAGATTGGTATTTTTAAAGTTTTCAAAATAAATACCCAAGATTTCTTGTTTATATATTTTGGTAATGGTACTTTTCAAACACCACTGGGTATGTTTTCCGTTTACAGAACACAAAATACTTCAAAAATAGAACCAAAAGTACATGTTTGTAATTTTAATTATTTAGTTAAATGGATTACACTAATCATTACTGTTGTAGTGATTAGTGATTTTTAATTCTCGAAATACGGTTATTTTTATAAGTCTATAAATAAAGTTATGAATAAAGTCTATAAATAAGTTATAAGTCTTTTTATAAGAACAAAAACTCCAACACATGAGTAAATTTAATTTTCCAAATGTTTCCAATATATGTTGACAATTCAAATCTCTCTAGCGATTGTTCTAGAAATGACATGCAGCACAATAGTCTTTAGCATTTATTTGCGACCAGCAGAATGACATCAATTAACCACCACTCGACTGATTAATTGCCAACGGACTGTTAGCAGTGGTGAAATAATCACATTCATCACTCTACCTACCATCATTACCTGATTGGTTGTCCGTTTTTACTAATTATGTTGTTACGGACAAATGTAAATTGATAAAGCACACTTGCGGAGTTTCATCAATTAGGTTTGTGGAGCATTGGCAATAGACCATATTAATTAGCTGTTGCACCAAGGACAAGTTTTTTATTAGTAATTTCAACCCTCTTAAAACAAAATACCTCTAAAAACAAATTAAGCAGCAAACCTTCTAAGCAAATTTAATTTTGTCTGATATAAATATCGGTGAGAAAAAATCTGAAATTGACTGACGGATGCCGGCAGAGCGACTGACAGAATTGTGTCGGATGAGTGTAGATAGCGCAATAGAAAATCCGGTAGAGAATATTTTTTTACTTTTGCCGTGACTGGTGTGACTGTTATGTGACGTGCCAGAACTGATATGTGTGAATCGACCTTTCCTCATGCTTTACATTGGGAAGAGAATTTGAAAGAGAATAATGCTTTTCTTTAGGTCTGCAGTATGAAATAGTTACATGTCTATTATTCATTAAAAAACAAAACTTAATTTGACCACTTAGCGTATTCAAATAGTTTTCTTTGATCTCAAATAAGGGGTTTAAATTCCCTAGCAAACCATTACAGTGATTAATTGGTGCTGATTTGTGTATAAAAATACTGTAAAGGTTCTCTATGAATTAATATAAAATGATGAACTTACTTTCAAAACCCTACTTATATTTGAATTAAATGGATCCAAAATAATACAAAAAATATATCTTTGTGTAGCAATACCCTTATTCTTACATGTAGCTTGTTAAATAAATTACATTAAAAATTGTGATCAAAATGCTATAAATCTTGTATTACCTTTCTTTCAATAAACATCAATAAACCCTCTTCTTACCAAATAGAAATAACACAAAAATTTCCTCTTATAAGCTGCAATAAAATATGTTGTTACCAAATAACAAAAAAAGTGTAACTAAAGCACCACCAAAAACTGTTTTAAGTAAATAAACTTAACTGTATCAACCGGCTTTTCCATTTAGTTAATTAATTTATGTAAACTTTGGAAGCACGTAACCCTTTGGAAATTGGGCTGTGGGGCTGAGCCCTTAGGGAGTTTCTCAAACCAATACTTTTTGGCAAATTTGCTAAGCGTCATTTTGTTGTGCCATATGCCTTTATTTTTATTTTTAATGGTCATAAACGATGACCACCAATTTGACTGTATAGGCTGGTATCGACAGTGCGAGGCTGCTCGCTGTGAATGCCTTGCCACCTCAGTAAGGGAAATTCGCTAACTATCAATGTTTAAAATATGATTTTGTTTCAGCTCGTAGAAGACTGTAGACATTCTGAAGCCACCAAAGCCAACCCTTTGGTTCAGCTTGTGAAATAAGTCAATGACCTCTGTAAAGGTGGCTTACTAACCCGTTTTTGATAAACCACGGGTTGTACTTATAAGGCTGTGTATTGCAAGACAGCAATTGCAATTATTTATTTTTCTAGTCTTTTTTTATTGTATTTTTGTTATTGGAAAACTTTTTTACCTCTTGTTAGTATTATTAATTGTATTCATACCTCAAAGTTAGCTGCAATAAAATTTATAAGCAACCTGCATTCATAAGAACAGCATTGCACGCTGCTTTGAGTTTGTTCTGTCTTTTTATACTTCCTTTAACTTAACTAACCACAGCAAACTGTATGAGTTTTGGAGAATGCTGTCAAGGCATGGAAAGTAAAAGAAAAATACTATTTAATATATATTACTCATTTTCAATAGATTTTGCATACAACCATTATTTAAAGATATAAGGTTTTGTTTTTGTTTTAGTCAATGGTGTTAATTAGGTTTGTTACTTTTGCACATCACTTCAAATATACAGGGTGGTAAAAAAGTCCCAGGACAGTTAAATATTTTAAAAAATAATGTAGATAGAGCTACAATACTTGGTACAAAGTTACAGGGCATAAAACTCTATTACAACACATATTCAGTGATCCAATAACTCTTCAGGGGGACGGCCCACAAGGAGTCGGAAGAAAATCTTAAATGGAAGCATAGGTCAATATGCACATCAAATTAAAGGTCTTTTAATACAATGCCGCAAACCGCACTTCAAAAGGTTGATCCTGCGCAAAATGGCAGATGTTCAAAGATTTCTTGAATCCGCCATTTTGAATCTTTGAACGACTGCCATTTTTTACTCAGGCATTCTTTTGAGCTTGAATTTACGGCATCGTAATCTACTAGTGAAGACCTTTAATTTTATGTGCATATCGACCTATGCTTACGTTAACAATTTTCTTCCAATTCCTAGGGCTGTGCCCCCTGAGGAGTAAGCGTATAATAGCAATGTAAATTAAATGAATCTTTTAAAAACTGTCATTTTGCGGAGGATCAACCTTTTGAAGTACGGTTTGCGGCATTGTATTCTACTAAAAAAGATCTTTAATTTGATGTGCATATTGACCTATGCTTCCATTTAAGATTTTCTTCAGACTCCTTGTGGGCCGTCCCCATGAAGAGTTATTGGATCACTGAATATGTGTTAAAATAGAGTTTTATGCCCTGTAACTTTGTACCAAGTATTGTAGCTCTATCTGCATTATTTTTTTAAATATTTAACTGTCCTGGGACATTTTTACCACCCTGTATAATTTAAAAGCAACAATTACTTTTCCACAATTTGTATGAGTTTTTTTTTCAAACAGAATATTGTCCCACAAGTTTTTTTACACGTTCGATATATTTGTTCATGGAGATATATTTATTATTTCCACACACTATTTCAAGCATTCCCAATAATCTGATAAGGCTGTTTGTTGTTGTAGATCTAAAGTTAAAATTAAATCTTGTGATAATGTATATAGTAACACGCTAACGAAAGTTTACTATTTTTTATTCATATGCAACTAGCATTTAGTCATATTATACCACTAGATATATATTTAAATAAATAATGTTTTTGCAATATAGTGTCTTGAATTTCCCCCTTATAATGTTTTCCCTCTTTTCTTAATATGTTTGCCTATGAAATGAATTTGTTATATTTTTATGTAGTATTTGAACTATCTTAAAATACCCCAAAATATTCTTAATTATATGGATTAACTGTTTAACATTTACAAAATTTCACTCTTTCCATTCTGTTAATAACTACTATATTTCCAGAACATTCGATTTTTTATGATTTATATTTCTAAAATGCATAATATAATTGGCTACCTATCTATTATAACTTGTTATGTTGTATTTTTTATTTAGTAGGTTTTAAGTGTTAAAAACCAAATGAAAAAATTGAATAAAAGACTTTTCTTGCCAATGTAAAATGAGAAGCCCAATTTTATGTGTTAAATGTTTGATAACACACGAGTGCGCTCAAGTTGACCAAAAGTTTCTCTATTATTTTTGGAACAATTTTACAGTGTTTGTTTTGATGTTTTGGATAAATATAAACGGAAAAGGAGTAATTAAAACAGATTTTGTTATTTATAATTGTTTAAGAAACAGTAACATAACAGAATAGAATAATAGAAGACACCAATACTTTCTACATACATTGGAAAAATTAGAATTATTGCCACAAGATAAGTAAATCCGAAATACATCACACATCACGCATATATGCTATTAGTAATTTATTTTCATTACCATTACATCTGATTAAAGTAGTACACAATTTGCTTTTACAGTCTAAAGCCGTTGACTGTTAAATCAATGCTAAAACTCACAACATTAAGAACAAGAATAAGAATAATATATTCCATTGATCTTTTTACAAAGAAATAGGACATGTCATATACATTACAAAATAATCATCTAAATACAATCACATTTCTGATACATCAAAATATTACATAAAATATAATTAATTAGTCATATTAACTCATTCTAATTCAAATTTAACATCAAAATTACACTTGATAAAGTTACTTAGGCTGTAAAAAGGATTTTGAATTAGCCAATTAAAAATTCTATTTAAAAAAATATTATAATCAACAAATTTCGCACTGTCAGGTAGTTTATTAAAAAAGCGAATTGATAAAACCAACATTATAGACATTACCAAATCCATTAACTTAGTTAAATGACAAAATAATGTATACCTAACAGAATTAGGTCTCAAAATAGTCCTCAGCTAATAAGAGAATTTCCTATCTTTCAAGGAGCATTTATAATTTAATTTATTAATGTAACGCATATATAACAACCTAAGTTTTTTAAAACCTTTTTATGTATAAAAAAATTAAATGAAGATTGGTGATTGGTCGAAGTATCTACTACAGTAAAGGCTTTTGGTAAAAGGTAAAAGCTTTGTACCATTGTTGTTCTTATTTGATTATCAGTACCGCTACTTCTCTACTGATTCAGTAGAATGATTATGGTCTGTTTAACATTGCAAAGGCTCTTTGCCAGAAACCTCGTACAATTGTATTGGGGTTGATTTCCAGTTTAGAATTACTGTTCAGTGAGATTTATTTGTACTCAGTCAGGATCATCCATAAAGCCCAATGCTAGGACAGTGTCACAAAGTACCCTATTGGCCACTAACATAACCAGATGTAGATGTGTTAGTATGGGAAAAATCTAATAGATCGTTAAAGGTGCAACCTCTACAAATTTACTTAGCCATTGGGAATTTTTACCTTTTTTTTAGGGAACAGTCCATACCCTGGTATTGTTACAATCTAACATCAAGCTTTTGTTATTACTGTATACCATTATTGATAGCCCAAAGAAAAACGGTATCTGCGTCTAGTTACAATCTCGCTCTGAATCAAACCAGATTTGAAGGGGATCACTATAACGACTTGGCTACTCATACAAATAATATCAAACTTGAGTATTTTTAAGGATATACAATTATTTCTTCCTAATACTAGTAAGATATAGACATAGTGGAAACAAAGTTTTGTAAGAGTTAAATATTTTAAAAAATAATAAAGATAGAGCTATAAAACTTGGTACTGTACAGGGTCACTGGGCATAAAAACATTTTTTAAACATTATTCAGTGGTATGCCACTAGGAGTCAGAAAAAATTTTAATGTAAGCATAGGTTGACATGTACATAAAAATTTAAAGTCTTTGTTTGTAAAATACGATGCTGTAAACTCGAACTCAAACAATGCAATTAATTATACGATACCTCCTCAGAATAATAAACCCGCTAGAAGTCGGAAGAAAATCATAAATTCAAGCATAGGTTAATATGCACATCAATAAATGCATTTATTAGACAAATACAATGCCGAAGATTTTATCTCTACGGAACAACTGAGTCAAAATTCAAAAGCATTCGAGATTCAAAATTGCAAGATGAGCGTATCAATCTATGCTTACATCTTAGATTTTCTTATGAATTCTAGCGAGCCTTCCCCCTGAGGAGGTAGCATATCACTGAATAATGTGTTGAAATGATTTTGATGACTAGTCCCTTTGTGCCATGGTTTATAGCAATAGCTGTATCTCTGTATTATATTTTCATATATTTAGTTGTTCCAGGACTGTATCTCTGCATTATATTTTCATATATTTAGTTGTTCCAGGACTTTTTTCCATCCTGTATTTTCCAGTCACTTTTAGTATCAGTTTACTGTGCATAGTGATCAAATTTAATATTGGTGGAAACTTTTTATAACCATTGATGAAAAATGTGCAACATAACAAAACACAAGGAACTACCAGCCGTCAAGTTCCATAACTAGAAACTAGAACTCATAACACCGCAAGCATTAAAGTTTCTAATTGCCAGCTTGTGGCTCTAATGTTACATCAGTTCTGAGTTTTAATCATTCAGTGTAAAACTTTAGCACTTGGCTCAAGGTTTAGTGGCTGCTAACCTTAATTTAATTCCACAGCCACAACTTGTAACTTTACTTTGTCTCTCTTTAATATTTACTGTCTCGTCTTCCATCCTACAACTTTCATAAAGAACAGATTGAGCGCTTCCTGGGACTTCTAGAATTGTTAACAGGCACTAAGTTGTTTATTGTAGTATTTGTTATTATTGACCCATTGGAGACTGTAGAATATAAAAAATATTTTCTTTTTTATTTAGTTCCTATACAATCTATAATAGCTAGTAAAGAGGGTGAATAAAATATTCTTGGTTTTCAAAAAAGTTTGATTTTAATATTTTGATTATATGGAGAACCGAGCTGCTCGGCTTTCCAACCCAATAAAATCAGCAGTCTATTACGCTTTAACTCCAGTTGTATGGATATCATCTCACTGTCATCCAGTCATAACTTACAAACCTCTTTGGTTTAAGGTGCGTTATTAATCAGCTGTTATATTTATTTCTTTACTTTTGTTGATGTTTACAATTTTCATTGTTATTTGCCAAAGAAGTAAAGAGGCTCACTGAAAAAAACTGTTGACTTTCAATTTCATTTCTTATGTAATTCGATTTTTTTGCAGTTTTAACTGCTTGAAACCCGTTTTTAGGCCAGAAATAAATTATTTACAACATTTGAAGGAAGTTGTTTCCAAGATATTTGTGCAAGCAAGCAAATTATACATACTATAGGTCGCAACCTACCTATAGACATAATAATGTGTAGGACATAATTGTGTAGGATAATGTGAGGACATTATTGTCCTCCAGCATTGGTTTAGCATTAGCGCGCAGGTCGTTTTCTAAGCGGCCGAACTATACAAGCAAACATAGCTCATAAGAGTATAAGCCTTAAAGTATTATATTGTCTGTGGTATAAGATAGGATTAAGTTGCCATAATAATAAAATTTTTGAAACATGAACAAAGCAAATATAAAATAATATTGTCAGTTTACGTTTTACATTTCCAAAGCTGCCCAACGTTTTAAATAATTAAAAACTACCCTTGTTACTGAAATGTTATGGGAGTTATTGGCATTTAAATTTTACATTCTCCCCCTTCTTAGGACTTTTCA